GGTAAGAGAATAAGAGAAGCCCTAAAAGCTGCCCCCTTCTTCACCTTTTTCAAGTTTCAAACTAGGGTCAAATTTTCACCTCTGATCTGCTAGGGCCAGACGAAAAGGCAACACGCCCCCCAACTTCGGGGGGTAAAAATAGCGTTTCTTGGGGGTTTAGCTTACCCACTCGGGCCCGCCGATTGAATTGACTTGGCAACTAGCGTGGGGGAGTAAGGTTGGGGAACAAAAAATTGGCTCAAGCCTCGGAGTTTTATAGGGAAGGAGGTAGGCAGGGTTTTTAAAGGGATGGTGACAATAAAACGGAAGAAAGTAAGTAAGCGAGAACGAGATCCTACGAGCGAGCAAGAGCGGGAAATAGTGCGTGTGAGAGAGCGAGAGAGACAAGATGGTGCATAAGGGAGAGATTGAGAGAGGGTGGTTATGAGAGAGAGAGAGAGAGAGAGAGAGAGAGAGAGGGAGAGAGAGAATGAGAGAGAGCGGGAGCGGGAGAGGGTGTGCGAGAGAGTCTGACAAAGAAAGCTTTTAATTTTTGGAAGATTCCAGCCGTTGTTCGTGATTTTTCTTTCTCTCTCCCTCTCTCTCGCTCGCGCTTTCTCTCCCTCTCTCCATCTCTCTCTTCCTCCTTCCAAGTTCGGCAAGTACTTTCTAAAAATCCCCAGTCAAACGAATAGCGTGGGAGAAACCGGACCTGACGACTAAAGAACCTCCGAAAAGGCTGAACATGAAAAATTCCAGGTCGCCCTCCCCAAAAAACAATAGTGAGAAGTCGACGCCCAGGGCAAGTGTCCGCAACAGCATTTTTATGTATTTTCGCAGAAAGAGGGCAGCCAGTCAACAAGAAAAACAGTTGTCGCTTCTCTACATCGAATTTTCCATCTTAATCAATTCATTCAAATGCTTATAAATGCTTACAAAAATATACTGCAGAAAACGAAAGCTTTGCAACCGGGATGCTGGTAGTTCGAGCACACGAGGGATGGCTCGCGGGCATTTTTTTGGCGTTGCGGCCGATTGGTTGTTTTACACTTTGACACAACGACAGGTTGGCCAGGGCCCTTTCCTCTGGCCGCTTCCCTCAACACAGATGGGCCCTAAAATTTGGGCCCAAATTGGACCCCGGCATTGGTCAGGAGCATCTGGAAAGGCAGGGGAATGCGGGAACGTTTTAGCAGCACCTAAAAACAGCGATTCAAAAAAAGTGGTAGGCTAGCAGTGATTTTTTGGGAAGCGAGAGAGAGAGGGAGAGGGAGAAAGAGAGAGGTAGTGAAAGAAATAGAGAAAGACAGGGAGATGGAGATAGAGATAGAGAGCGAGTGAGCGAGCGAGAGAGAAAGAGACAGAGACAGAGAGAGAGAGAGAGAGAGAGAGAGAGAGAGAAAGCAACTTTCAAAAACCTAAACCTCACCTTGCCAGGTCGTTCATGCAAAACGAACACAAAAAACCAGCGTTCCTCCCGAAGAATCCGGACAAGAAAAAGGTGGTGCTCCAGAAAAATGGATTAAAGGCCCCCCTCCTTCAGGCATGGTGGTGAAAATGCGCTGTGAGAGGATGGGTCAGACAACCGGGACGGGTCGTCTGGGTCTGGTTTTGGATAAAAAAATAGCTTTGAAACGTTGGAAAAGAAAACAGTCTACTAAAATGACCGCACTGTTAGTCAATTAAATGTAAAAGAAGTGAGAGGAAAACTGAAACCTCAGCCTATTTGCCCTTATTAGCACTCAGTCCGGCTAAATTTACTCACACGTTCGGGTCAATTGGTTAACGATTTCACCTGGCAGGACAGGCATAATGCCTCAAAAGTGCACAAAAATAGCTAGAGCTGAGTAAGCTCTTAAAAAAATGTTGTTTCTTGAAGCAATTGTCAGGGGAAACCTTTTCATCAATGTCGCAAGCCTAAAACGAAGCATATTTCTGGATGGAAGCTCATGCTCAGGATAAAACAATGCCTGGCCGAAGCCTAAGCCTAAGCCTAGCCAACCCTAGGCCTACTCCTCAGCCTAATTTAAGCCTAAGCTAAGCCTAAGTTAGGCCTACGACCCGAAGCCAAGCCTGAATTCAAGGCATTCAATCTTTACGACGAAGCGTAAAAAATGCAGCAGAGCAAATCCAGCAATCCAATTAAGCGTTTTTATCGGCTAACGTAAGCAAAATGCCAGCTTACCCCGCAATTCCCCTAATCGCACCCGGGCTACCGTACCCTTCAGGGCTCGGTTTAGCCGTGGGGAATAAGCCAGACATTTTTAAGCCCCCCCTGCCCCCCACCCTGCCCGCGTTTTTGAAGGGACCAGATCGCAGGTCCGGAAAAAATGACGAGATTCCAGCCCTGGGGCGGTAGGAGACGCGGCGTACAAAATAATGTGGCCGGTTGCCCTGTGCTAGGGGCATTTCCCCTTCTCTCCATCGTCCACCACATCGACGAGGATGCGTTCAGAAGGGCCATTAGCCCAAGATCCCCCTCGGCCGTTTCCTATATGATGCCCTCCATCCCTCCTTTTCGAGCCCGTCCATTCCTAATGGCTTATACAGGGTGAGGCATATATATCGAAGCACTTACAGAAGGCCCTCAAAAATTTAAGAAAACTCGGTGGGCCGTGTTATTTTGTCAAGATGTAGCCTCTAGTGCTATTTCCAAGTTCCCAAAATAACAGAACCTGGCATTCTTGAAAATTTTTTATTTCATGTAAAACTTGAGGTTTATGGGGGTTGGCTTGGCACGCAACCCCTTGGAGTTCCATTTCGGCCGGCCTCGAAAATCCTGATTCGGGCACCTATGCCTGTCAAAAACGTTGGTGCATTGTAGTTACAACAAATAACGGTCGCAGCTGTAGTTTATTTACCTATATCAGACGGAAATTTCAGATTAAGACTCAGCTATCCTCAAAATGCATAGTAAAAATCATAAAATTGTAGTTTGCGACTTTTAGCTGTATAGTTCTTGATTTAGTCCACGGCACCTAATTTTGCCAAAGACCTAGAATGTCAAAACATGCTGAAACAAAAGTTTTCTTCGAGCGTTTATTTTGTAATGCATTTTTAAGTCGGTACGATCGCGGGACCTGAGTTGGGTCAGGGCTTGATTTTTGACTACAACAAAATTGTTTCGCTTATTTTTGGCTATCCGACTTTTGCAATAAATAGATAGGTCTTAATCAAGCTAGAATCGACGATCCTGAGACGGTGCTACCTTTAGGCCGATCTCTAGGAGCAGCGTGCCAACACACCACTTTTTCGACAAAACGGCTAAACTTTGATAAATGATAAATAAAAAACAAGGCAGTCGGCGATCATTTTTCTTCGACCCCTGCATCAAGAACCACTTATTGTATTTTGGTAAATATACAAAATTCCTAAAAACTGGTTAGTTTTTTACTTGCATGCAAAATTTCATGGCCCGGGGGTGCTTCGATATATATGCCTCACCCTGTATTTTGGGACGGACCAGGATGGGGGGATGGAGCGAACGTGCGCGTTGCGGGGGGCTAGAATTTGGTCTTGATGGACGGAGAGACACCCAGTTGCTTATTTTAAAGTCTGCGGGAAGTCAAGAGAACATTATTCGCCTAAAGATTTGCACTGCAGGCATAACACCGACAGCCAAAATCCCGACATTTAACTACCGAAATTCAAAATCCCGAGGACGTTTCCCGTACTTCCGATATATGGTTTTAAAATCTGGGGTTTCTGGATGTCGGGATTTTCGTTGTCGGGATTTTCGCTGTTGGGATTTTCGTTGCCGGGATTTTCATTGTCGGGATTTTTGTTGTCGGGATTTTGGATGTCGGGGATTTTGAATTTTGGGATATCGGGGAAAAATTTGTTAGCAGTGATTTGTTATCAATCTGGCAAAAATCATTTGACATTTTACCGTATTGAAATTACGGCAACATTGACCTTCGACGAAATGAATATCGGGATTTTTTCGGCACGTCCGATTCTTTAAAAAATCAGAAGCCGGAGTTTCAGAATTTCGGGATTTTCAGCAATGGAATCTCATTTTGTAAATTCCGGGTTTGAAAGTTCGCGATTTTGGACATGGACGGATATGTCGCTTTGCCAGCCGTCTACGGGTTTAAAGGAGTCAGCAAGGTATCATCGACCTTTACCTCGTAGGAACTTCGTTTTAGATTATGACAAATGGCCTCTGCTAGCCGCAGTTTTAAGCGTCCAAGGTACGGGAATGGACTGAAAACGCTGCGCTAATGTGCTCTGCTACGCCCAATGAATGAAAGGAACGATCAAATGCAAAAAATTGCTCAGAAACGCTGGTGTTGACAAGTAAGCTATTCCAAAATCATCGCTGCTAGCAGCCCGGCCATTTAAAGGGACGGTATCAGCACAAAAAGCAACGCCAACGGCCCCATAATCCAAAGTCTTTTGGGGCGCCACCCTCTTGCCCTATGGCCTTATGAATATGGAGGGGGTAGAGGGGGATTTTCGGGGGGATGGACCGTGGGAGAACGACGGGATTGGGCCCTAAGAACCCACCAAAAAGGGCACCAACAGCCTGACTTTGGGTTCAGACGAGCTTATGGGTGGAAGGTCGACATTAGAATGATTTTAAGGGGGGCTGTGAAGGCAAAATTTGACACAATTTAAAGATTTTTGTTACGGTAGTTTAGCGTTATTAGTAAAGTTGCGGAGTTGATCCAAAGGAAGCAAAAAATTCCAGATGTCCCCAAAATTTCCGCTGTCGATCCTACACTTCTTAATCCCTTTAATTATAGCTGGAAAATTTTCGGCGTCTCTTCTCTCTCTCTCGCTCTCTCTCTCGCTCTCGCTGTCTCTCACCGCCTTCAACATTAAAAGTTCTAATTTCCTCCCCCACTTCCAGAAAAATGATGACTCACCATCGACCAATTTGGCCTCAACAGCCGACCCCTCCATCCACTCGTTATTCGGGGATTATGGGCCGATAAAAATGAGCATGAGGTTCGCGCTCCCGCTCGCGTTTTCAGTAGTTTGACCGAAAAACTGCATAAATTCCGAAGTCGTTCGATATGTCACTATTAGTGCGTCTGCTTGCGATCACTTGTGCCTTCCTGGCTGTGTTTGCGGTCAGTTGTTTAAGGAGATTTTTCGAGAGAGAGAGAGGGAAAGGGAGAGAGAGAGAGAGAGGTAAAGGGAGAGAGAGTGAGAGAGAGAGAGAGAAGGAGAGAGACAGAGAGAGAGAGGGAGAGAGAAAGACAGACAGAGAGCGAGAGAGGGAGAGAGGGAGAGCCATTTTCAGAAGCCCCACATCACCGAGGCCGAGAAGAATGCCTTCGTCAGCCACGTCAAAACCAACACGTGTGGGTACCACAATTTCATGACGTAATCAATTAGCTTTAGCCGGTCTGTACTTTGTCGACCTGAAAACGGATGCTAGCGATGAAGCCGAGGTAAGGACAACATCGCCAAAGTACAGAAAAGTACCGCAATCCACCGTAAACCACATTTTTTTCAAGGATTATTTACCTGGTCGTAACCCTCCTTTTTCCAGGACCAAGACACGAAGGCCAAGCGGGCCGTTGCTGACCCAGGTATGGTTTGATACAATTTTTTATCGCAGTTTAAGAACCCCCACGTGCCGCTCCAGAATCCGCGGAAGGCGTCGACAGCTCGGAAGAGGTATTTGGTGCCTAAAATCGTACTGCAACATTTAGCCAGAACTAGACGCCGGCGAGCCCCAGCAATTCCACATGAGACTCGCCGAGATGGGCCAAGAATATTAATTTTCTCGGCTGTTGCGCTTAAGTTTTTTATTGTGATAAACGATATTTTTGAACAGGAATTAATAATATTTGGATACCGACGCGAAAATTCGTCAGTTCCAGAACAAAAAATTAACCTTTGAAAATGGTATTACGGTAGTTAGTTTTCGATATTTTTTGTTTTTATCGCTTACATTTTCAAAAGGCTATTCAGCAGAGCATCAAGAAATGTGCTCAGAGTCTTAATCACAGCTTGAAATAATGTATTAAAAAAGTTATACAAAAACAAACAAAAATAACCTAGTTTTCGATATTTTCTCTTTTTGTTTCTTAATTTTTTGTTGATTATTTAATATTTTACAGACACCATTCGAAGAGCATCAAAAACTATCCTAAACGTTTTAATTTTAGCTCAAAATAGCGTAAAATAAAGCATTTATAGCCGAAAAGATATTAATCCGTACGCGTCGCTCCTTTTTTCACCACGACCCGCGCGGATCTGTTGATTTTCCACCCAGCAAATGACCTTTTCTATTTCTTGAGATAGCTGTGGGTGAGAAATGTTGTTGTCCAGCCCAGTTCTTTCCATTCAAAAAGGAGCCGGCAGCCGCGAAAAATCTATTGGGAAGGGAAAACAGCATTGTTGTGTGTATCCAGCAGCCGTGAACGCGTAGGAAAATACAGTGCCCACCGCGCGCCATTCCGTCGCCATGTATCGTCGTGTAGCACTGCTGCTCCTACCACTTTTCTGCTACGCCATTTATGCTGCAGATGAAGAGACGACTGTGAAATGCGTTGTTGGTAAGTCTAAAGGGCCCCCCAAGGCGGATAGCCAATTTTATTCCTATGGATTTTGGCCTTGATTGTGACACGCGATGGATTTTGGTGGCCGTCGATTACGTATATATTTTCACGCACCGCGATACGCCTATAAATATACGCGCCGCCTTTAAAACAGCGCTAAATTTGGCTATTTTTTGCGGAGTTGGAAACCATTAAGCTACTAATTTTACGATTTTTGACCATAGTAATGCGGTCATTCAATACAGCGTAAAATTCTGATCAATATCAGCCAAGAAAAATTCCGTTCAACGTTGGTATCGCCCAAAAAATGCTATTGAAATCCGAGTGAGATGCTTGTATCTACACAAAACATGCTTTTGCGTCATTTTACGGCAATATTCTGACTTTTTCCAATCATAGCACATACCAGAATTTTGTGCAGTATCGAATCAGCGCACTTTCTATTAAATCCCCACTTCCCTGACCCTTTGAAACAATATTTCCGAATTTCCAGGCCGCGAACCGGGGCGCCCATGTGACGAGCCTGGCGCGCAAAAATTTTTCTTCGACGTGAAGCGCGGCATTTGTCAACCATTTTACTACAAGGTGAAATTTTGGGCGTATATCACAAAACCCTAGACGTTGATTTAGGGTTGCGGCGGAAACGAGAATCGCCACGATTCAAGGGCCGAATGCGAGAAGACGTGCAAGGGGTCCAAGCTGGCACCGGCGGCTCCTGTTGGTGAGTTCGGGGAGCGTAAGAGCCTTTTTTTAAAGCAATATCCAAGAGTGGTAACAAAATGCCCAAAAAATTTCGAAAATCCCGTTGAAGTTGCCCCGAAAAAAAAGGCAAATATCGAAAAGTCTGCCACACAGAAAAGCTTTCCCGATCAAGTCCTCCCCCGAACGACCAGAACCAGAACCGAAAGCTCACCAAAAAAATTTGGGATCAAAGCCAAGGTAAAGAAATCACAGACTCTTGAAGCAGCTACTATGCCATTTGCGAACCAAAGTATCAAGGGTCAAAGCACAAACTCGAACAACTTCTTTATTCCATCCAACGACATAAACCATCCATGTTTATCACCAACACGACAAAAGGATTTCACAAAGACATTTGAAAATCGACACATTTTACATAAAATCACAGGCGAGCGGAACCAAGACAATGAATTGGTGGACAATAAAGTGGAAGCGTTGGGCGAGCATGGAGATGTGTTAATTGTTGTTGTTGTTGTTGTTGCACGTTTTACGGATGTAGCCGTCCAGGTCCTTCCTCGTATCCGCGAACTTCGAAGGGAGCTGGGAGTAGCGGAACTGAAGGCAACATAGTTGGAAGTTGCAAGAAAAGAGATTTTACCTCCATCCAATCCATGCACGTCGCGAAGACGAACAGGAATTGCTGTTCGGTCTGGACGGATGAGGCCCGCTGGTCGCGCAGCTTCTTGAACATCTCGAACGGCTAAACAAGCGGAAATAATGGTTCTAGAAGCACAATCATACGTCGAAAGGCTCGTTCGCGGCGCAGGCCGTCTTCATCCAGTGGATCAGCATGATCGTTCCGGTGCGACCAATCCCGGCGGAGCAGTGCATGACGGTCTGGCCCTTGTTCAACTCGTCGCCATGCTGAAGATGAATGCTTGCCAAAAACATGAAATTTTTGAACCTTGTCCAAGGCACGCAGGAAACGGAGGAGATGGGGACCGCTGCTGGGGACGCCGCGATCCGGCCAGTCGTGCATCTGGATGAGCCTGGAAAAATAGAGTTCCCGCGAGTTCAACTATATTTTAAGCGGGGAAATAACTACATTCGAAACTAAATAAACTAACTAACTAAAAAAACTGATAACTAAATAAAGAAAAAGAACATTTTTTTTGTTAAATTGGAATTTTGGTTAAAGACGGCGATTTTTGGTCGAAAAACCGACTATTTTAAATTTGTTATGATAATCTACTTTACTAAAAAGTTCCCACCGAACAATCCGGCTGTTCGAGCACCCGTCCGGCAGCAGCTCGATGGTCAACGCCGTGAAGCCCACCTGCGTCTCCTTTTTCTTGTTGTTGACGAAGAAACGGCCGTGGTTCTGGAAGAGGCCCGGCTCGTCCGGCCAATAGGCGGCGCACTGAAAAGAGGACAACGTTTCGAAATTGTGCGTGGTCCACACCTTGATCTTCCCGTCTTCGACCAGACGGCACAGCTGCACAATGTTCACGACCTCGTGCTCCCAACACATCCGCCAGAAGTCGACGATGGTGGCCTCGGTGGGGGCCTGGGTGGCGATCCACGTCTCGCGCTTGTCCATCTAGATATTAAACTTTGAAGTAATCTGCGAAAGTTTACCTTGACCCAATTGGCGTGGATGTAATCGCCCTCATTGGCTTCTTCCGGCGTGATCTTGACGCGGCTCTCATCCAGGCACACCGTATCTTGGTAGCGGTTCTTGTCCGGGTTGGCGGTGAAGGCGGTGATTGCCTTGTTGGGGCCGGCGTACGGCTTCAGTTCGACCCACTTTGCACGAAGCCCGTTGGCGCCTAAATGAGTGGCGTTGCGAAGAAATGTCGAAAAGCCGAGAACATTGGGAATTGGAAGAGAATCTGCGGTTGCGCGGCCTGATCACAATAAAGTACCAGAATAGATTTTCGATATTTTGGTTTCAAAAGATGCGTGATTTTTCGTAAAACATTTAATCTATTTAGTTTTTCGATTTTTCTATCAAATTTTCGAAATGAATTTGTTTGTAACAAAATTGGGGAGTTTTCCGGGTTGAAAGGACGAATTGCGCCGCCGGTGGACAGTTGAGCGTGGAGAGGAGCGCGTCGTAGTGTGTCGAAAGGCGTCGCGCGTAGCCCACAGACGCTCAACGCCGGAATTCCGGAAACCCACCAAGGTCGATGATCAGCTTGAGGAGATCGCGCGCGGAATCGGTGGGCGGCGGTGGCGGCGGCTGCGGCTTTGACTTAGCTTTTTCCGGTTCTTCGGCCTTTTTCTCTGGTGTGGCGGGAGCTAAAATAGAATTATAAATAAGAGGAAAATCGCTGCCGGGTCTGTATACTTTGCTTCAAAAAAACGTTTTTACCGATAGTGAAAGAAGGCTAGCGGTATACTAGGTACACCGATTCCCCGAGCTCTTATTGGTTTTTTTACGCAAAAACGTGTCAGGCCTACAAAATAAGAGAGAAAGTAAGAGTAATGTTAGTAAGAAAGAAAATGACGAACCCGTCTCACGTGTCGCCACCTTGCGGCCCTGGGGCGTCGGGGGCTTCTTCGCCTCGGCGGATCCGTCGTCCTCCCTCGTTGCGTCCTGGTTCTTCGGCTTCTTCTTCTTGCTTGGCTTCGACTTCGGCGTCGGAGGAGCCATCCGGGAGCGCGATCGTCTTGGCCGAGTTGGCGAAATAACGATAGCACCGGCGGGTTTCAGCCGCTTATGAACCGGGAAAGCCATGCAAATTTGGGTTGCCTTCCGTTATTAATTTGTGAAATATGCAAATATGTACGAAATATGCAAAATATGCAAAATAAATACGCAAATTCGGCAACTTTATCTGGGATTGAAGTTATGGTCATCGAAATCATCGCCTGTTTTAGTTTTGCACGCACCCGGGGTGACACTTGGTGTCACTAAGATCGGATTTTCTCAGTGGAACTGCGATGAAATTTGTTTCTGAAAACTGGGTTTGGTAGCGCTTCAACTAATCTATATTCTCTGAAAAAATCAGCCGGAGACTCCTTATTTTACAAAAGTTACAACTAAAAAACACGATTGTCCATGTAAAATCGTACGAGCGCCCGGTAGGTCTTCATTTTATACTAGCGCCACCTTTATACTTTATACTACTTGCGATTGATCATAAGACTACCTTTTCAGTCCTTTTAAACTTATTTCAGCCCGATGCCCCGCCGGAAATCCCGCAGCGATGGATGACAAGGGAAAAGCCCTCGAATGCTCGCGGTGTCCAAAGGGATATTCCTGCGAAAAGGACCTTTGTTGTGCGTCGAAAGGTATAGGTTAAATTTTGTATAAATTATCGTAAAAGATCTTGCGCTAGTAATGGATTAATATAGGATCCGATTTCTTCATGTTCTTTAATAAAACCGGGAATTCCAGAAAAGGCTTGCGATGTGGAGTACGACTCCGGGAAGTATATGACGGGCCGGGCTCACATTCCAAAGTAAGTGCTTTTAAAGGACCGAGCGAGCAAGGCACGACCATGGATTCGTTGCTCTCTCAATCTATCGCTCTCTCTCTCGCTCTCTCTGTCTCTCTCCCTCTCTCGCTCTCTCTCACTCTCTCACTCTCTCTCCATGTCTCTCTCTATGTCTCTCTCGCTTCTCTCGCCTTCACCGAATCGGCAGTCTAGCATTAATGCGCCTTCCAGATACTTCCACAGCAAACAGCTCGGCACGTGTATCCTGTTCACCTATTACGGATCGATGGGAAATGCCAACAACTTTGACACATTCCACCAGTGCGAACAGTTCTGTGCGAAATAATGTGAAGAAATGCGACTCGGCGTAGAATTAGAGATGCTTGAATAAATAGCTTACGGGTTTTTACATTTCATCGACGGGGATTTGATGTCACTGAGCCTTTAAAAGACATTTTTTAAGTTTCTAGTCGAATTTTTTTGTAAAATCATCCATTTTGGGGTCGAAGAATCGATTTCTGTTTCTGTAAGAAAATAGTGTAATGTTTTTATGATACTTTTAAAGGTCTATGTTAGGTAAAGACTGCTCAGCAAGGCTGCTTCCATCTATATTAGATAATTTCGATCCTAAAAAAAAGTCTGTCCCCCCGATAATGGACAAGCACCAAAACCTCGTAAAAGAAACACCTTTTCTCAACATCAACCTCATAATCCCCCGAAGGCGCTAGACCTTCTGCTCCCGTGTGCACGCCCGTACAAGCGTAGCGTCGTGTAACGGGTTTTGCACGCGCCCTGCTCTTCCTCTGCAACTTTTTGACCCCCGTGCAGACCATGTTTGCACTCAATGCCCCTCCCTGCAAAAAAGGAGGGGACTCTTGAGTGGGGGGGGAGCCGCCCGGAATTTGGAAACCAGCGTAGCCTTTCTGTGTCCTGGCCTCGGCTCGCTCGCTCTCTCTCTCTCTCTCTCACTCTCTCTCTCTCTCCTCTCTCTCTCTTTCTCTGTCTCTGTCGCTTCCCAAGCCCGCCCCCTGACGGTCGCAAAGCACAATTTAGAACGAAGAACCACTTGGACCCGTTGACCCCGCTCTGAGGGCTGGTTCTTTGATCCCCTCGGCAGCCTGGTTCCGCCTTTTTTCAGCTGCTACTTCAGAAAAAGGTGTTGTCGGCATTTCTGCCTGTCGGGATTTGTCTGTCGGGACTGTGACTGTCGGCATTTTGACTGTCTGGATCTCTTTGTCGGCGGTCGTTGACATGCCAATTTTGGTCTTTCGGATTATCGCCATTGGGATTTTGTCCTGTCGGCATTCTGGATGTCGGGATTATGGCTGCCGGTAATTTGGTTGTTTCGGTATTATGGCTGTCGGGATTATTTTGGCCGGATTTTCGCATGTCGTTATTTTGGCGTTTTCTTATTTTACGCTTTAACGATTACGACAGGTAATTCCAGGCCCTTTTTACCTCCCAAAAACCCTCGAGCTTCCAAAACATTGCAAATTCAAGGCCAAAATTGAGCCCGCCGAAAGCTCGGTCTCCAATTTCCATCCGCCTCCACATTTCTGGGATCAATTTACCATCGAATGACGCGGGTTTTGCATTTTCGCATACAATTTGGATTGCACTTTTTATTCCATTTTATTGCATCCTTTATGGTAAACAGGATCTACTGTCAGTTTTCTAGGCTGATATATATTCCACCCGATATAATCCGGTCGAGTGTACCCTTCTAACATCGCCCTTTTTTGTTTTTGCCTCACGCCAATCCAAAATTGTACGCCCTGGGTAGTTTGTGCGGCGCCCATCTATTCATTTCCCGGGTATCGAGTGTCCGCTTCTTTTTCTTGGAAATTAGGAAATTTTAAAATTCAAATTAAATTACGCCCCTATTTTTGAAAGATATTCGAATTAAACCCTGAAACTGTAAGGAAAATTTGTTGAATCATGTATTTTAATTATTTTCTAGTCATTTTTAAATCGTTGAATTGTTCGGAAACGCTTCAATCCATCAATCGACTAGATCTTGACAAGCGCAAGCAGCCTCAAAAAATTGCATGCATAATCTCTCAAAATTTTCATATCTGTATTTAGTTTTAAGTTTATCATTTTCTTTTTCGCAAATTTTGCGTTTAAGTTACGTTTCATTACGGCACCAAGCACATTTCTAAAACGTTTTATGAAATTTTGGCTCTTAAAACGTGTTTTCTCACACTCACCATGGTCTTTAAAAATTCGTTAGCTCCGCTTAATAACAAAGAACACCTACAAACGCTGTGTGGGACCCAAGGTCAGAAAGATGACCAAAATTCGGGTCGTTGTGTTGCACTTCCCCCGCGTGTCTTGGACAAATATTTCATTTTTTGAGGCGGGGAAGGGGGGGGGAGAAGCTGAAGGAAAGAGCGGGCCGTTCTCGCGCTCTCTCCCCCTCTCTCTCTCTCTCTCTCTCTCTCTCTCTCTCTCTCCCAGACGACGAGCGGTGGGGGCCATGTGACCAAAACGTGAAACCTGGGCGGACGGCCAGAGGGAGCCGGAGAGCCCTGAGAAAACAGAGCCACGCGGTGTGCGTGGTGCGTCAAGAGGAAAAGTCGGAAAAGTGGGGGGCCGTTTTTGAGTGGAAGTGCCCTTTTTTCGGGGGTCTCTCCCCGGTGATCTCGGTCTCTCATTTGCCGGGGCCCTTCCTCCACCTCCTTCTCACACCCATCAACACCCACGTGTTTTCCGGCCGGGGTATCGATGCGGAATTCGGGGCGGCTTTTGCCCTTTCTCTATCTCTGGGTGATGTCTCTATATCTCTAACTTTTTTTGCGCAATCTCCGATCCGCTAGAATCGATTAAAACGTTCGCCCGGGCGATGATATCGTAAAAGTTGCCACCGGCACCCGAGCGGGGGTATTCCGGAAATTTTTCCGTGGACTTCCTCTGGCCGTTTCAGCGGATTTAGCTATTTTGCTATCGTAACTATTTATATTGAAGCATATATTAAGCAGCATATTATTGTATTATCCTCAATTAATGAGTGCGCCACTTTCTAGTCTAGATTTGTTAAAATAGTCCGCCTTTTTGTAGTTTTACGGGTCTATAGACATTTTTGCTATATTAAAGTTATAACTGAGTATTTACCGCATTATTAACAATCTTAGCGTAGTGTAAGCGTAGTAGTATTGTAAGCGTAGCAAATTTGAAGTGGGGCAAAAAGCAATTAACGCCAATTAAGGCCTACTTATAACTTTTTAAGGCCATTTCCGCGCTTTTTGCCATTTTTTTTGGATAAAGCTTGCGCTTTTCCTATCGTAACCGGTCATATTGTCACTACATTGTTACATGCAATAGCTATTAAATTAGTTCAAAATATCAAATAATTTTGCTTTATTTCCGGCTACGGCTCCGCTACTCAAAACGGCTGTCACCTTATCGCTGGCAGCCGTTTTTTCCGGCTAGATACTGATCCCGGTGCTTCACCGCCCGCTTTGTTATCGATCATTCTGTTTGTGGGTTCATTCGGGGGTCCAATTTCAATTCAATTCAATTTCATTTCAATTAGATCTTTTGAACGAGTCTAGATTAGTTATCTCCGCGTTGTTGTCTGTCGGCATTTTTGCTCCTCTGGTACCTCGGGTGTCGGTATTTGCACACCGAAGTGTATTTTCTGCTGCATTACTTGCCATTCTCAAATGCTAAATAGATTTCTAGCCCAAAATCACCCCCTTACAGTCCAGATGCGCTAGAAGATGATGGCTACGTTGCGCACCGGCAGCGGGCTGCCCTTCAAGGAGGAGCCGATGGATGAGGGGGTGCTGATTGATGAACCAGGTGGAGCCTTACCCTCTCCTTTAAAGGATCGTAGTGACAAAATTATGCATTTCCTGAACTCTCTGAACCCGTTGTTCACCTCCAGGCCCGTCCGCTACAGTGCCGTGCCTGGTATGCAGCCGAATGACGAACACCGGCCAGCATTACGGTGTGCAGAGCTGCCTCGGGTGCAAGACGTTCTTTCGCAGGGTACGGTAGCTGTTATATCAATTTTATTTATGCTAGACCCACCCCGGATTGTACTCTCCGATAATCACTTCCTCTTTCCAGGTCGTCATCAAAGGCAATCAGCCCAAGTGCAAGTATGACGGGAACTGCAAGCTGGTCAAAGGTAAGTGGGTGAAGGTGCTTAGTGCGTAGTTTTGTGTTTTTTTTTACCCGGCAGAGTTCGTAACTATCCATGCTTTCGAGGTTAAGGTTTAAGTTTTCTTAACCTATCTTAAAGACTCAGAGCTATTTTGTAGCTTATACTTTTACATTTTTCAGGCTATATTTTTGTAGCTTATAATTTTATATATTCAGTTTAGACATTTTCTGTTCCAGGCTACAACCAGAAGCGAATTTGCCGATCTTGCCGCCTACAACGATGCCTGGATATCGGCATGACCGAAAAGGGTAAGCGGGGCGAGGGGCAGGCTAGCAAATACCGATCGGGAATGGTCCGGCATTTCCGGGCTTGAAATACCATAAAACCAAGCTTTTCAGCACTACATCCCTGTCGAGACGCGATCGGAAAGAGGAGACGTTCTCCCGATGATGCGCGTAGTCGGAGTGGCTCGGAATCGGAGGAGGGGCCGCCTGGGGCATCGCCTGATAGCTCGGCACCTTCGGCTGCTGGCTACAGTCCGGATGCAAACCAGGTTAGCCTTAATGGGATTGGGAGGTGACGACAAATTATAGTGCCTCTAAAAACCTGCAAAATTCAGGTAAAAACTAAAAAAATAACTTCAAATTCCAGACGCAGCGCGCGGCCGCAGCACTTTCTCTGTTGAATGCGGTCCGAGATGGGGATATCGTGATGCGGAGTCGATTGTCGGTGGCGCATGGGCATACACCGGCCGATGATCCTGAGCATTTTTATGCGATTCCACCGGTATGGAGATTACGGAGCGAGAAGATACTTGGGTTACTAAAGAATCTCCGCTAACCGACAAATCACAAAAAATCTCTGCTAACTGCCGCTCCTAAATTATTTTGACTACTCTGGTCAAAACAACTCTGCTAGCTGCCGCTCCTCAAAAAAGCTCCTAAAAATTCAATTAAACTTCGAAAAAGACGAAAAACTGATCAAAGAATCGAAATTGACGTTCAATCGAAAAGTTTCAACAGTTTCAATTCATGAATTCGCTGCTGTCACAATCCCTTTAGCCCAACAACTCTTCAATTTCAGGCCGAGGTCCTCCTCTCCCGTCTTTCCCTTAATGCATCAATCGGGGATGCCCTCCGTGCTGACCTGATCCTGATCCGGGAATGGGTGGAACGTCTCGTGCCGCTTGCAACGCTGGGAGCGGAATCACAGGTAAATTCAATGGCCCTAAAGCACTTTTATGATTTTAATTGTGCTCTACTATGCGTAGGTTCCAAAATATCACACAATTTCCAGAGAGGCCTCATATCACAGTTTTCCCTGAAGCATACCATCCTGGAGCACGGCTTGTTGACGCAGCGGATTCCGTTCTTCCAGAACGTCTGGTTCTACGGCGATTTGTCCTGCTATCTCACCAAGTAGGTGATCTAGGTTTTTCAACTAGGATGCCTATTTATTTCTATTTTCTAACTATTTGCCTAATCGCTTGAAAAAATTTTCCTAGCAAAAGTCTAATACCCTAATAATGCCAATTTCAGCCTCGAATCGATCCCGGAACCGATCCGTGCCCTCGTCACCCCGCCAATCCAGGCGCATCACAGGTATCTAGGCCAAAAAAAACGAAAAATCCAACCTTTAGCCTGCTGCAACCGCTCTTCCGCTGGCTTCGCGAGGAGATAGTCACCTCCCTGGATAGGTTGAAGCCGTCTACGACCGAGATCGCTGCCATAAAGCTGATCAGCTTGCTGTGTGAGTCCATTTAAACGTACTGTTGATGCACAGATCTGCTTTTATGCCTTTTCCTTCAATATATTTCGAACTTTAGCACGCGAAGGCACCGTCTTGGAACCCACGGAATTGCAAACGGTCGAACGGCTCCGTGATGAGGTCCTACTGGGTCTGCACCAACACTACGTTGCCGCCCAGCACCCATCAATCCCGCAAAGAATCGGCGAGCTGTTGATGTTCTGCGGCACGTTGTCGGTAAGGACTTAGGTATTAAAGGAATCGAGAAAAAACCGGAGTAATAGTAAAATACCCGGTTCTGGACTGTTAGCGGGGGGGGGGAGAGGCTTTACCAGCGGAACCAAATTATTCGCACGAATCCCATATACATCCCTATAGCTTTTTATAGCATTTTACACAGTGTTTAGCTATAAAATCTACAAAAAATGTAAAAAAGTTTTCAAAATTTTAAAACTTTTGGTCAAAACTGTATGAAAAATGACAAAATAAAATAAATCTTTTCCGATTTCAACATGTTTAGATAATTATCTTATGACCAGCGCCCAAAACCCGCTTCGCGGGCCTTGGGCGCTGGAATGCGGCCTTTGCATGATAAATTTGACTTTCCGATAGCTCGGGTCCGGCGGACCCCCCGACCAAACACGCGAATGCAACTGGCAAGAATGAGGAACTTTGTATTTTTCACTTTATGCAAATTAGCCCTCCCGGACCCCTAAAAATGAATAAAACCGGCTTTAACTTTGTAAACTTGTATTTTATCGAAATTCTGAGAACACCATCGGAAAGAGGAGGGTCGATTCCACCGGGTTACGGAGAATTAGGGCATTTTGGACACGGGAAGGGCCTCAAATCTGGCCTCGAAACTGACCTCCGCACACACACACACAGACAAAGATACGCGACCAAATTATATAAGGTAGGACTTTTTGCCAATGAAAAATTTCCAAAAATGCGCTAAAATTACATTAGACATTATTAAAATGTAGGTATAGGATGAAAAATGAGAATTTGTGCCCCCTACTCAAAATCCCTCCGTTAATACAGGGTGAGGCATATATATCGAAGCACCTCCAGAAGGCCCTCAAAAATCTAAGAAAGCTCGTTGTGCCGTGTTATTTTGCCAAGATGTAGCGACTAGTGCTACTTCCCAGTTCCCAAAATAACAGAACCTGGAATTCTTGAAAACTTTTTGTTTAATGCAAAACTTGAGGCTTGTGGGGGTGGGCTTGGCACGCACCCCCTTGGAGCTCGATTTCGGCAGGCCTCGAAAACTCTGATTCGAGCACCTATGCGTATCAAAAACGTTGGTGCAATGTAGGACCAAGAAATAACGGTCGCAGTTGTAGTTTATTTACCTATATCAGCCGGAAATTTCAAATTATGACTCAGCGGTCCTCAAAATGCATAGTAAAAATCATAAAATTGTAGTTTGCGACTTTTAGATGTATATTTTTCTGATTTGGTCAACGGCACCTGATTTTGTCAAAAGCCTAGAATGTGAAAAGTTGCTGAAACAAAAGTTTCCTTCAAGAATTGATTTTGTAAGACATTTTTAAGTCGGTACGATAGAGGGGCCTGAGCTGGGTCTGGGCTTGATTTTTGACTATAACAAAATTGTTTCGCTTGTTTTTGGCTATCCGACTTCTGCAATAAATAGATAGATCTTAATCAAGCTAGAAGCGAGAATCCTAAGACGGTGCTACCTGTAGGCCGATCTCTAGGAGCAGCGTGCCAACACACCACTTTTTCGACAAAACGGCTAAACTTTTCGAAATGATAACTAAAAAACAAGGCAGTCGGCGATTTTTTTTCTTCGTCCCCTGCATTAGGAACGACTTAATGTATTATGGTAAATATGCACAATCCCGAAAAAATGTTTAGTTTTTAGCTTGCATGCAAAATTTCATGGCCTAGGGGTGCTTCGATATATATGCCTCACCCTGTAGTCCAGTACCCAATATCCATAGACCTGGCTTGCACGTCCCTTTAAAATCTATAAATATCTCCAAATTTAAATTAGATCTAGCCATTCCAGTTCGACATTAATGAAACGCTTCTTTTCCAGCTGGCCTCCCACCGTGGCCGCGAGCAGCTCCGGATGCTGCAATTCTTCGACCGCGGCGGCTTCGACCCGCAGAGCTACGACCAACTGTTCCCTCGACTCCCATAGCTCCACTTCGCTACAAACTACACGACCCAATGCCACCGCCCGAATTTTTGCCAAATCCCAAAAATATCTAAAAAATCCCTTTTATTTGCGCATCTGTCAAGCCTATGAAATTTTGCCCCCAGATTTCCAAGCCGTTTTCTGCAGCTTTCGATTTTTTTCCTTGTTGACTTGTGATCAGGATTGGTTTCTGTTTTTCAAATTTTTAATTTTTTTTTGATACTTTAAAATATTTCAAAAATTCTATACATGGAGGAAAAATTCCTTTTTTAGCAAATTGTCGTCAAGTTTTAAATTTTACAAAATTCCGTCATTTTTCGATTCGACACCCCCTAAAACCTCAAAAATGAGCCCAGTACCCAGATTATATCGTGTCCCCGTGTATACAGTACCCTGTGAGATCCCACCGTGCCCTACGTGTAAATACATCACCCACCCTGCGATTCTATCCGTTTCAAGACTTCTATTGATAAAGAATTGGATTTTTGGGGGTTTTTTTAAACGCACTGGCTAGGCAGATGCAGAGATTTTGAAAAACACTTTTAAATCTAAAACGAATCTAAATTCCCGAAGGAACCCTGCAAGTATTTCCACGATGTTGCGCTTTCAGACGCCTTTTAAGTCATTCCCTAAGCGTCCACGCCGGTTCACTTAAGTGGGAATCCTCAAAGATTCATGCTAGCTTGCCAATTTTGAAGTTAGCATGCTAGCAGATTTAAAAGTACAATTTATTAAATTAAAGCCTCCATTCAAAGTAGCGAAATCGGCGCAGCCCCAAAGTGGACGGCCACCGGTGCGGCCGCCTCGCTCTCCACCTGCGAGATTGTCGCACTAAAAAAGGGTTCACGATCTTTCAAAATGTTATAGTATTCGAGATCTTTATACGTAAGCCAGACGTCCAAAAAAGGTTGCCTACCTTGGCTTGGGTGTCGAGGGCTTCTTCGAGGCGACGCGGATCGGGATCGCACTCACGTTGCGCAGGATTTTTCCGTTAGAATCGACAAGGTGCGTTTGGACACCGGTTTGTAGCCCGTAATTTTTGGAGGTGGGTAGCTAAAAATATCACTTTCTGTCTCTCTCTCTCTCTCTCTCTCTCTCTCTCTCTCTCGCTCTCTCTCTTACCTTCAAGCTTTTCCTAACAACCGGCTCCTTGGGTGGAGCTGTAATTGGTAGCTGCTTGAACTCGGCCTTCTGCCCTTTGCCACCCTTCTTCCGCTTCAGGATGACGACTCCTAGAAGAGACGCTAAGCGGAGCGTCATCATACGTACCAGCGACAGTCGATGCCTCATTTTCCGCTTTTTCTACCGTAGCCACCGTGGTGGTTGGGGTCGGCTCTGAAGACGTAGGCTCTGCCTGAAAATTATGGCTAAAATGATTGTTTTTCTCAAATAAAATTCCTCCTTGCGCTTTCTGGCGTCAGACTCCCCATAAAAGGGTCAGAAATACCCAACAATGGTATTTCTAGCTATGGATTTGGGCGGGGTCGCGACACGCAACGCGAGCCCTGCTTATCGGGCTCGATAGAGCGGAATTCATTGCACAATGGAAATGCGAAGGCATGCGTTGCGTGTCCGGGGCGCTACCGCATCCATGGGGGAGGGACACGGCCGCGGCGACACGCAACGCGTCCATGCTGAGAAACAATGCGCGTATCGCGTATCACGGTTAAGGAGCTTTGAGGTCGAAAAGTTCATTGGAACGCCTTGCCGGTCCCTTTAAAGCGCCGCGACACGCAACGCACTGGAAGGATTGGAAGCCCGGGCGGGGAGGCGCGCTGCATATCGCAAACTCGGCGGAATCCATAAGGAATCCAAGGTTACAGAACATTTACTAATGCATAGTATCACTATTTAAATGTATCGAAAGTAGTATTTGGTATAGAAAAAACTAAACTACGGCATCAGCATATTTCGACATGATGAATTTTCGGAATATGAAGGTAACCCGCATGGTACGATCATTTTTCATACGTAAATAGATTTATTATCGAAATTGAGGCGACTTATATAAAAGGATCAGGTTTAGGGATGGGCTTGTTGGGGGCGAGTGCGCGGGTTGTTGAGGGCGGCCATCATCCGGGAGCGGAGCCTCAGGTTCGGGGGAGCGGCTCGCCGGTGGACAATGGCCGTGGCCCGCGCGTGGCGTCCCTATAGCATGACACACTCTTTTCAGAATTTAAAGAGGTTCAGTTAAAATTTTGAGATTTTTTTAACCGTTAAAACGGTAAGCTGGTTAAGTAAAAGTCACGTCAAAATTGGTAATCAGTTTTTAGCGAATTTAAGGGTTTGCAAAGAGTGTGTGCATGTTTGGGGACGTGCAGGTGAGTATGCGGTATGAAAGTTAAGAACACGAAATAAGCTGACGTAAGGGCGACAGAATGGGAGAGCGGGAGAGCGGGCCGGAGAAGAGAGAGAACGAGAGAGAGAGAGAGAGAGAGAGAGAGAGAGAGGGGGAGAAAGATAGAGAGCGAGGGAGAGAGATGGAGAGAGCGATAGAGAGACAGAGAATGAGAGAGAAAAGGTCAGAGCGAAAAAGCATCGTGCATGGATTAGCCGTTTTTAAAATAATTCTTAGCATTCTCAATTTTGAAACCTACTGTCGGTAGTACAGATGCGGTGCCATCAGCGTGTTCACGAGCGGGTCGAAGGCCCAGCGGGACGGCAGCCGAGTAAATGGTGGCCACGAAGAGCGCCAACATCAGCAAGACGGACAATGACCGCATTTTCTGGCTTAAAAAGGTTTCACTTGAATTGGTCCATAAAAAGTAATAGAAAAACAAATAAAAATTGGATTAATTTCAAGGTACGTCCCAGGAAAAAGTATATTTTAACGCCCTTATCAGTGACTTAGAAACTTAAATTTAGTGACTGCGTGCAAAAGCTAAGTCTAAGCTAAGCCTAAGTGTACGCCATGCCTAAGCTAAGCCCAAGCTAAGCCTACGCTAAGCCTCAGCTAAGCCCAAGTTAAGCCTAAGCTAGGCCTAAGCTAAGCCCAATGTCCTACATCGCTCAAGTTGTGGTAAATTGTACTTTCTATTTTTCAAAGTCATATATACCCCAATCGATCAAAATATTTCATAAAAAACGTGATACTCGAAGAATTGGGCTATCAACGCCTGGATGGCGATTGGGTGGCCGCGAATTGACCCGGTTTCTCCACAACGCCGAGCGCCAGCCCCCGGATTGATGTTTTGGGTAGAGAGGAAGAAGGGGGATGAAGCCGGTCAGCAACCGCCCCGAAAAAGCTCATGCTCCTCGGGCAGGTTCTCGGCAATATAAGGCAGGGATCCGGATCACGACGCCTTTTTCAGGGCAACGGTCAGCCGTAGATAGGAGTGTAGCGTAGCCGCGAGGTGGCAGAGCTCATTTTTGAAACCGGAAACGATCGTTCGAGCACGATGTCCGGTATCTAACGTTAATTGGGCATCTGAGAACAGCGGAGAGAGACGACGAGAGAGCGAGAGAAAGAGAGAAAGAGAGAGAGAGAGAGAGAGAGAGAGAGAGAGAGAGAGAGAGAGAGAGAGAGGGATGGAGGGAGGGAGGGAGAGAGGGAGAGAGAGACAAAGCGAGAGAAAGAGCAAAGGGAGCAGCGAGAGAGCGAGAGAGAGAGACCAAGACAGATTTTTGTTGCTTTTTGCCTCGTGTTTTTTGATGCCATACGATATCACTTTTTATTATCGTTTCGGAGCCAAGGTAGCTTACGGTAGCGTGGAGTAATGCAACTTAGTGTGAAACGGAATAACCTCCAACCGTACAGTATCGCTACCTATCGCATCGCAGGGTGTTCACGCGTATCGCCGCGTATCGTTCCGTAACGTAGCGGGCGGTAGGTAGAATAGCGCAACGTCGTGTATCGTACCGTGGCATCACGCAACATATCGTTTCCTACCGTATCGTATTGTAGCGTTACCTCGTATTGTCCCGTAGCGTAGCTAAAAAATGCGCATGGTAAATGCGTACCCATCTATCCTCAACTCTGGATTTTCCAGTTTGTACTCTACACAGCCCCAACCTGATCCCGGAACCACTATCTTTGCCGGCCCAAAAACTCCGTTTTTGGCGCCTTCACTTCCGCTATTATCTGCCCTCCAATATTACCGATACCATGCAGATGATCAGCGGCGTCTAATTGTCCGTTTTTTGGGGTGTTGTGCGGAGCGGATTAGCGAATTGTAAAGAACCAGAAAGGATAAGGCGACCAATATCTTTTTCACCTGAAAAGACCGCCGGGGTTAACAAAACTTTATTACAACCTTTGTGTGTTTTTGTGTGAGTAAGGGGTTACGGTGGACGGGTTGTTTTTCCGGGAAAGAATGGGGAAGGGCGAACGGCTACGGGACCCATATTTCGGCTTTATCTTTGTGTTTTTTGATGCTTCGATGAGTGGATGGTGGAGCGGAGATGGAGTGAGGCCTAAATAAATATTTTTTATTAATTTTTGCCAGTATTAAATCGTTTTGTCGTAGGACCTAAAAATAATATATTTTTTATTTGTTATTTTTTTTTCATTCTGTACTTTCATTAATAATAGCAAAAATCGCGAATTTTGAGCTGTAAATCAAAAAATACCGAATGCACCGGAAAACTTAGGGGACTGGTTCATTAGCGGGGGGTTTAACCTTTTTATCAGCTTAAACAGTTTTTATAAATAAAAACCTAAAAAATTTATATTGGTGAAAACATGGTAAAACGCTCAAAGGAAATTTCATTTTACAAAATTTGGGGATTTTTATAACCATTTTGTAATTTTTTAGCAATCAAAAACTGATAAAACGCTAAATATACAAAATAGATTATTAGCAGGTGGAAAAAATCAGAACTATCTTGTCCCCCCCCGCTAACGAGGCAGCACCTTCGTGACAATACCCAAAGCTTGTATGCAGATAGGCTTCGTATGTGGATTTCAGGATCTCGAGATCGACATTTTTTTCAGGATTTGAAATTTGAATGAATACTTACTTTATATCGACGTGGATTTTCGCAAAATTTTTATCGCGCTAGAAAATCAGGGAAGCCCTAGAAATCCTGACTACAGTTGACTACAGTAGACGGCGCACTTAATTTTTCACTGCCAGAGATCCGGGACTAGTTTTGTGAGAATGCATCATGCATCTAGTAAGGTTTCCAAAAAAAGAAGATACACCCACCATATATCCGGGAGGGGAGGAGAAGCCCTACTTGCGGCCGAAACGGATGAACGACGCCTTCCTCTTGTCGACCAGGGCTGGCCGCAGCTCCTCTGAGCTGTCTTCTGCCTGAAAAATTAATTAATGAAGGCTTAGAATTGGCGGAGGAGAGCTTGAAGCTTGGAGAGCAAGAGAGCGAAAGAGAGCGAGAGAGCGAGAGAGAGAGAGAGAGAGAGAGAGAGAGAGCGAGCTTGAAAATCGCTTCTGGAAACCGACCATCTCCATGGGGGCGGATCGCTTGCCGAACCGGATGAACGACGCTTTCCGCTTCTCCATCTGGAATTATTGGGTTTTAAAGGGATTGGCAAGGCAAGGTCGGCACGCTAAGGATTTTAGAACGTTTTTTGGTGTGTTGACGGATTTTCATGCGTTTTTTTAACATCCTTCCGGCCCTCCAGGCTTTTAAAGCCCCGTGGGCGCCCGGCGGAAGTGCCGCAAAAAGTTGCAAATTCCCAATTTCCGGGGCTTCCCGTCGCGACCTGGGGTCAAACCGTCGGCCGGGAACGGGTGAGACGCGCGGGGATTTTCGCGTTTTTAGGTGTCTAACGTAGCCTGGCCCAGCCCAAAGGTGCATTTTAGGTTGCTAAAACGTTCTATTTCGAAAGTAACCGTAATATTTTGCACCGTCCGTTTAAAGGGACGGGCCAGACAGGTCTATAGATTTGATTGATCATAAATGTCGTTCCGTTTCTTTACAACCTAAACTTGGCGCACCTGTCGCTCGGAGTGGGCCAGGGCGGAGAAGATTCGCTCGCACAGCTCCCGCGTGTCGTCCGACTTCTCGCACAGCTCGGCGACGCTCTGGAAATTGAGGGAGTTTTTGGATTTGACAAAAACGAAGCACTTAAACTCGAACTTGAGTTCAAGCTTAGCCAAAGCCTCATCCCAATCTCCCGTTCTTCCGGTCAAAACTATATTCTAACTTGTTCAACCTCTCCGGAAATGCCAATGTTAGCCTTTTTAACCGATATAAACCCAAAAATCCGGGTATTTTTGCGGGCAGACTAACTTCTGGGGCATGTAGTGTAAGACGGAAGTCACACGGGTGGCTTCCTGCCATTTACCGCCCGGGATTAAAAATACAAATCCTGGTACACCGCCATGACGTTGGGGTCAATTGTTTGGGTTGGAAAAGGGCTTGTAGCCTGTGGTCTTGGGAGATGATAGCTTTAATCGGGTTCCTAGGGAGTCGCTACTAGGTTGCCTAGATCTTTATCAACTCCTAGACCTTCCCCGCCCCTTTAAAACCCCCATTCCCCATCTCGATCTCGATCCAATCCCACCACTTCATCCAATGCCCCCGCCAAAGAGCCATAATCCGGGGTACGGGCGCCGTTTTTCAAGGCGTAAAATATGTGAGGCCGAATCGAGCCCTCTCCCCATCCAAAGCGCCCCATTTTAGGGCCCCCGTTTTGACGAATTCGTGTTGACGGGGGCGCCCTTGATATACCTAGCTTTTAAAGGGGGTCACACCGGAAACACACACCATTCTGGACGCACACAAAATTATCCCCCTCCCCTCTATTTGCGATTTACGCCCCGCGCCCAGATTTTAAGGTTGCTTCCGGTCAACCGCCCGGATTTTCGGACGTATCGGTATTTAGCGTTTTGGAGGGTAGAAAATAGATTTTTTTAAAAATTTGACGCGGTAAAATCCAGAGGGAATCTATAGCCCAAAAAACGAGAATGATGACTTTCCGATCCTTTTAAACGGTTTCACGTTGTCTCCGTATACACCTATTTACGCAGGGAGATTGTGGATCTAAATTCTCTATGGACATCCCCGCCCGAGACCAGCAACGCGTACGCAAATATAACTGACTGTACGCAAACGCGTACAGTACAGTCCCGTACGTACACAGTACACAGTACGCAGATTTTTGTAATGGAAACGTGGCGTACGCGTCACGCGTAGCGGTCCAACAAAATTTCTGCAAAAACAAAGCTAAAAGTCCATAATGATGCCTTGCCGAACTTTTTATAGGGGTCTGCAAGTTCAGAGATTGCTACGTCTACACCTATTTGCAAAGAGCGGGTAAGAGAGAGAGAGAGAGAGAGAGGGAGAGAGAGCGAGCGAGAGAGAGACAGAGGCAGGGAGACACAGACCGATAGGGAAAAACCGAGGGATGCGGATATTGATGCGTATTTAGGTCCACCTCTCTTGTCTACCCCCGTTGCGAGCAATCGCTACGTTTCGAAATTTTCAGCTAAATTATGCAGATGTTCAGTAGCTGCACCTTGTAGAATATACGTTTCAAAAATCACCATGCCACATCCACTTTTCGCCGCCTTTTCGGCAACCCTTCCGCTCCTACCTTATGCCCTTTTATGCCCGATAACCGCATTTTTTGCTGGATTCAGACTCCCCAAAAGTCACTTTTTGCTCCCGGGTGAATCCGAGTTTTTTCGCCGCGGGCTTTTCGTATTCCGACCTTGCCCTTCTGCCCTTTTTAGCCCCGAACGGGATGACGGGATGCGCGCGCTGCAATTTGTGCGGTTTCGCGGGATTGGCCCCCGCGTATCTGGGCCCTAAGGGGCCCTGTCTGTCTATCTCTGGGCCCCCAGCCCACACCGACACTCCAATAATTCAGAAGCCCCCTTGCTGCCTGGATTTGGCCCACAGAAATGGGCCGACCTTTTCGCGATGGGACCCAACATTCCGCTTCTCTCATCCTCCCCGGTTTTCCGGGAGAATTTTAAACCGGCTGGTGATGAATAAGTGATCGTGCTCCCCGGACTCTTTGAAAAAGTGCCCCCTTCCTGGGTCACGAACGTCGCAAAAAAAATGGGGAGATTTAAGGGGAAAATCGACACGGAACCGTCGTTTTCACGGGTGTCTAGCTATTTTAAGGCATTTCCGTAATTACCGGCCAATTCAGAGGAATGTGCCCTCCCGAAAAACCGTCTAAAAAATTCAAAAATTTGCGTAAAGAGGCAAATTTCAGGGTTTTGATCAAAACGCGTGTGGTCAACAACCGCAAACTACACTAGTAGCAAGTTAGTTAAAGTTAGTATTCCTCAAAGAATCTCTGCTAGCTTGTCTTTGAATGCCGCAAAGAATCTCTGCTAGACTGTCCTCTCCTAATTCCTCAAAGAATCTCTGCTAGCCTAGCATCCCAATTCCACAAAGAATCATTGCTAGCCTGCCCTCTTATCATCTACAAAAACAAATCATCTCCGAAAATACGATGATCCGCCAATACATTTTGAAAAACAATTTCTTGAGATTTGCTGTTGCTATAGCAAGAATCCATGTTTACCACCGCACCCTAATTGGACCCTAGCAGATTGGCTATGGGCTTCATTATGCTAAAATCTCACAGCTGACGCCGTCAACTAATTGGACGACATCACCAGGAAGAAATTTTTGGGTTCACTGTGCCTTTAAAGTAACGTTGCGGCTAATTTCGGGGTATTTTTTCGCCTGACCTTGATCTCGTTCCCGTACCTTTAGGGCTTCGCAAGCTTTTTACGATGCTTGAAAAAGAAATTAAAGTTGTACAATCTAACTAAAGTAAAAGCAAAACATCTTGACGGTCAGGATTCGAACCTTTCATCCTCCGCTTGCCGATCTAACGCTCTACCAGCCGAGCCATAGGGCCTGCATAGTTTCCCAAAAAATCGCCCAGTGCCTAGCAGTCCCGGGGAGTGTATGATTTTCACGGCTTTTCGAGAGCTTTCGATGGATAGCTGTATCGCAAAAATCGGACATTCCTCCGGAGCGTTAGAGGGCGAAGGTAGGATGTATATGAAACCCTATGACTTCACAGTCCCTTTAAACCCCAAATATGACCCCATCTTGACCCCTAATAAGGAACGACCGTTTATCGGCCCTTTAACAGCCTCCAGCAGGGCCAAGGACGCGTCGAAGAATGGGCAATAGGGCCATTAATCCCAGAGGAGAAGCCCCGTCCTCACGACGACACCACCAAGACGTGCCTCTCCTCCCTCCGGTCATTTCCGGTTCCGGAAACGGTGGAAGGTCGTAGGAGCGAGGGTCGGCTTCTTGGTTTTTCGGCGGCCCTTCTGGGTTGAATGGATAGCCACGAAAATTAGGACCGACAAAGCTTGGCCATTGGGCCGAGGAGGGGGAACGAATTCATTTGCAGAAAAGTGGGGTTGATCTATGGTTTTTTTTTGGGAGCGCAATGGCAGTTAGGCCGTGTAGGAGAAGAAGCGGAAATTATTTGGACTAGAATCCAGGAGGGCAGTTTAGCAGGGAATCCTTATTATTATATTCCTTGGGAATCGATGTCGACGTCAAATAAACATGGAGATTCGGTCAAAAGCAGCTTTGAACGGCGTATTTTTTATAAATATAAAATTTATAAAACGTTATAAAATTTGATAAGCTCATTAAGTAGATAATTGAACATCTGTTCTGGAAGAAAATTCGGCTTAAAGGGGTGCCGACGGCATAGTCAATCGGTTACGCGCGGAAAAGAAAATGTCTCTGCGCCTCTCCCCTGGGCGCGCTCTCTCCCCTGTTGGCTACTTGCCAATTTGTTGATGAGGGGGATCGACACATGCCGTCGACAGCCCTTTAAATTGTATCAAAACAAAAACTGGCAAATTTCGGTACTGGTCTTTAGCGGGGGATGACGTATCGGGGGAAAGCTAATTCTTCTATTTTGCGCCTATGCTTTTTAATGATATATAAAGTATTTTTCAATGTTTTTATGGTAGTTTTTAATTGCTGGAAAATTAAAAAAAACGAAAAAATTATTGAAAAGCTGAAAACTTTTACCTTTTTCAGTCTTCATTCACTCTAATTGGTCTCAAAGATTCGATGTCTTGCAAAGATCTATGACTACAAGAAAAACCAATACACGCAACACCCCCCCCGTTCCACTCCTTTTTTAGCAAGCTGCACATCCATTTCGTGGCTCATCTACGGGTCAAATGTGGCCCTCTTCTAGCCCCGAGCCCCTCCCATCCAAAATTCCGCCGTCATTTGGGGGGTGTCGGAGGAAAAATGGGTCTAGCTGGAGGTATTGGATGGTGTTCGAAATAATGGCCGGAGGGTTGTTCCCTAGGGTTCTCTGCTAGATTGCCCTTAAATTCCGCAAAGAACCTTTGCTAGCCTACCCGCTTCCAATTCCTCAAAGACTCATTGCTAGCCTGCCCTCTACCAACTCCTCAAAGAATTTCTGCTAGCCTGCCCTCGCCTAATTCTTCAAAGAATCTCTGCTAGCCTGCCCTCTCCCAATTCCTCAAAGAATCTCTGCTAGCCTGCCCTCTCCCAATTCCTCAAAGAATCTCTGCTAGCCTGCCCTCTCCCAATTCCTCAAAGAATCTCTGCTAGCCTGCCCTCTCCCAATTCCTCAAAGAATCTCTGCTAGCCTGCCCTCTCCCAATTCCTCAAAGAATCTCTGCTAACCTGCCCTCTCCCAATTCCTCAAAGAATCTCTGCTAGCCTGCCCCTCCACGTTAGGGGATTCGTGGCTATTTCCAGTAGACCGTGAATGATATGTGTATGTTCAAAATTTTCTCCCTGGAATCCTTGAACATCATCAACGACAAAGGGAATTCCCAAGGCGCCGCTTCGTCGTAGAATTTCTTAGCTTTACCACTCCCCTTGGTTCCATTTGTTTTCCCCGAAGAATTGAACTGACAGCTCTCGTCTCGCTCTACTGACGAGTCGAGTGAATTTTTGCGAAGGAAGTGTGTGGTGGCAACAAGGCACGATGGGCTGATGGGGAGCCGGAGCTTTTTTTGTTGAGAATGACGCGAAATGCGAGAATCGGAGTAGGCTAGCAGAGATTCTTTGAGGAACTGGGGTAGGGCAGGCTAGCAGAGATTCTTGGAGAAAGTGGAGGGCAGGCCAGAAAGGATTCTTGGACGTATTGGAAAGCTGGCTACTAGGGATTGCTTGACGAACTCGAGGGCAAGTTAGCAGTGCATCACTAATTTATCACTAATACTTATTTCCCAGTTGTTCCCCCAAAGCATCTTCTTATTTGCCGGCACCCACCACTTCCGGCTGCTGGCTGGCCAACGTCAACGAGACGGCGAGGCAGAGCACGAACAGGCCGACCATCGGGTGCATCTGAAATAGGAAGTGTACAGTGGAGCATTGCGTAGCCGCCGATTTAAATGGTGAATAATTTTAAAGACATCAAGTAATCAAAAAGGCGCTGGCGTCATCCTGTGTGCATTCCGCCAGGCTCCAAAAGACCCCCTTCCGCTGTTGTCATACTTTATCAAATTGGGTATGCATGCCATTTGTCCTGGGCCCTAAGTGAGGGCCAAGTTGGCCCCATGGCCTTGGCCCGAAAATAGACAAGGACCACCGAGAAAAACTCACATTTAGAATTAGAGGGGTGAGTGTAGGCCGGGGAGGAAGATAGGGGGGAGGCCCTGAGGTGCTCGAGGAGGCTGTGAGGCCCGGAGTAGGAATGGGGATCGAGGTGGTCGCGGCTGGGGGCGGGCCCGTGGGCCCTCAGATTCTGCCTGCCCCTTTGAGGCGGGGGTTACGGTAGCTCCCGGAGCGTCTTCCGTGCGGGGATTCTCAGCGGGAGGTTGACGTCGTCGTCACTGCCCTCATATCCGCTTCTAAATCATTCGCGGGCCCGTTGATTGAGGGCAATGGGGTTTTTCGGTGGCTGCCGGAATTTTTGGGGTGCTTTCGGTTTCGAAATTTGGAAAATTCGATATACTCAAAAGTCGAGATTTTAGGCCTTGAGATTCTGATTTTCGGGTTCTAGCCGATTCCCTAACGTCCAGAGAAAAGAAATTGCAATTACAGTTGGCAAAGATACATTTATAACAAAATTAGGGCTTGATTTCATTTTTCTAAATTGCGATGACGGTTTCACCATTTCTCAAGCACTAAATCGGTCGATCCGATCGTCAACAAATAGAAATTTCGGCTGGATTCATTCGCAAATTTCTGGATTCAAAACGCGTAACGGCCGCGTTGCGTATCTCCTCACTGTTGTCTTTCCTTTCCTTTCCAGCGGCACGCATCGGGACCGTCACGCTTACGTACCGTGTTCAGCTCCCGCTCCATGTCCCAGGCTCCCGGCTCATTCCCCGAAAATCACAAGATGGTGCTCCGCCGAATGGATTGCTCGGCATCCGACGTAATTCCCGAGCTATTTCGGTGTAATTCCGGAGCGCCAGGACGCCAGAAAGACGGCGTGAACCTCCTGGAAATAGTTGGGAGAAGGAATTCCGAGGAAATCCCCGCCTACACAGCCCTAATCACAAAATCCGAGTGCGGGACTGGTGAGGGCACACCTCAGGCCCCATGGCTAGCGTTTTGCCCCCAAAAATTGAAATCGGAACGGGAATACATGATGATGATGGAGGGAGGGGATCCAAGGGGGTTGCTGGGAGATTTGAAGCCGCTGACACACATCCCACACCACCTCTATCTATCAGCCATTCAGCCCGTCGCTGTCAGTCAGTCTGTCGGCCAGAAATGCCGCCAAAGGAGGTATAAATACAAGGATTTTCTCGATGACGTCGGGTTGTTGGAGCCTTTTCAGGAGGGGAAAAAACTATGCAAGTCAAAGCCGGCCTTACCCGCGCGTACAGGCCGCGTGGCGTGTCACACCTACACCTTTCCAATCGGTCGTTCTTTCGAGGTAACTGCGAGCAGAGTAAATTGATGTTTATTTCGATAAAAACTAAGCAAACATTTATGCCAATCGCATCATTACCATTTCCCACCCCCAAAAATTCAGATTCTAATCCTCAAGGTCATCCACCACGTTAAGGACCGGCTGGGGAGTCCGCGAAAATATTTTGGCCTCTACGAAGTGAAGTCACGATGCCCAAAATGGACCCCGAGAAAGGTGGCGGGGCCCGAAAAGGCATAATCCGCTACATGCATACGCTGCTCGTAACGGGGGCTTAAGTGATGGGAGAGAGAGAGAGAGAGAGAGAGAGAGAGAGAGAGAGAGATTTGGGCACAAACCTTGATTGAGCACGGCCGGTCCTCTCCTCCTCCGTGGCACACAAAACCTTTTTGTTCTCCCTTCGGGGAACTCACGCACAAGACCAATATTGAAACCCAAAAAATTCTCAAGTATTCATATTCCAGGCAATCGGGAAGCCTTTTTAGAGTGTTTCCCTCGATTTCAAGACTCTCTGACCTCAGGAAAACGATCAGACGGCCGGAAGTTTGGCGGTTTTTGGGGCTTCGGAAGAATTGAATGCGCATTTCCAGGCTTCAGGGGCTTCGTTGTAGTCTTCGGGAAGTGTTTGGGTACTAATATGATAACGGGGGGGGGTCAAAGTAGCGACGGCCGAGGGCATTGAAAATTTCTTGATAATAAATCGCTAACAAAGATAATTTTTGGGAATGAAACACTGAACGCAAAAAACCACTGAATATTGAATATAATAAAAACACCAAAAACCCAGTTTTACGGTATAAGATCCGGTATTAAAGCGCACGTTCAGGGAAGGGCCGTGTACTCGTCCCAACGTGTACACCCTATGGACGTAGGGACCGCGCGCACTGACTGCCCGTGCTGTGACAGGCCATTCCCCTCCTTTGCGGGGTGAGGCACCCCTCGGCCCCTCGCCAGGTTGTAGCTGTGGCTGACTGGTACCCATCCGCGCCTCCCGAGCGGGGGGCCCGGGTTCGACCCCCGGCCGCGGCAAAGCTCTTTGCTTTTTCCAAAAAACGTCCCTGAACGTGCCCTTTAATGTCCCTATGGCTAAAAATTTGTACCTAGAAAAACCGCGAAAAAATAATATTTTAGGCTATTAAAAAGCACCGAAGTATATTTTTACGTTCTATAGAGTGGCATTTTTAAACCATCAAAAATCTCGTCCTTTGGCCCCCGTTAAGCTATAAGTACCAGCGCTTCTGACACTCGTGAGCAACTTCCCATCCATTCGTCTGCAAAATTTCCCGGAACAGCCGAAAACACAAATTTCCCGCCGTTCTCTGCAATTTTCAAGGAAAACTGAGGTTCCCACAGTAGTTCAGCGACTCCTGAGACCGCAACCTCCCACAGAAATCACAAGTTTTCGCGATTCCGTCACAAAAAAAAATGATAGGAAATTTCTAACGAAATTTTCAGCAACCATAATTGCGCATATTGTCTGTTTAGGCGGTGGAAGTTCGAGCCCCGGGACCCCTAAAATACGCGCTAATGAACGGGGAAACGGAATGGGAGGAGATGGCGGCTGGGAGTTCAGAGTATCAATGAATAGAGCTTCCCAGAACCCCCAAAAGGGAAGGGGAAGAGGGAAAGGTGAAGGAGAAGCCATTCTTGGAGGCAGATCTTCGACCCGCGCCGCCATGGAGTGAAGAGGTGATGCTGGCTGATGGCAAATGGCGGGATGCGGAAACCATAAAAATGCGTCAGGCAATATTGGAAAGTGCCGGAGGTTTTCCATATTTTGCGAGATTATTTTTCTAGAGTGTGGTAGCTGCGCTGTAGGTGAGTAAAGTGAGAAAGCGGTAGATAGAGAGAGAGAGGGAGAGAGAGAGAGAGAGAGGGAGAGAGAGATAGCGAGAGAGAACGAAAGCGTGAGAGGAGGTTGTTTTCGAAAATTTTTTGCTGGAACATAAGGGAGGTCCCAAACGTTTCGCGAGCGTGCTCTCTCTCACGCTCTCTCCCTCACTCTCCGTCTCTCGCTCTCTCCCTTTCTCTCACTCTCTCTCTGTCTCTCTCTCTCTCGATAAAATAAAAACTCCTCGATGCGCAACGCAACCGCGACGCCTCTAACGATCTTTCAAATTCATTTCCACGAAACTTTTTCGTCCCCCTCCTATCCAAACTATTTTCTGCTTTAGCCAGGTAACATCATCACATTAACCCCTAGCCCTGAACGAACGTCCTTAAAATCTGATCACACCACACGGCCACGTGGGCGTCACTTCGCTTCAACCCGCAAAAATGTTTCAAAGGCCGCCGCAAAAACGGAGTCGTGTGAAAAGCAACGGAACGGGCTTCCGTTGAGGTTGAAGCGAGAAAGAGAAGGCCATCCATCCGGCAATTGCCCCCCACGGGGCAGGATGGCCACGATTTGGAGACAACATGCCCCGCGCCGCGCGAATCTGATTTTCAGAAAACGGCGACACCATGCGCCTATTCACGGCGACGTTGAACTCGGAATCCAGCTGCTATTCGGGTGCGGGGGTCGAATATCGGTAAATCTGGAGCTTGGATGCTTTTTGGGGTTTCTAGATTTTTTAACGTTGAGACTTTAGCAAGCTTGAGATAGGTGCCTAATTCTTAAGCCTGCAGCGCTAGCTTGCCCGGCTAAATTTCTTTCTAAGCCTGCGGCCTAGCTTTATTCTTTAGGCTGCGGCGCTAGCTTGTGCGGCTTAAACCATTCTAAAGCCTAAAGCTTGAGGGATCAGCCTGGATCTCTAGCCTGCGGCGCTAGTTTGAGCGGATAACTTGGTTCCAAACCTGCGGCACAAAAGTGAACCTCTGCTAGCTAGCAGCTAACTTGAGCTGTTAGCTTTATTCTTTAGCTGCGGCGCTAGGTGCACGGTTAACTTCGTTCGAAAGCCCGCGGCGCAAAATTGAGGGTTCTTCTTCCTTCCCAGTAGCTAGAGACAGCAGCTTTATTCTTCAGCCGGCGGCGCAGTTTTGAGGGTCAGCCTAAATCTTTGTCCTGCGGTGCTAGTTTCAGCGGCTAGCTTCGTTCTAATGCCTGCCCCGCAGGGACGAGCGACGGACGTCATAATAACGCTTCCCTACACAGACAGCTAGCTATTCATAGACATCTTGTAAAGACGCATCTTTCTGTGTAGCCAAAATCTTTTTATGATGGATATTAAGCTTTTTATCACGAAAACAAGTAACTAAAGCCAAAAACACAAGTATCAAAAAGATAGAGTCACAATTTGCATTGCTCACCACCAGGGCCGTAACAAACCCAAATTTCGGGGGGCGACCCCAAAAATGTTTCACTATTATGACTAAAACTACAGCGCCGCAGGCAAAATTTTTGAAAACATAGGGTTCATAACACTAAAACTAGTGTTAAAAATAGACAAAAACAGCGCCGCAGGCAAAAAATTTTTTAGAAAAATTAAATCATAAGGGTCCCCCCTTATGAACTTTTCGGCCTTCGGCCGATCGGGGGGGGCGAGGGGGCGAGCCGCCTCTACCCTCTTACGGGCCTGCTCACCACCGTCAAGGCATCGCGGGCCACGAGCAATCCAGCAGGAACCACTTGGGAGGCAAAATTCTCGGATTCTTCTTCTAATTCTTCCTTTTTGTGGGTTTGATGGAGCCAAGCAGAAAGCTTTCTGTAACTGGCGGCCTCGTAGCACACACCAGTCCTCCCAAACAGTTTATTTTAGAATCTGAAATCCACAGGACACAGAGGGCCAACAACAACACACACGATAACAACAGCTAAAAGAGGGACGGAATTGCCCAAGGATGGTTTGGGAGGGGCGCGGCGGAATATAATATTAAGATAGATACGGAATACAAATATATTGGGGTAGGGGGAAATACCGACCAGATAGGAGAAAGATTTCATAACGGGTTGGGAGAGATATTGCGAGACCGTAGAGAAATGCTACCTAGAATTATCATCGGATCCATGTAGAAACCAAGGGAGGATGAGCTGGTGGAGTTGGCCGGGGTCCGGAGTTGGCTTCGCGTGTTGCTGGCGGCTTAGGGCGAATGTCGCTGGGCGTCGACGATCACGCAGCTCCTCTGAGAAAGTTCGTGTACAGGGTGTCCCAATAAAAAAGGTCACGCTGGCATTTTTTCATTTCAAATCCGATCGACCTGAAATTTCGAACAGAGATGCGGAAGGGAATTTAAAATGTTCACAGAAACTTTCAGCCCGATCGGTACAGTAGTTTTCGAGTTACAGCAAAAATAAAATTTATTTTACGTTTTTGACCTGGGTTTCGCCGGAATTGACCCTTGGAAGGTATGGCAAAAACGAAGCGCTGACCTTTTTTTACCTCAATAAAACTTTTATTTCGAAAAATTCGTCTTGGAAATAGATTGTTTAAAGGGCACGTTCAGGGACGTTTTTTTGGAAAAAAAGCAAAGATTTTTGCCGCGGCCGGGGGTCGAACTCGGCCCCCCCGCTCGAGAGGCGCGGATGGATACCAGTCAGCCACAGCTACAACCTGGCGAGGGGGCGAAGGGCGCCCCACCCCGCAAGGGAGGGGAATGGCCTGTCACAGCACGGGCAGGCAGTGCGCGCGGTCCCTACGTCCATAGGGTGTACACGTTGGGACGAGTACACGGCCCCTCCCTGAACGTGCGCTTTAAGTAATTTTAACAAGGTGTTATCATCCCCGATGTTAAGAAGAATGAGGGATTTAGGGCCGAAAGTTATGGTAAACAATGCAAAGAAGCAAAAGAGCCGAAAAATGGAAGCAAAAGCGTCGAAAAAAAAGTATTTTTGTTATAACTCGAAAACTACCGTACCTATCGGGCTGAAAGTTTCTGTGAACATTTTAAATTCCCTTCCGCAGCACTTATCCAAATTTTAGAACGAACAGATTTGAAATGGCGAAATGCCAGCGTGACCTTTTTTATTGGGACTCCCTGTAGAATACGGAAAATGTATTGCATTACTCGGTGCTAGAATTTAGGCCACTCCGCTTCAGCTACTTGGTTTCTAGCTTAAGCCCAGACTTAACTTAGCTTTAATTGTGCTAGGCCCAAGCCCAAGCTAAACTTAGCTAGAGCTTTATTTGAGCTTAGCTTGGCGCAAGCTAAGCTTAGGCTTCGTTTGTATGAAGCTAAGCGTAAATGCATTACCACCCAGTTCTGCGCCCCGAGGGACAAAGGCTCCAGATATAGCTACCTCGTAGTACATCAGAAGTTTGGCCCACACCGGATCCGTGCTCAGCAGATGGCCGGCGCCGAAGATAATGAGGCCTCGCTTCGCACGGGTGATGGCCACGTTCAGTCGGCGCGCATCATTGAGGAACCCCAGCTGGTGCTGAGCATTTGAGCGGACGGCGGAAATCAGGATGAAGTCCTTTTCCCTTGCCTATTCAGAGTGTTGGTCATAGGAAAGATATGATACCTGAAAGGCGTCCACGTTTTGTACTTCGACCCCATCAAAGGCGCGTTCAAGCCCGAGGTTCTTGCGCAGCAGCCTGCGCTGCGCGTCGTATGCGGTGATAATGCCGAAATCGCTCGCACGATGCTGCAGCAGCAGCATCTTCACCAGACCCGTCACGAGTTCGGCCTCTCCCGGGTTTGCTGCCGACCCGTTCTCGCCCTTGACCTCGGGATGCACGCAGGGCATCTGGGGTCCGGCTGGCCATGTCCAATAGGCTGGTGCGCTGGGCTAAAAAAGTTTAGGTTTTAGGTTTAACACGCTGTGCTTTAAATATCAGGTCCTAGACAGATCTCACATGCGCCTTTAATCGTAAAGATGAGGGATGCGCACCTTCCGTGACCCCATTCAGCAGTTTTCCGCCGTAGAATGCTGAGCTGGGGAAGGCCGCAAGAGCAGCGTGCATTCGGTACTGGAGGTTGAGCATCGTGGAGGGGTGACCGAGCTGGAGAAGGCGCTCAAAGAGGGATGTTGCAAGCCCGCCAGCCGCCGCCTAAAACTAAAGTTAAAGTTAGCGGGTTAATTTCCCACTCTTTAGCATAAGACGACAGGGCCCAGCTGCCGATGATCGCCGACGAGGATGAGCCTTTCGATGCCTCGCATCATCGGTATCAGGAGCTCTGGCTCCGTGCCTTGAGTGGCCTCGTCGATAAGCCGGATCTGCAGTGTAGGTCCTTGACAACCGGCGAGACGGCGCCGACGCATGTCGCACAGACGACGTCTGTCGCTGCGAAGATCTCTGAGTGAACTTGACGCTCCATTCGGCAAAACTCTGTTCATTGAGCGGGTTCCAGGCCGGAGATTTCCTAAGTAAATAGTTAAAGGGTTTCGGTTAGGCTGCGAACTTTTTGAGTGCGTCGCTCCTGGAACCTCGCCATATTGATGTTCCGCGAACGGTGATTCTTGATCTTCTCCTCGTACCGCAGGTGCCGGAACGGATCGGTGTCGGGGTCTCGCCTCTTCGATACAAAGCGGATCACTGTGAGGCCGGTTGCTGCGATCCGAGCAGCCAAGGTGTCGACAGCCGTGTTCGATGGGGCACAGACCATCACCATTTGCCCGAAAAGAAGGCGCAGCTTCTGGACCAACTGTGCCGAAGTTGTAGTCTGCAAAACAGTTAGTGTTTGTGTGCCAAAGAGGGACAGATCATGCGAGAGAGAGAGAGAGAGAGAGAGAGAGAGAGAGAGAGATCGGGAGGCAGGGTGGCCTTACTTTTCCGGTCCCGGGCGGCCCCTGGATCAGCGATAGACGGTGGGTGGCCGCGAGCTGAATCGCCTGGAGCTGGCTGTCGTTCAGCGATGTCGATGCAGTTGTGAAGAAGTTATGGGGCAGCTAAACAAAATTAAGGCTCGGGAAGCTGCGACCGACCTCAGTGACTTGCGTGGTCGTGGTGTTTCCTAGAAAGAGCGCTTGGATTTCCGGATTCAGGGAATCAGAATCCCGGAATTGCTCAAGCGCTGCCGTCGTCCTCTTGTAAGTGGAGTCGTCGAAGAGCACGAAGCAGCGCCACTGCTTCTCCGACTCTCCCGGTGTGTAGCCGTGCTCGAGATGGATCACGACGTAGTCCGTGGCATCTGGAAAGGCATTAGTGAGCACCAAAATGTAAACCTTCCAGTGGACAGATAAATGCTTACCGACTGGAGCCTTGGTGACGATACCCTTGTGGTCACTCAAGCAGCCGTCGATGATCTTCCCATATAACTCCAGCTGGTCACCGATCGACAACCGCATTCCTACAAGGAAAGCATTATATTATAGTCCGCACCAGGTAAATCACCCACCTACCGATCATACGACGGCAGATTGAAGCGTGCGCACGGCTGGTCCTCCTCGTCGTAGAACCATATCACATCGTAAACATCTTGCGCTTGAGCGGCAACCCGCGCCTCCTCTGCTTCTCGGTTCCATTCCATTCACATCGCACCCACGCATTCGGAGTAGCGAGCTCCCTAAAGAACCGTTTATAGTCGACATCTTTGTTCACCTTCCAGGCGTGTGCTGTTCTTCCTCTTCGCGGACAACCTTCAGCTCCGTGGATTGGTTAGGCGGCAGGTTCTGGTTGGGCCGACGATCACAGTGGGACTTGCGAGGCAGGCGGAGCTTCGACTTCGGCAGTCTAAGCAAAAGAATTATGAAAGTATCAACGTAACGAACTTTTTAACTTCTGGCTGTGTCAGCTGATGAAGCCCTTGTTGAAACTCGGCCGTGGCTCGGGAAGTACGCTGTCCGTTGGGCTCGTCCCTTCGGTCGCACACCAATCGCATGCGTATTCGATCCGCCGGCCGCACGAGAGCAAGAACTAAATTCAGAATTTGCTTTATACAAGGCCAGAAGTAGAACTCAAACAACAAACAACAAATTATTCGGTGCATCCGTGTTAGCGGGGGAACAAATTTTTAACGGGGGAGCAAGAATTATTTTTTGCTAGGGCGGTTTTGGGCTGAAGTTGAATTCGCGGGGGGACCAACTTTTTTTTTATCGGCCTGGTGGGGATAGTAATCAAATATAAAGTGTTTTCACATTGTTTTTAGCAAAATTTAAGCCTATTTGAATCGGAAAAAAAACTTTTTAAAAAGTTATAAAAACGCTTGAAAAAGTCGAAAATTTGGTCATTTTTGGGCCGAAAAAATAGATTTTTCTACCTAAAATTAAATTTTTAATTAAATTTTGTAAAGTTTTTATGTTTAGGAATAGCTCTAAACAATTTAGAAACACTTCCACTATTTATATAAAAAATCTAGGCTTGGGCCAAAAAAAGTTCAGTTTCCCCCGCGAATTCCCCCGCGAATTCCCCGGGGAATATACACGAACCAAAATTCCGTATCATTTTACACTGTCATTATTAAACAACAACCATACATACCTATACAAACACGTTTTTAAACTTTAGAAAACACCTAGTTTTTGCGCCAAAACGTCAAAAAAAACCAAAATACGTTAGAAATCTTTAAAAATTTGCTACCCCGCTAACACGGAAGCACCAATTATTCAAAAAACTCAAACAAGTTTGCTTTGTTTGACCCCGAAAAGCCTCAAACAAAACAACCTTGTTTGATTTGAGTTCCAGGGAATCAAATCAAACAAGATTGTTTGACTTGTTTGAACTGGTTTGGACCCCGAACCGTAACCGGAAGTGAATGCAAACATTCAAAAACAAATTTCACCGGAAAAATTTATGCTAACTTCGAAAATACTAAGAAAATGCGCTTTAAATCCAAAACTAGCATACATTGAAACAAGGTCAAACAAAACTCAAACTCGCTCAAACAGTTCAAACAATCTTGTTTTGTGGGGCGATCAACGGTCACCTCAAACAAAACATGTTTGATTTGAATCTCCAACAACCCCTATGAAACAACATTGTTCAAACAGGCTTGTTTGAGGCCTTGTTTGGTTTTAGTTATAACAACACTAGCTAGAACTGTACCACGTGATGGTGCCAATGGTGGTTATGGGCGGCGATGTGCGTCTTGTCGAGAAGGCCCTTCGCCCCGCAGAATGCTTCATCACTCTGCCAGCACGAATCGCGTGTCGGTCGCGTCTTTGGAAATGTGACGGTCAGGTAGCAAATCGTGCACAAAGTCACATGACCGTCACATGTACCTGGGGGCCCAGTCAGGTGACCGTCGCGACTTGGCCCTGGTACAGGTGACGCTCGCGCGACTCTGAGCACATATTCCCGGGTGGTTCCCTAGCCATTTCCCGACACCGGGAAATGACCAGGGGGCCCGGGAATATCCACCCCACCTCCAGAATCATCAACAGATACACAGTGGGCTCGAAACCCGCAATAAAATCAATCAAGTGCATCAAAATGTATACTTTATACCGAAAAACACAGATAACAAAAAGAAACTTGCGCGTTCCGTCGTCCGCCACATTTCTCGTCCTCGTCTTGGCGGGCAGAAGTCGTGCTGGGCCCCCTCAAGCGAGGCGTCAACTAAAACAAAATAATTTCAACAAACATGGATAAAAATACAAGCAAATCCCACGCACTAAAAATTATAAAATACCTCTAGCTCGCGTTGACACAGCCGAAACGGGAGACCATCCGTCTATCGCCGCGCAAACTAAAAACGCGTAATGACATTGGCAAACAAAATACCGTCGCCGAGACCATCAGATGATTTCGAGCTCGCAGCACAGGGCCTAAATTCACGCAGCTAAACCTCAAACAATAAAAAAAATACCTAGACACGATGCTCCTGCGGTCTTGAGCCATATGAGGGCTGGCTGCTGTAGACCCTCGTCATTGCCGAGCCTGCAAAATAATCCCTCAAACAATAAAACGCTGACTCAACAGCGGTTGAAAACCTTGAAAAGATTTCCGGATGCTGGATGGTCATCGTGGGACCAAAACAGGGTAGATCCTACAACCTAATAAGCAAATAGAAACTTTTATTAGACTAGCCCCCTATCAGTTTTGTGCGTACACGGCTAATGGAAACGTTTTAGAACACTGCATAATTTTGAATTACTGGCTAAAAAAGGGATGAAAAAAAGCGATATTCTCCAAAAACTCTTTTAATAGCCTTAAAAAATGTTTTGTATTTTGTTTGTGTACATGTTTTACATGTTTTTGGCTATCCGAAACGCGCACAAACTCTATAAAAACATGTATAAGCTAAGAAACTGCGAATCGTTTTGCACCCGCTCAAATTTTGGTCCCCCGATAATAACCCAGCACCAATTGCCGATTATTCGTCAGCTGCTTGTGGCAATGAGCATCAGCCCGATGAGAATTACGCTGAGGCCCTGCAAAAATTGCAAATAACCGAGGAGAAATACCTTTTGCGCAATCTTCTAGCAGATTCCAGGCTGAACGTCGATAGGGCTGGTCGCGGATCGGGAACATGCCCTGCAGAAAGGGTTGGTGACGTTGATACGATAAGGGGAAGCGATTACCAGCGCAAAACAATAATAAACATCCGGGGACTACAACACTTCCGCAAACAGCCTAGCATTTCCGGAAAAGAAATCGTTAATCAAACAACTAACGCGGAATTCACGAAAACAACCGCACTAATGCCAATTTTCTGTCCAATAGACATTATTCACTGAACAATATCAGATACGCAACGAAAACGGCAAAACTGCGGCAAGTTGTGGAAGTGTCATGGCCCCAAAAACGCATTACGTACCTGCCACGTATCATTTGGCAGCAGCACGGGCTAAACTCTAGTTTACCCCCCAGCCGTAACTTTTCATCCATACGTCCTATTAATGCGCCGAGTATCTCAAAGTGTTCCCCGTGGTCGAATTACTATTAAAAAGGTGTTTTCTTACATCCTAAATTGTTAGAAAAATTTTTATAACAATTATAAGTCTGGGTTTTCTTTAGTTAATTTTTGCTGTTCCAAAGTGAGATTTCGTATCTCGGCTATCTTTTGACGTACAGAGCTGTCAATGGTACCAAAATGTAGCTCTTGCTCTGTAGAATAAGCCTACAGTACGTTTCAGACGAAAAAAATAGCGGAAAATAAAAATATTTGAGTTTTAGTCTCCTGGTACATTGAAGCACAGCGGCTTAATATTTTCAACTTTCAAAATCTTGTAAAAAAAATTCTAGCAATTTTTGCCGCAAGAAAACAACTGTTTTATAGTAATTCGACCACGGCGAACATTTTGAGATACTCCGCGCATTAATAGGACGTATGGCTGAAAAGTTAGGGCTGGGGGGGTAAACTAGAGTCTTACCGCAGCACGGCCCGAATTGACGTCACTTCCAGCCGATGAGCTTCTTTCTTGACGCGCGTAGTCGAGCACATCGCATGGCTAAACATTACCGAAGAAAGTAACCTTTACTGGTGAAGAATCGTCCTTGCGCTTCGCCTTGATAAGACGACGCCCTTTTTGCCGCCAAACTAAGTTTTTTTTGTAAAAAAAAAGAGCCAGTAAAAAAGGTACCTTTCACTTGGGATCTCATAATCGACATTCGTGCCTTGTTGATGAGCTGGCGTTACCTGAAAACTAGCGCATTATTTGCAAAACCATGCTAAATACGACGAAAACGCATTGGAAAAGCACAATATGGGCAATTTAATGGAAAAAGAGATGTTACCAAAGAAGAAAGCGTAAAAAACCAGCCGGTGAGGTGGTTTCGAGGAGTTTGGGACCTAAAACAGGCAAAAGATATGAAACTATGCAAGAAGAACAATAAAACATCAGAGAATGATTGAGATAACTAAAACAAAAGGATTTTTTCAATAAAAGTTACAGTCGAAAGAAGAAATTTCTAAAACACAGCGGAAACAGCTAAACAACGAGGGTCTACCGGCTACGGCATAATTCAAATGACGGAGCAACGTAACGAGTAGCATAACGTACCATCTCGTTTGTCTAATCAATTTATTTAACTGGGTAAAAATCAAATACTTAGCAAAATAAAGTTTTTAACTTTTCATTTATATTTTATCGTTTTCAGCGTACTTTTGTACCCATGTCCCGAAATTTTGTTGCGTCCCGGATGAATTTCACCAAAATTTGCTTTTATCTCGAAAATATGAGCTCGGACGGAAAAACAAAACTCATATTCAGAATCTACGCACAAAACTACCTTAATTCGATATCTTTTATGCCGGAAACGGGCCTGAAGTTCACTTGAATACTTAACTTTTAACCTCGAAAACTTTCGACCCCCATAAACCCTAAAAAATCGATGGGAGATTTCTATGATTTTGTGCTCAAAAGACGCGCCGTGAGTTCTTCTAGATTTCTACCAAAGCATATTCGCCGAAGAAATACACATTTCCGCGTGTCTGTAGCATCCCAGGGTGATTTGCGATGAAAAAATAATTTTTTGAAAATTTTATATTTTTCGACCAAAAATTTGCCTAAGTCCGGGGAATCAAGTGAGCGTCGGGTCCCAGACCGTACATGTGACCGTCGGGATGGGTGGGACAAGTGAGTGTCGCGTCCGCGCCTCTGGAAAAGGCTCGGAGGCGACGGTCACTTGTCGGTGGCAGTCATATGAGCGTTGGAGCGATTCTGGCCACCAGTCATTCCGTCGGCTCTTCGGCCAAATACAGGTGACGGTCGCCAAAGACGCGACCGACACGCGATTCGTGCTGGCAGAGCACATTCCGCATTTGGTTCCCCCCGAATCCTAAAGAACCGCGAATTTTATTAGCAAATTCTCTATTCAAATACCGCAATGCTCGGATTTTGGTTGTGCATTCAGCATCTTATTAACAGCTAGACGCATAGGCAAAAAAATAAAAATAAGGTTCTGCCTCCCCCCCGCTAACAGCCCATTCCCAAAAAATTCCCCAGAAATTGGGTTGTTCCGGCTGTGTCCTGCTCCCCTCACCGTCCTTCCAGAAGCTTCTACCGGCCGCGGTCGCTGCCCGACAGTTTTTGTCTATTTGGGAGTGGTGGCTGCGAGGGGGCCGGTCCGCTCAACGAGGCGGGGTGGAAGAGAGGCTGAGACATTGTGTGTAAGGGATGCGCGAGGAGCACGAGCAGGGCGTGCAGGGCGCCAAGATGCGTGCTGGCGGCGAGGGAGCGTGCATTGTAGGGGGGTGGCTACGGGCGGATACACCCTGACGGCGGAGGGGAGGAGGAGAAGGAGCAGCAGGGGGTCACACTCCTCCCTAACCTCTACCAAATACCCCCAGGGCATATCCCCCGCCACCATCACACACTCGCAATCGCCTTGGGTCATCGGCCCATTTGGATCACAGGGTAGCTACTTTTTTAACGGATTTTTACGGGTTTTTTGGTACTGGGCTGTTAGCGGGTACCCAATATTAACCATTTTGTAGCTCTTTAGATAGTTTTTAGATACAAAATGCACAAAAAAAAACCTAAAAACTGATGAAATTTTTGACTTTTTGGTCAAGAATGTATTTGAAATCACAAAATAAAAAGACAAATTTCCAACTTTAGAGCGCCTGTGTTTTTTTCTAACTTTCTAGCAGCCAAAAAACTACCAAAAAGCATTACAAAATACACCATTTTTATTTGCAGGTATGTATCATATAAACGCAAAAACAAAAATTAGTTTCCCCAATGGCCACCCCCCGCTAACAGTCCAGTACCGGTTTTTCCGGGTTTTAGGGGCTTTAGAACCCACAGATACCCTTAAGACGACCGATAACTAGCCTAAAATTTTGTAATTTGCAATTTTGTGCCGCACAAGATGGTTACGAGCTGATTTTGAGCTGATTCGCATCTTAAAAAAATTAAGAAAACCTCTAAATGGAAATTTCCTGGGCTTCGTGATGCAATTCCAATGTTGTTTGCTTGTTGTCTCTCTCTCATTTTCCAGATACCATTCTCCCTCCTTCTCCTTTTTACTTCCCGGTCATGCTCACCAAGGCACTTCAGGTACCGAACCTTTTCCGATTTCATCATTGGCTCCACCCCCGGTCTCTCTCTCACTCTCTCACACCAGCTGCCCATATAAAAATTGATGGTTAGGCTCGGCTCGCCGGTGCTTTATTGTGCTTCTGTGCTACCGTAACCGGTCTGACAAGGCGCTAGAAGCTGACTGTAAAGCATTTAGGCCCTCAAAACCTTACGGTGTAATCGGTATTGTAATGCACTGTCGGCCGCTAATAGTTGCTTTTTGAGATACCTTGGAGCTTGCAAGGTGTACTGCGTACTACTCTGTACTTTCCGCAACCTACCCTCCTGGCGGTATCCGGACGTCCGGAATAATGCGGTTCCACATTCGGGTTCCGCAGACACATAGCTCCGTTCCACCACTATCGAGCCCTCCATAGAAAAAAGGGGGAAAGAAAGGGGGAGATCGGGGGGTGATATGTGGGGGGGCAGCCTGACCGGTCTGGAGCCCGAGACTGCGTGAAGGTCCGCCTGCTCCAGCTGCAGCTCTCTCTGCCTCTCTCTGTCTCTCTCTGTCTCTCTCGCTCTCCCCTTGTCCCTCCCATTCTCTATCCCTCGAGCTCCACTTGGAACTCCTTTCCGTACATTTTCCTGCTATGCGGTGGAAGCTGGATTTTTGACCTTTCAAGCTCCTCTAAAAACTAAACAATTCCGCCAGGCTCTGCATCTCCAAAATATCGACGTGAAAGACAAAATATAGCTTTTGACGTCGTTTTTAGGTTTTGATTTGAGCGAGAAGACAGCAAAAATGTATTTTATAGCACTTGTCGTCCTTTTTGCGTGAAAAATCTATCGTAACTTGGTGCAAAATGGATATAAATGTAGATTTTTTAGTTTTTTTTGTGATGAGTTTCAAAAAAATATTGTAATAGTAAGTATTTTCATAGTATTTTAGTCAGATTTACTATATTTGTAGTGAAAAAAGCGCTTAATGACTATTTTTTAGCCAAAAATTTCTTCAAAAACGCTTTTTTGTATCTTTAAATTTAGATTTCGAAATTTTTTCGTTAAAAATGGCAAAACGCATTTAAGAACATTTCGCCTATTTCTATTCGAAAAATAGGATGCTGAGAAAATATTGTTCCCCCTCCCCCCGATTTTGCGCTGGTGCCAAATTTTTTGATGATGATTGGCGAAATGCTTTTTGTGGCCAAGTTTATACGAAAATTTAGTTAATTTATAGGTTGCCCCCCCCCGATAATGCAAAAGAAGCCACTCCCCCAAACGTAAGAAATCAGCCGAGGCCAATTACAGCCAGTCAGGCGTCTATTTTGTGTTGATGCAAAAAGCCCCTGGCAACCGGGGGAACCTAGCGGTTTTTCCTCACCCAGAAAAAGTTGTGGTTGACCCGCGGGCCGGCCAGTGGGGGTGAGGGATGGCCAGCTGGTGGTATGTATTGTTTAGCCCCCGCTTCCTCAATGCTCTCTGCTCTAGCAGATTCCCGTCCCCATTCTCCTGCCTCCCCCAAATTTGCCGCATCACTCGTCATTTGTTGCGTTTGGTAGTTGTAGCTGTAATTTATTTACCCATTTGTGCTTTGGAATTAGGCTTAGGCTTAGATTTCGGCGTAGGCTTTAGGCTGAGGCCTAGGCTTAAGCCTGGAGTTAATTTGAACCTAGGCTTAGGCCCAGTATTAGGCTTAGGCTAGGCTTGTCCTCGGCTTTACGCTTACGCTTAGGTTTTGGGTTAGACTTAGGGCTTGGTTTAGGCTTATGCCGAGGCTTAGAATAATCTTAGCCTTAGGCTAGGCTTGTCCTCGGCTTACGCTTAGGCTTCGGTTTAGGCTTAGGGCTTGGTTTAAGCTTTGGCTCGGACCCTGGCTTATAGTTAGGCGTGGCTTTTTCATGCTTAAGCTTAGGTCCAATTCTGGATTAAGCTTGGGAGCTGGCTTAGGATTTTCATATTTCCGAAGCTTCTTTCGTTAAGTGTTTTCTTGTGTATTGTTTTCGTCTAATGCCTTTCAAGTTTTACATTTCAGCCTCACAAGCCCAGATGCGGCTCTTGTTATGCCTGGCGTGTTTGGGCCTGGCCCAAGCCGATTTGTTCACCGCCATAGCCGACTTGCAAACGATGTTGGGTTGGTTTTTTTTTATTCTAAACGAGTTCTGGAGTGAACCTTGCATTTATGGCTACTCTTATTACGCCGAAAACCCGGTGGTTTCAGGCGCCGAGAAAAATATTGTGCCCGTCGTCAAGGAGTACATCGCCGCCGAGCAGGAACGCTTGGATCATCTTAAAAAGTTGGTGTGCCCCTTTACTGCGATCATTTCCAATTCACAGATTCGCCGAGGAATACGTGACCCGGAATTCGGAGGCCCAAGAAACCGGACCGGAATTCGTGACCAACCCCATCAACGCCTTCCTCCTCATCAAGAGGTTGACGTCTGAGTGGAGACAGGTTTGGCTGATGAACTAATTAAATGATTGTATAACCTCACCCACGCGGTAACTCACCAAATTTACCAATTATCAATTTCCGGCTCTTTTGCATTATCGGGGGGTAGCCTTTTTCTTAGGACCCAATTTCCCTACTATAAAAAGGGGGAGGGTATCTAAAAGTTTTTTACTATTCTAAGCTTACGAATCTCACAGATTCCATCAAAATTCCGGAAAATATAGATTTTGATCCAACTTTTAACTTTTGCATTCTTTCTAAGGTTTTGTGTTTGTTTTTCTCAGCTTTTTACAAGAATCAAAGCTTTTTGCGCCTTTCCGGCTCCTTAAAAAAATTGCACCCTGAAAATTCAACTTTAGCCGCATATCTGACGTTTTCAGGTGGAAGACACGATGCGCAACAACAACGCCGACCGCTTCATCAAGAACATCACGGCCAGGAGGGAGGGCAATGAGTTAAGTGCCGCTAACTTTGATCGATTTTTCGCTTTGCTACCTCTTTTGAATGTTCGAAAAATTTTACTCTGTTAATTCTGTTTTTAGAACCTTTTGAAATGTGCAGTTCCAACTGTGTGTTTTCAGGTGAAATTCCCGGGAGAGGAAGATCTGTCTGGGGCGGCGATTGCGCTCTTGAGGCTCCAGGTAAATTTTCATAAAGTTTCATTTTAATAAAGGATTAAATAAAGCCTATGAAAACTTAATCAACGTCTTAAAGGACGTGTACAAGCTCGAGACGCACGACCTGGCCAACGGGTACATTCGCGGCGAGAAGGTCGGCCATCGGCTGAATGCGCACGACATTTTCGAGGTCGGTTTGGGATGTTTATCAGCATAAGCTTGACTATTTGATTTCCGCTTTTCTTATGTTGTCATTTTCACGTTTTTAGGTCGGTCGCGCCGCCTACAACGCCAAAGATTACTACCACTGCCTGATGTGGATGCAGGAGGCGCTGAACAGGGTAAGTCGTGCATTTCCAGTTCAGATGGGGAAATGCCGAAATCCCGTAAATAATCTCGACATGGAGAACCCCGACATCTATAATCCCGACAAGCAGAATCCCGACACCCATAATCCAGACAGGCACTAGCTGCTCAGAAGGAAACGATATTCAGACTATCGTCAGGAACCTGTCGGAATTTTAGCTGTAGAAATTTGAGATGTCGGTATTTTAGCTGTAGGAATTTGAACTGTCGGTATTATCGCTGAAACCCGTTTCAAACCCCTTTTTCCAGCTAGAAAACGAGCATCCGCCTTCAATCGCCGAGGCCGAGATCCTGGAATACTTGGCGTATTCGCTATACCAACAAGGCAACGTCAGACGGGCTCTTTCGATGACGAAGCGGCTATTCGCCATCGCTCCCCATCATCCTCGGGCCAGAGGTGCGGTTTGTAGCTTGTAGTTTGTGTTTAAAAACTCGGGAAAAGCTCTATAAAATTTTAGAAGAGGCTCGAAGACGCATTAGCATTATTTCTTTTCCAGGAAACATCAAATGGTATGAGGATAAGCTGGATGGCAAGGAAAAAGAAGGAGAATTGCCTGCCGTTGTCAACAAACGGTACGTTTTGCTACGACCTGAGCCTAAGCCTACAACTATGCCTACGCATATGCGTAAGCTTCAGCCCAAACCGAAACCTGACCTAAGCCTGAGCCGAAGCCTAGGCCGAAGCCGAAGCATAAGCCTATGCCTAAACCTAAGTTCTGACATTTCTTATCGCTCAATCTTTTTCTATTACTTTTTATTACTTAAAACACAAAAGAAAAAGAAAGCCACCACCGCCAAATATTGTTTCTCAGCGTCGAATGGGACGGAATTCCGGAACGTGACGCCTACGAAGCCCTGTGCCGCGGCGAAGAAACCCCCCTCACCCCCACACAAATACGGAAACTCTACTGTTACTTGAAGGTAGGACAACGATACGCTACCCCTGACGCCCAATTCTAGATGGACCGCCCGTTCCTCCGGTTGGCCCCGATCAAAGTCGAAATTATTCGGCACGACCCGCTGGCCGTCCTCTTCAAGGGGGTCATCCACGACAGCGAGATTGCCGTCATTCAGGAGCTCGCCAAGCCGAAGGTGTGTTTCTGGCTTTATTTTTTAGTACACAAAAAATAGAGCAGACGCTGCCTAATAGTTGCCTATTCTTAACTTTCAAAACTGTGATTTTTAGCTGAAACGCGCCACCGTCCAAAACGCCATCACCGGTGAGCTCGAGCATGCGTCGTACCGCATCTCCAAAAGGTAGTCGATCTAAAAATTGCCTAATCATCTCAATCCTCAGCGCCTGGCTCAAGGAGCACGAGCACGAGGTGGTCGCCCGCGTCAACCGAAGAATCGGCGACATGACCAACTTGAACCAGGACACATCGGAAGACCTGCAGATCGCCAACTACGGCCTGGGCGGGCACTACGATCCTCATTACGACTTCGCTAGGGTGCATCTTAGGAGAAAAAATGTAGCCTAAAGATTTTAATAGCCTGAAAGTTATCCGAAAATATTGTATTGTTACAGAAAGAGGAGAAGAACGCCTTCAAGTCGCTCGGCACGGGCAACCGCATCGCCACCGTGTTGTTCTACGTAAGTTTACTGAATAAACTGGTCGAGATACCTAAATAATCGTTAGAATCAAGATTATGATTTTTCGTTTAATCCATAGTGTTAAGTAAAAATACCTTCAGATGTCGCAACCCGAACTCGGCGGCGCCACCGTCTTCAACAAGTTGGGCAACGCCCTCTTCCCCAGCGTCCACGATGCGCTTTTCTGGTGCGTGGATGTGTTATAATTACGGCTATATACAGGGTGTCCCAAAAAAAACGACCCATCTGGCATTTCGCCGGGTTACGTCCAATCGGCCTCAAATTTGGACCAGAGGTGTATCATACCCTAAATAACAACAATCCTGACGTATAGCCCTGTAGCTACAGTCGTTCTCGAGTTGTAACGAAAACAAACTTTATTTTCCATTTTTCATAGGGTTTTCGTGGAATTAGACCCCCTAAACATTAAGTGAAAATGATCCGGTATGCCTTTTTTACCCTAAGAAATTTTTTCCAGAGTAAAATTAATTAAATAAGCTTCGATTTAAGCGATTTTTACAACCCAAAACTACCCAAGTTCTTAAGCGAAATTAGGGATTCACAGCCGGAAGTCGATGCAAATCGATGCAAAGTCCAAAAAGATAGCCGAAAAAACCGTTCAGAATTCCGGGAAAAGCAGTATTATCGTTATAACTCGAGAACGACTGTAGCTACAGGGCTATAAGTCAGGATTGTTGTTATTGAGGGTCTGATACACCGTTTGACCAAATTTGGGACCGATTGGATGTAACCCGGCGAAATGCCAGATGGGTCGTTTTTTTTTGGGACACCCTGTAGATAGAGGATATCACACTTGACAATTCCATCGCCCAATTGCAGGTACAACCTGAAGCGCAACGGTGACGGCGATCTACGCACCCGACACGCCGCCTGCCCCGTGCTGCTCGGCGTCAAATGGGTACGTTTATGCCAGGAAAAAGCCATAAAAACACTGTGTATAAAACGCAAGACCTATAAAAATTTGCGGTACCGGACTCTTAGCGGGTGTCGAAACTTTCCTACGAGATTTCATCTCCTAGGAGTTTCGAGGATGAATTACCTGGGATAATAGGGGTTGGCAACCTGCCAAGGGTCCCGCCGCGATGACCTATACGGTAGCGGGCTGTGTGAGCGCCCTCCCGGCGCTCTCTGTGATTATGCTTGCATATTCCCCCGCTATCCCGAAAGGGTGTTGCGGCCAGTCGTTGCTTCGGCACGGCTTGGTGAGAGTGCTGTGAGCCGGGGACGTGGTTTACCACTATCCGGAGCACAGTAAACCTCTGGCGAATGCAACCTTTCGACACCTTTCCCAAACTTGGCCCGCCTGGCCTTCGACATCTGTATTTCCCTCAGACACCCTTTCTCATGTGCCCGATTATATTCCGTCACTGTTCTAATAAACCTGTTCTCCTAATCCTTTGCAGGTCTTTAGCAAATGCACTTTATTACTACCACTGAACACCGAACGCGCATAACTGATAATGAGTGCAGACAGGGCCGGAAGAATGAGGTGGCAATCCGGGTCCTCCCTTGGGGATTTATTCCCCTTGGTGTATTTACACTCTGGGAGGGCTCGGAGGCTCAATCTTTTCGACATGGTGCAGTCGAGCCGTAGTGATCACCGGGCCACTCGTCATTTGCCTTTTGCCGTTGACCTGCTCAACCTCGACATACGGATATACCCCGCGACACTTGTTGTTTTCTTCGACACCACTGCCGGCCAGCAGTGTTTTGCTATGGATGGACACCGACATTTGGTCTGACGATCGCGGACACCTTCCTTCTCTTTGGACCCCTTTTGCTGAGGCATTCAAGCTTTATGGAATCTGACAAGGGATGAAGTTTAGTAAGTTTGTGGTAAGCTTTGGGCGAAAACCCAACATTCGTTTGGTTGCCTGCCGTGTTGGTGAAATTCTCGGCTCTTTGAGCCAGTTTTTCAGAGAAAATCAGGATATGGACGATGGATGCTGTGTTACCATGCCGCCCCAAGATGGGGATAGGTGCGCGGCTGCAGCTGAAGTTTTTCAAGGAATGATGGAAGTGAATGTCGTCCAACCGTTGCGAAACTAGAAGAAAAAGCGAGTGGAGCAATCGGATGCATTTGAAAAGGTTTATTTGGTTTTACTTTTGTCTTTTCCAGGGCGAAAAGAGTTTCTAATCGGGTCCAATGGTCATCGCTGGCGGTTGCGGTGCTCTAGAGAATGGGAAGGCCTCGCTCCACGTGCTGTAAGGCGCTCTTCACCATGCCTCGACAACGTTTTGGCCCCAATCTACCCAAGAAGGATGCGGGCGACATGGCGTGATCAGTGTGCGAAATGGTCGACGACAATATGGGCGCTTCCATCAATGCAACTTCGTTCGACTACAAGCCTACAAGCTTCAAATCGACACCAAGCTCTGCTCAAGCTTTTTTGCCGTTCGACACAAGTTTTTTTTTCGACACTCGACACCCCTCTACGAGGTGTTTTCGACACCAACAGCCTTGAGAAAGCTGTTTTCGTGCTCGAAACACTGGCCGTTCTTCATATGCGCTCACTCTACACGTTCACCGATGCTTCAACACTTCCGCTGAGTGATGTGCAACAACTTCTCATCAAATACGACAACTTTTTCGAGGTGATATTGCCCCACAGCCCTGAGAAAGCTGTTGGTTGTGCAATTTTTACTGGCCAATCAATTTGCAGTTAGGCGCTGATTGTTTCTCACGACATCGGGCGTTTGCAAAGAAGAAATCGACACACGTTGCCTCGGTGCTCGACACTTTTTCGCAAGCTCTTCCTGCGCTTCGACAAGGTCTCATCGATGGCGACGCGTGCTCAACGACAACCCGTGCTGCCCAAGAAGCTGATCAAGATTGCGGCTACACGACTACAAACGATGGCAAGAAACGAAGCATGGGCCGCCTGAAGCGAACAAACTCACCTTTCTTTCTACCTTTTTCGCCGAATTGCTTCACAGTTTTCTATCCGCGTCTTCCTTTGCTGTACAAATACTTTTTGCACACGCGTTGCTTTACTTAATTTTCTGTTTGTGCGACACCTTGGATCACTTTGGAAGTTTATCTTCCTTAGTTTTTCAAACCCGACACCCGGCTTTGCGCCACGCGACACTTGGCTTATCGCCGTTCGACACCTGGCTTGATGCCGCCCGACATTCGGCTACACATCGTGCAACGTCTGGTCGACTTCCGCTCGACATCAAGCAGCCCTGCCGCGTGTTCCACAACTCCTGATGGTCCAGGGAGCTGCTCTATGGAAGAAGGTTGCTGCTCAAGATGTTGCCCTTCGCTCAATGCTCTTTGGACATGCCAAGCGTCTACAACGTCTCATTCTACTTCGATGAATCGAAACGGATGTGCAAAAGTAAAGTTATTTTTGAAATTTTGAGAGCGCCACCTACGATTCGTCGCTAAGGTTGGCCAAGATGATTCGAAATTTTTGAAATTTCGTTTGCTTGCCCGAAAAACTTCTACGTTCGCGAACTTCGACTAATTTTCGGGTATTGTCATTCGTTTTTTCAAATGTTTCTTATTATTTTCTCAAAGTTTTGATTTGGCTTTTCACTTTTGTTTTCCCGCTTCGCCTGTTGTGCAACTTAGAGTTTATCTCTACTTTGTATAGCAGTTTTTTTTAGACACATGGTGGTGATGTGACATCTGTTTCCGGGAGACACTTGCTACCGAATGGCCGTCTACTCGTCATCTATCTACTGGCATGGCTGATGTGATGCACCGTTCTATCTGCGCTCATCAAATGGCACAACTACACAGCAAGCAGAAGTTCTTCATCCTGTTCGCCAACTATCTACCACTCGCGGATGATGTTCGTCGTTCGCCTTCACAATGCCGGACAACGAGACTGCTTCACGCCGTTCTTCGCTCACCATGCGCCCAACGCTGCTCGCCTACTCGCCCAGCTACGCAGACAACTTCCGTCTCGCTGCGCCAATCAAGCTTCCTCTGCCATGTTCGACAATGCCGTGGGTCCTACTGCGGCTCACCACCGTACTCCAAGGTTGCCGTTTGCGACAACTGACACATGGCAATGGAGATTCATGAGGCGACACTCAAGCTGGCACAAGGACAACGACATGCCGAGCAACTTCGCCGCTTCGCGCGCCTACTTTTGCCGAAACCGGAAGATCAGTTGCACTCGAAGCCACAATTTGCTGTTCGACAACGTCATCATCCACATGGTCGTCACCTTCCACGACGTTCACCTGTCAATCGACACCGCCGCCAACGTTGCTTACTTCTACAGGTCCAGTGCCAGATGCTCATCGGTCAAGATATTCTGCCAGAGCTTCGCGACGTCACTTCTCCGTCATTCCGCTTGCCTTCGGGACGAATCGTCGACTTTCTACAAAGTTCAGAACAGTCATCAGCGGATCCAACCAGGGCAGACGATCTCTCATTCAGGAGCTCAACGACCCGGAGTACGAGGGCAAGGAGGTCATACTGCTGCATGGCAGACAGACTTACATGCTGCATACTCCGACCTGAGCCGAAGGAGAGCGACACACCTTTACGATCTCTTATTCAGGACCTCAACGAGCCGAAGTACGAGGGCAAGGAGGTCATCCTGCCGTATGGCAGCGAGACTTACGCGCTGCATACTCCGACTCTTGAACCGAAGAAGAGAGACAACCCTGTACTTTTCATGGAGCCACACGCTGACTCCGACTATCTACCCGAGTTCCTGGAATTCAACCGGAAGACGACAACTGACCCATGGCGCTGCTGCACCATCGGCATCCGACTTTTCTCGACTTCGCCGCCTGTTCTTTGCTGTGCATGCCACAACACCTGCTACACATTCGTGTCCAATACGTCAATGAGCACATGTACAAGCGTCTACGCCTCGCAACAAGCCGAACTTCAACAGCGACAATCGCCCTTCACCTCCATCGCGCCGACTTGAGATGTGCGACACACATGCGGAACAACAACACGTTCACACGGAAGAACTCGTCTCTTGCCGCGCTGCGCCACTGTTTCCGGACAAGGATGGGCTTCTTCGACACCATCGTGTCAAAGCCTCCTCTACTGGATGTCTCCATCCGTGTTGGCCGCTACTCGCGTCGCCCGACACCTCACACTGCTGATGCTCAACCGACGTTCGCGACATCAAGCCTCTTCGGGGACAACGTCAAGCGGATCTCTTCTTCTGCTCACCGCGTCGCCTTCAACATTTTTTTCAGGCAGCCGCAATCGAACAGAGAAAATGTGCAGGGTTTTGCGTCATACAATCCGAGACGCTTCCGCATTCCGTCAACAAGCTGTCGCTGCCGCTATCGACACCATGCTGCCTCACGTCCTCACCGGTGGCTGTGAGATGGGCCAATACTGCGGTTTTCTTCCGAATCCATCGATCGCCACCCACAAGGACAAGCTGGACAGCAACAACGACCGCTGCTCGCCACTGACCTGTGTTTGTTGCAGCCCGTTTCGAAGCTGCATTTTCCTCACGCCCTCACCTTTCAAGAAGCGTCGCCGAATGCAGACTGACGCTACGCGACCGCTGCAATTACATCATCCACACATGCTGATCAGCTGTAAAGGCAAGTCTTGAGACATCTGTGCTAGCGACATTCGTTCGTCGTGACACTTGCTGCCACCTTTCCGCCTGCCCGTCGATGAGCCATGCGAATGCCCGCAAACGCGGCCACCGACACCGGCAACTCGAGGTCAACGTTGCGCAGTCATCAAGGCACCGCCAAGGCGACAATTACTTCGAAGGCTGCGACACATGCTGTTGTGCCTGCACAATCGTCTGCTCCATGCGAAGACTTCATTCTTCTACAATTCGGCAAGCGTTTCAACGCCAGAGACATCGCTTTGTGCCTCGATTAGACTGCGGTCCAGGGTTGTTGGCGCAAGCCAACAATTTCGCGACACTTTCTGTTCGTATGGGACTTACAAGTGCCACCCTCGTCAAGCCGCTACGATGTTTGGACTTCAAGCTACGATCAGCCACGCCGACGAGACCTCGATCAAGCTTCCGATCTGCGAGCAACCACAAGGAGATGTTCCAGCTTCGCTTTGGCCAGACCTCCGCTCTTTCAAGAGGTTTTATTTGGTAACTCGCTTCTCAGATCAGCCGAATGCGATGGGCAAGCCAGAACGTTGCGACACTTCAAGCCTTTGCTGACGCCATCGGAAACGACTACTTTTTCTTCGGCGGGACGAGTCAACGGTAGCTGGTTGACAAATACTTCGCGGAAGTGCGATCGACACATGCTCCTTGTGCCTGATCAACTTCGCCGCCGCCTGACTACTTGCTCGCTCGCCGACGGCTGCTGAAATGCTTCGACAACATCCACGCCTCAGGCTGCGATACGACATCGAGCTCGACAGCAACTTCGCCACCAATACTGCTGCGCCCTGCCTAGCGTCATCGACAACTCCACGCCTACCAATTGTTCGGCGACACTCGTACCACGCCACACAGCAAGGATCTGCCAATGCTTCGTCTATTGCTGATTTCGAACGCCAGCTGACAACGAGCGCGCCTATCAGTTCCTCGGATTGCCGTGACACGAAAGTGCCTGACACATTTCACCAAACGTTCGTACACAAGGAATGGATCATGGACGACATGCAACAAGAAGGACGCGCTCATCATCAAGCTGTCCACACAGCCATCTGCGAATCGCCAATTTACTTGCTCGGCTCTACCATCTGCCAGTCCAGCATTTGCGAAGCCGCCGGGATAATTTTTTTCAGATACTTTCTGGAAAAAGCTGCGACACGCTGTGCAACAATGCGGACACAACACCACTCTCTTCTACATCTGCGGCCGCCAAACACAATGCCGCTACGGTCGACTTCGCTTCAGGATGATGACAAGATCAACACCTCCTGCGCCGACTGTCTCTACGACCGCCGGTTCCCGACAACAATCCAAGTTTCACCAACAGCTTCGGCGGCTCGGTCGACTCCTCAACATCAGCGGGTCGAGTCCTATGCCACTGTTTGCTGCTGGATTACTCAGGTTTTCTTTACCTAAAAATATGCTCATTTGTTGCTGCGGGACATCGTGCTGAAGAAAGAGACACTCGTGGGAAGCGTGCGACACCTGGCAAGCCTGCCAGTTATAGCGACTTCACAAGCCTCCCGCGTCATCTACGACAGTCAACTAGCTGCGTTTGCCCTTCGCCATGATCGCGACAAGATGCTTCACACTACAACGTTCAAGCTGATCGCTTCAACGTGCACTACATCAAGCTGCGCGATGACGCTTTACAAGAATACCTCCGTTGCTGCCGTCTACAAGCTACACCGGCTGCATCTCATCCGAGCGGCGCCACTGTGACATTCATGCTGCAGCCCTTCATGCTCCGCCGACAACAACTCATCCGAGCAGCGCGACTACGACATTCTGCTGCCGCCCTTCATGCATTGCCGACAACATCTCATCCCAAGTGCCACTCCACCATTCGGCTGACACATGCTCCGCCGATTACAAGTCATCTGAGCGGCGTCACAGCGACAACATGGCTTCACGCTCCGCAATTCTCCTGCTTTCGCGCCAGACTTTGCCCCATCCTCGAGGTGCTGACTACAACAACTTCTACAATCAAGCGGCTTGTGAGACGGTGGTTTCGAGACAACTGGCCCGCGTTGCAACACGGAGCTGGTATCGCCTTTGCGCAACTCGTCTCTTCACTCCGTCTACAAGCCCGACTTGCCTCCACAACTTCGCCTCGTCTCCTGGAAGGATGAGTCAAGCTCAAGTTCAGCATGATTCTGGTCGCCTCCTCGACAAGTACGACTACGGCGGCGACATTCCGTTGCGATCACCACTACCTATTCAACTTCATCGACTTCCGGCGTATCCACTCACAGAACTTGGGACGCCGCGAGCATTTGGATCGACAAGTCTGCATATCAGGATTTCTTCAAGCTGCCCGCGCCAAGTGCAACAACTGAGTCGACATCGATTGTTCGCCGCACTGCTTTCTCTTCCACCAAGCTGATGGAATACAACATGGACCGCGGACTACTTCAAGTGCCAAGTTCATCACTTCAGCTGCTGCTGTCGTCCTGAACACAGCGACATCGACAACTTCATGTTGCTGCCTCGACTACAGCAGCCGCGCTCCAGCGACATCGACAACTTCATGCTGCTGCCCTGACTACAGTCAGCAGTTCCGTTGCGACACCAACAGCCGGATGCAAGGCTTCAACACTCAATCGCTCAAGCACGACTTCACTCGATACGAAGCTTCATCAAGCCTCTTCAATCAAACGTCGCCGATTTCAAACTTTCAAGCTCCAGAACAACGACTTGTGAATGGAACGCGGTAGCCGTGCCGTTCGCATTCGTTGTTGTTGGCTGCTCGATTGCTGCAAGATGAGCCAATACTGGAGCCTGTACGACTTCATGAGCACCTACAAGCGCCTACATGCCATTCTTCAGTTTATGGACCACTACTTGGGCCGCCGCGAGCCGTTTGGTCGACAAGTCCACCGCTTCATCAGCTGCTTGCGACAAGACTCAACCCACCGCGCCGTCAAGCTGCCAGCGACAACACCATGCTGCCGCCCTGACGCGACTTCGCCAACTTCGACTTCGATTTCAAGAAGGCCATCGCACGACGCGCCGACCTTCGTCCGCACAGCGACAAGCCGACTGATGACACTCGTCACCGCCGAGACGTTACTCAAGTTCGCGTCACCGCCTTTCTGCATTACGACATTACATGGTGACAAGGAGGTTTCGTGAGAGGATTCCTCCCCACCACCACTCGACACCCTCTCAAGGTTCTTCGGAACCTTCGCCATGCTCGCCTACAACTTCACGTGACTGGCTGCGCAAGATGTAAGAGTACAAGGTCGACAACACTTCGCAAGACGACGTCGACGCGAAGTGCCACAAGCCTCTTCTCGACCGCCAGCCAGCCTCAAGTCCACTACACGCCAGCCACTGCCGTAAATCCGATAAGTCATCCCCCACCCCTTTCCCGAGTTGGTTCGGCAGGAGTACGGGCTCCTTAGCGCCGACCAACTATTTTATTGTCAGTTGCCCCTCCCCTAGCTTTTATCTAACCCATTTTCGTCCTCCCGCCCCCACAGTGCAGAACATTTTCCACCATGATATTGGTCCCTCTGTACCCCAACCTTTCCCCCGGGCCGGGCGGACTTGTTTGTAAATTCTTGGGCCGCCGCGAGGCTCCCACTCAACCTCCCCTTGTAAGGTTCCTTGCTCCCTTCACCGGGGGCGGCACTTTCTGGCTCTTGCGCGGGCCGGGAGTGTCGAAACTTTCCTACGAGATTTCATCTCCTAGGAGTTTCGAGGATGAATTACCTGGGATAATAGGGGTTGGCAACCTGCCAAGGGTCCCGCCGCGATGACCTATACGGTAGCGGGCTGTGTGAGCGCCCTCCCGGCGCTCTCTGTGATTATGCTTGCATATTCCCCCGCTATCCCGAAAGGGTGTTGCGGCCAGTCGTTGCTTCGGCACGGCTTGGTGAGAGTGCTGTGAGCCGGGGACGTGGTTTACCACTATCCGGAGCACAGTAAACCTCTGGCGAATGCAACCTTTCGACACCTTTCCCAAACTTGGCCCGCCTGGCCTTCGACATCTGTATTTCCCTCAGACACCCTTTCTCATGTGCCCGATTATATTCCGTCACTGTTCTAATAAACCTGTTCTCCTAATCCTTTGCAGGTCTTTAGCAAATGCACTTTATTACTACCACTGAACACCGAACGCGCATAACTGATAATGAGTGCAGACAGGGCCGGAAGAATGAGGTGGCAATCCGGGTCCTCCCTTGGGGATTTATTCCCCTTGGTGTATTTACACTCTGGGAGGGCTCGGAGGCTCAATCTTTTCGACAGCGGGGGTATTGATTGCTAAGAAAAATCCATTCTTAAAAAAACCAAAAATTATTTTAAAACCGTGATAAATTGCCAAATTTTGTTTCGGCCTCAACTTTGATATTTTTAATTTTTTTGATCGGTTCTCAGTGGATTTTAATTGTTAGGAAGTTGTAAAACTTCGAAAAACATGAAAAGTTTGGTCTTATTTGGTCTACCTACATACGTCTGTGAGAAAGAAATCAAAAATTTTCGATCTACAGAATTTTTACGCCTTTTTGGATCCAAAAACCGTGTAAAATGCAATATAAATCGTCTATAACGCGTTATAAGGCCGAATGAGATTACTGGAAAACCTGAATCCGCTGAAATTCCCCCCGTTAAGAGACCAGTGCCAACTTCGCTACCTAATCGGAAAGACAAAAAACGGAGGCTTATTGAATCTCTCTTCAGGTGTCAAACAAGTGGATCCACGAGCGCGGCCAGGAGTTCACACGCCCCTGCGGACTTGATGAGAACGTTTACGAGCACTTTGTCGGAGATCTGAGGCCACGACACGAAAAGCACTAGCCTCAATGCGCCCCCTTAATTTATCTCGATTTTCGGGTCCTTTTCCCTCTGCCCTTTTGTCCTTTTGGACGTCTTGCCAAACCCACTATGTTTACGGTTAAGCGGTTTCTTGTGTGTGTTTTTTTTCTTCTGTTGATACCCTGCCTTCTGGTCGCACCAGCCCATGTTCTGCATATCTGCCTCCGGATGGTGCCTCGATTTTCCGCAATTTGTGATATTTTTGCATCGTACCTTGTAGTAAACGTATTCCAGTAGGCTACCATAACGCAAACCACGTGCACAGACTTGACAAAACACGTTTACCTTTCAAAGGTTACAGTATTCAAAGTTTTCAAACCGTTTGACTTGATATATCGGGCCATCGAACACGTTCCCATTCCACCAGGAATTAATGAACCTTATTTTACGCGACTTTTGACTCTCTAGGGTACTGTAGACGAACGTCACACTCCATATCACGTTCCACTGGCCTGCCAATGATGCCCTCAGCTGCCCCAACCCGCCCCTATCAGCAGTTTAGTTTTAATCAGCGTATTCTGGAGGGTCGCGTAGCCCTTTGCCGGTGAATTTTTCGCTTTTTTTTCGCTGCCGCCCATACACTCTCGGATCGACGGCTCAAAAGGACGCGCGCGATCGCGTTGCGGCCATCGTCGTCCAGTTACGATATCCCGTCACTGTCCCGGAGTTCTCTTTGACACAAAAAGGAAGCGGTAATAAAAAGTAGTGTTTCCGAAAACTTTGTCAGCTCAAACGGCTTCTTTATTCCAGCTTGTAGAAAACCATAGGTAATCGAAGTATAGCGAGCGAGCGAGTACATTAAAATACACATGCCAACGAGATGAAATGCTTAGACTTTAATGGGCTTTAATGTGGCGGCGTTTCGGCTTGCTGTTTTGGTAGGCGGGCGGGGCGACCTTCGTTCCCTGGGCTCGACGGCGCCTGCGTCTTTCCTGGAACGTCGAAGATAAAATACCATTTTGCGTGGTAATGCCTAGAGTTCTTAATTTTCGCTAGCAGCGCCGCGGTTTTCCGGGGGTGTTTCTCAGTCGTGGTGAATGCGGGGACAAACGTCCCAGTCTCGACCGCGACCGCGCCAAATTTTGGTCTTTTACACGCGTTCTAAGGCCTGTGAGACCGCCCGTCCATCCAAGCGCGCTGCGGGACCACAGGCGTCATTTGGTGTGCCGCGGAACGGACGTTCGGAATTTCGGATTTTTGCGCATATCCGTGTGCGGGACCGAGACCGCCCGCCAGAGGGTTCAATTCCCCCGGCAGGGTCAGCGCTGAACCGCCGCGTAGCGGGGGATGAGCGCTGGTCTCTGTATTTGATGTTTTCCGTCGTCGAAATGTTGCCCCCACCGGCTGCGCATCGGGCGGGTCGGCTTGCACGTTAGGGTTGGGCTGATCGGCTTGCGCGTCGTGATGGGCGCCGGCATGCACGTCGTGCCGGGGCTGTTGCAGAATCTGGGCCAACTCGACGGGCTGCACCTACAAGGCGATGTTCATCTTCATGAGCGAAAGAGACAATTTCGTTCGGGATCTAAGCTTGGGAAATTCGAATTGGGTTGAATTCTATGTTAAAAACAAGCAATTGCTGGCTTTTCGAAGAGATTTGGGGCCGCTAGCGCACTCAATTATTTTTAGCCCCAAAAAATGTCGCGTGTAAGCAAATTTGCGTGAATTTTAGAGGCTGGATCATGAAAAAATGTGGAATTTACCTGACGCCCGAAGCGAACATCGGCCTGGTCGTCTTCGCCATTAGCTGGGGCTTCAACAGCGTCGCGGTCTGGCGGGCGGCGATGCTGATTGTCCGCGTTCGGGATCTGCAAAAATATGTACGGAAGAAATGTGGGTATTTTCGTACTAAATTTGTAAGACTTTTGTGAAATTTTCGACCATCCTCATTGCTAGGAGTCAATTAGTATCCGCCGGAAATAGGGGCAGCCTATAAAAGTGGGAAGGAGGCGTTCTCCAGTTCTTTTCATAAAATTGGGGAAGTAATACAAAAAACGTAGAACATACGCACATACGCAAGAGAAATCTCCAGACGTGACCAGAGCCGGAAAACCGCGAAGCGGTTTTTCAACCCTGCTTGGAAGATTAAGTTGGCCTTTACCAGCTGGATGACACGAGGCTGGAACGCCTCATCGTTGCGTCCGCGGTGAGCAGCTTCCGCGTGGGCGCCGACAACTTCACCATTCGGAACCTGCAAAATATGCTTATAGAAATTTTCCCAAGCCGCTCTTCGATTCTAGCTATTGCCGATGAACGGATCCATATTTTCACCCGCCTGATGTTCAGGAAGCCGAGCCGCTTCACCTCCAAGGCGCCGCACCCGGATGTTCGGCGAGTCAGGCCTCATCACTCGCCAGCCCTGCTAAAAAAGCACAATAGTGCGAAATCTATCAAATTTAATGTATTCTGAAAAAATCTAGAAAGTCATATATATTTTGACCTTTTTTGCTCATTTTGCGTACATTTTGGGCCAAAAAGTTCAAAAATTTTTAATCCATTTCGATAATTTTTATGCGCATATTTTATCCAAAACTCGCAAAAAGCTATGAAACTGTTTATATTCCGTCAAACGTGGTTTTGGGCGCTTCTGATCCCGCTGGCAAACCTTCCATCCAATTCTACCAGCTGTTGATAGGTCAAAAGGGGTGGCGATCACCTGTCCGAAAAACATCTGTCCGAAAAACACCTGTCCGAAAAATCGCCTGTCCGAAAAAACATATGTCCGAAAAAATATCTGTCCGAAAAGTCGCCTTTCCGAAAAATCGCCTGTCCGAAAATCATCCATCCGAAAATCCACTGTCCGAAAAGTAAATTTCGGACCATGAAATCGAAGTACGGCCGAAACTTCCCAAGACCTTCAGGTAATCTATTCAAACCGGATTTTGGAGAAAATGGGAAGGTAGTTTCCAGGGATACGAGCCGCTACTGTATCATAAATTTTTGGAGAGTGACTCAATGGGCTCGGGCAGGCATTCCCTAAGATACGGCCGATGAAACTTGGTATGGTCACGATTCCGGGGCTTGTCCCACGTGGGGCTATCTGGTAGCAGTTATACCTCGAACCTTTAAGAACTGAGTAAGTAATTCGAAAAGGGTTTTGATTGGCTGCTTCGTACATTAGTTTTTCGGACAGGTGTTTTTCAGACAGGCGACTTTTCGGACAGATATTTTTTCGGACATATGTTTTTTCGGACAAGTGTTTTCTCGGACACATGTTTTTTCGGACCGGTGATTTTTCGGACACATGTTTTTCGGACAGGTGTTTTTCGGACAGATGATTTTCGGACAGGTGTTTGGCAATCGTCAAAAGCGATACTGACTTCTTGAGCAGCTGGGGAGCGGCGAGCAGGAGGCTGAGCTTGGGCACGGGGCGCAGCGCGAGCTGCCGGCACGTCAGCAAGGACGTCTTCATCCTGTAAAAGGGGATACAGAGGAGACGGAGAATTGTGAAAAAGCAGTCGCCAAATGAAACAAGGATTCTTACCGGCTGCCCGGCGTTGTGCCCAGGGCGCGGCGAGATAGGCGAGACCTGAAACAAGCGGTTGGAAGCGAGTCGTTTTTTAGTGCGAATCGAGTTTTTGCCTAGTTCAATCAGATCTTGACCGGCCGGATCAGGCTTATAGACCGCTAAAAAGGGGCACCGCAAAAAATAGTACCGTTGGCGAAGTGGCGGCAGTGAGTGGCGATGGCGAGCGGCTCTAAATGCGCCATATATAGAAATAGTGCTTCACTGAAATCTAAATATTACATAAATATGAAATATGAAATACACTAAATATGACAACTAATCTTTTACTGAAACCTCGATATCTTTTCCATGGTAAATCAAGTTAACAATCTAAAACCTGTAAATGTCAGGTTAAAACTACGATCGAAAATTTGGTAGTTGCGCGATATGTTAATTTTTTTTAATCGCAAGGGCTAAGAAAAGGAAGCAAACCTATAATGTTTTGTGTTTTGAAACTACGTTGCCCGACGTCCAACACGTTAAACCATACTCGCGGAGGCGGACGCTGCTGTTGCCGCTGGCGCGGGAACGGCGTGGGGGGAGTGGGTGCGCGGCTGGCCTGGAAGCGTCGAAGCTCATATTCAAAGTCTTTGATCGACGTTTTTTAGTTCCGATGAATTCGAAATAACCCCAAATTTCTAAAAAAATATACCGGAGAGACGGCACGCTGGAAAGGCGGCAGCCGGTCCAGCCAGCGCTGCCCCTTTCGCAACTTCAGGGCCTTTTTGGCACGGTTCAACTAAAAGCAAGATTTTGGCGTGTTGCCCGCAACGCTACCTCGATCTCAGCTTCCACGGCTTCTTGTTCCACCTGTCGCGTTTTTTGCACGGACAGGTCGACCTGCAATAAATAAGAATTGAGCGTGCAAGAAACCCAATTTTCTCTCAGAAAAAAGAATGATAATAAGCGTGACTACTACCACTATAAATGAAGCTTCCACTTATCCGCCCCGTTTAATAACACTCAGCGACCTGGCGTTCCCACCCCACCTTCTCGTTGTACGATACCAAGGTGCTGCGCAGTTTGTCGATGATCTTGATCAGCCTGTTCGCGTGCTCTTTGCTGGTGTCGCAGCTCTGAAACAAGTTTCCAATTAATTGGAAATTAACTTTCGAAATATCTATTTTTAGCGCGCCCTAGAAAGCTCGGTCCGCAAGGGTGACCAACGTAGAAATTCGAACCCATACGTTCGTCACCTTTGCGGACCCACCCCCCCATCTTCAACTCACCGCCATCATCATCTCGTGCGTGGGCAGCACGTCTCCCTCCAGTACTCGGCCACGCTCCGCGGCACGGAGGACTGCCTGGAAAGACTCATTTTCGACTTCTGTACGCAAAAGTGCTACCTTGGGAGTCTCGTCCTGGAATCGCAGATAGTCGACGTGCGGCCGAACGGCTGTTCAAGCCGCAAAAAGTGACAGGTTGGGGGTTCCTGAACCCTGAAGCTCTAGCACCCCGTCCCCAAGACAAATCCGACGATCTAATTGACAAAGTTGCATGAAGCACAACATTAAAAAGGACAGGACAAAAATTATATTTTCGATACCCTGCTAACTAACAGAATAAACGATCACTATCGCCCACCATCTCCAGGAATTGGCCCATTTTGTCGTGAACTTCGTGAAGAGGAGCATCGTCTCGTTCATGTCGACGATCACATCGAGTGCGATTTTGGGTCGCTGAAATTATCAAATTGGTCTTGTCCGACAAGGGGGTTTTGCCGATGGAGACGCAGTGCTATATAAAAGCATTTCGACGGCTGCCAGAAGAAGAGCAACCACCAGGAAAAATTACGCACCATTTGGCCGATGTTCAGAATGTACGTCTAGTGGACGGGCTTCAGACTGGGGTTAGCCGCGTTGACGAGCAGCACAGTATCCAGCAACAAGCCGGAACGAATCTACAAAATGTCCCGAATCGGGCCGCCAAAAATAAATTACCGGCAACGAGGAGCGGTCGCACCAGTTGTGGCAAGGTGCAAAAACACGAAGATCAGAATCTTCGAATCCCTCGAAGAATCGTTTTTAATTTTTCATATTATGCTAATTAGCACTTTGTTCTGAAGCATTCACAAAAGTGATCAGAACTTGGAATTTGATAATTTTGTATGCATAGCACGTTTACTGTTTTAAAAAACGAAAACGTTTTCTTTATTTGCCCCGTTTCCAAAATGACGTACGATGCAAAACAACATCAGCCCTGTGTGCTAGGGAGCGGTGCGTAGCTTTAGTGTTATTTCTAGAAACTTTTTCCTCTTTTTTTATCACGGCGAGAATCGATCGATGATCAGTACCTTGAAACCCGAAGTCCCTTTGAAGTGTCCGTCCTATTTCCGGTAATCCGGCCATTTTGTTTTATGACCTGTCCGTGGGTGCCTCATTTTGACGCCCCATAAAAAGTCTCCGTTTTTGGCAAATTCGAAACCAGCGGACGTTTTTCAGCAATTCGCTTGCTGCAGGAATTCCCAGGCGGCTATTCTCAAACATTATCGAAAATCAATTTTACTTGGGAATCGCTGGGTCTGGACGACCCACTGGGTATCTCGGAACCTCGCGTTAATTCCCCATCGACCCTTGCAAATAACCACCTAGCCCTTTCAATGTTTTCCTCGAAGAAATACGCAAATTTTCCAATGCTGGCTCCTTTATCAAGTTTTCCTTGGCGTGACGTATTCTGAGGAAATCTTATCTTGCCAGACTGGCGGGTTACTTCTTTGGGCTTACTTTTCCAAGCTCTGCCGGGTGCAGGATTGCTGGGTTTTTGGGAGTAAGTTTACATCTGGGTATTAACATACAGTAATTTGAGATATTCCCGCCTAAGAAAATAGTTTTCCATTGAACTTGTGTTTCGTTTACACTCTTCATTTTTGTAGATCTATCTCCCCGATACCGACTTTCGATCCGTAATTTTTTTTGAACTGCTGCTCTATTTTCCGTTGTTCGACTTTCTAAAACATATTTTACAGTCTCTAATTCCTTTTTTTAGGATAATGGGAAACCCGTCACGCCAGCGTCGACCGCCCTGGAATGGGCGACCGAAGCAAACCTCGAAGAGGCAAGGCTCCAACCAGCCTTCATCCACCAATGCGAATGGTTCGTTTTATTTAGGTCGAATAACCTTTCTTTCTTTTTTTCAGCGACCCCGCCCGTTCCCCCGCCGGCTGGTGTGAAAGTGCCAATGGTGAAAGAACAGGTGCTGAGGCTGATTCAACCACGTGTACCTCTTGATACACGCGCGGAGATACTCTCCGGCATTAATGCTCTCGTCGATGCGCAAGAAGACTACCTGAAGAGGAACATGCTTCGACAGGACCTCTACTCGGGTAATTTTTATTAAAGTTTTTTAATCGTGTTTGCCTTTTTATTATTAGTTTTCTCCTTTTAGTTACGCATCTGCGGGAGGCCATGGAGCGCTGTCAGCACGAGGCGCGTGGCCTACACGCCTCTCATCAGCTACCGGTGGAAATCCGAAAGTTCCGCAATTCTGAAGCCAACGATCTGGCGCTTCGTGAGGGTGACAGCGGCTCGTCTCCACTCAACATCTTCATCGCCGCTTTTCAAAAAGCGCGCGGCCACAAGTTCGACATGAGACTGGTATTCACTCACCTTGTTTCCACAGTTTTTTTTTCTAGCTCGAATTCCTGCAATCGCTCGCTGACGGCACCAAGCCCATGGAGAGGGATTGGGTGATCAGCTTCGGCCCGAAGAGTCCGCGCAAGCAGCTATCCGGAACGGCCTCAAGTTAGACAGACTTTTGTAACTTTCATTGTCTATTTTCAGCACTTGAAGTTGCCACGACGACCGATAGTCAAGATCCGCTCACCAACCGGCCGGAGCTGGGCTCGCTCGCCGATTCTCCAGGCCAAAGTGATGAGTTAGTTTTTGTTAGAAGCTTGTTTTTTTGGGTTATTTTTCTGTGAAACATGGAAGTGTTTCAGGGAAGTGAGCCATCACCATCAAGCCCGTGGTCTCCTGAAAGCGGCGGCGCCACTCGGCAACCCAATTCCGCGACGCCCCCGTTCGTTGTCTCGGATGCGTTCTGCACGTACCTCTTCATACGATGTAAGTTTACTTTTTCTACACTAGTAACCCGCTGCTCAGCTTGGCGTCGTCTCGTCGAGGTCCAGTCGTGGCCTGGAGCTGGAAGTGGCCCCAGTGGGAAACGGCAATGATGGCGAGGAAGCGACAACATCTGACGAGCGCAGCCGCAACCCACAGCGCCCGAGACTGCCACCAATAGTATGGTTACAAAACTAGCTTTATGTTCCTTTCTAGAACCGGCATGCTCCTGACGCCCCTCCACCGCCGTTCACCAAGCCCATGGCGCGCATAGCGGCGCTACCAGCAGTGGTAAATTTCCATTAATTTTTGAAGAACAAAATTTAGAAAGCCGCACCAGTTCCGTCGCCACTTGCCCGTACCCCAGCCGTGACCCAACCACCACCACCCGCGCCTCCGTTGCCAGCGAACCTCCTAGCTCCAAAGGGCAATGTCAGCGGGCCTCCACCTCCTCCGGCTCCTCCGTTGCCTCCGAATCTCCTCGGCTCTACCAGTGCTGTCAAGGTTCCACCGCCTCCCCCACCTCCGCCGCCGGCCAACTTGCTTGTGCGTCAAGGTGCACCATCAGCCAGTGCCAGCCGACCGCCTCCTGCGCCACCCCTTCCATCGAGTCTGCTAGCGCCCGGCTCTTCTGCGCCTCCGCCAGCACCACCATTGCCACCGGGTGGTCTTCTCCCCGCCGCGCTTGCTTCACCAGCTGGTTTGGTTTTTCGGTATCATGATTGACGTTTTTACAGGCTCCGCTCCCCCTCCGCCTCCTCCTGGTCCACCACCATGTCTGCTGCCCGGGTCGGCTCGTGCCGTCCCTCCGCCACCACCGCTCCCGAAGCTCCTCCTGGCGCCTGCGGCTGCCAATAGTGCCCAACTTTCCCCGGGCCCAGGTGTTCAGTCGCCATCTGGTAGTAAACCTCTTTTTTACTTTAAATTAGTTTTTAGGCCGTTTCACCCCCGCGCACGTCACCAAATCAACGGAGAGCTGGCGAAAGGATCGAAAGACGAGCATGCTGCGATCGGCTGACTGGGTCGAAGGCTATGCTATTCAGAGTTTGTTGATGGTTCTTTGATTATTTATGTTGTTTTTTTAGACGAATCAACGATCTGGAACGACCCGGAGCTCTCGCGGCCCGACTTCAGTGAGGCCGAGCAAAAGGAGGCAAGTGTTGACTGTTTACTTTTGAAGTTAGTGTTTCAGCTTCTTTGCGCGTTCGAAATGGTTGACAAGGCCCCGCATCGGAAGACAGGCACCATCCAAATGGCCTTTCCCGCCTCACCGCTGCTCAAAACGCCCGTCTCGGCCCGTGCGGGAGTGCCGGTAGCGTTTTTACATACCGTTACATTCTAATAAGTGTTTAGGCTTCGCCGGCGATGTCTGCTAAGCGGAAGCCGATCCTCGATGACCGTCAAGCTATGCAGATAGCGTTCCCGCTAAAGACGTATGTTTTGTTTATGCCAACCTGTTAGAGTTCACGTTCACGGCTAATCCAATTTTCATGTTTAGTCAACTCCGAGGCTCGACGGTAGATGCGTGGATAGAACGGGTCAAAGCCTCTGACGGCCAGCTCAATATCGACACCCTGGCCGCCCTCATCAAGGCATGGCCTACGGACACGCAGGTCAGCACCTTGTAGTGTCCTGGAGGCATTATTTTCTTTCAGTTGCTCGCCTTCGAAAAAGTGGAGCGCGAAGACCTGCATGGCAACGAAGATCTCTTCTGCTGGGAAGTGTCTCGTCAAAAGAACCTCAAGCCCCGCTGTCAGCTAATCGTGGCCGTGGCCGACTATGAAGAAAAGGTTGTTACTTTCTGCGCTTCTCTAAACAGTTGTTCCTCAGATCCGTCTCCTCTCCAATGCCACCGATGAGCTGGAAAAGGCAGTGGCTGGCTCACAAAGCGAGGCCATCAAGCAGCTTCTGACGAAATGCCTCAACTACGGAAACTTCTTGAACCAGGTCTGGTTATTAGAAACATTTGTTTACGTGATGTTTCTAGGGCTCAACGCTAGCCAACCGTGCCGGCTACCGGCTCACCGCCCTAAAGTCGATCCTCGAATTCAAGAATCAACGCGGCCGCACTATCGTCTCCATAATCGCAGAGCACACGTCGTTCGAGGTGGCCGAGCTGGAGGGCCTGGCCAAGGATCTGCTTGTCAAGTGAGGACTTTTGAGCTTTTTCTGGATGAGCTTTTCTTTGTAGGGCCGACCTGAAGGAATCAGAGGACCAGGCGAAGAAATGGCGCATGGAGCTGACTGCACATCTGCGACTGGTACGTTTTTGTGGCGAATCTTTACTACTTTTTTCTTCAGCTCGAAAAGACGACGGACACCGAGCTGCAGGAGCGATTCACCGCTCGCCTGAAGGCTTTTAGCGAGGAATTGGACGATGTGGTGCGAAGACTAGCGGAGTTGCGCGCCCGCGAGAAGGAGCTGCTAACGTAACGTTTTCCCCGAGCTTGCGCTTAATTTTTATTTCAGCTACTTCTGCGCGATGAAGATGTCCATTGAGAAGATGTTCGGCTGCTTGGCCGAATGCGTGACGCTTTGGGTGGCTGCGATAAAGGTATGGGAAAACATTTTTGGCCCTTGAAATTTGCATGACGATTTTCTTTGCAATGGTTGTGTTTTAGCAACTAGCCGCTGATCGGCAACGCGAAGAGAAGGAGGAGAAGCGCCGCCAGTACGCCGCCACGCACCTGCCTAGCCCAAAACCGGTTCGTTTTCAGCATCGGTCCCGAACTTTATCCTTTTGTAGAAACGGTCAACCACCACCGATGAGCTCGCCAGCCCTCGCGATCAGATGCTGGCCGAACTGAAGCAGCGCGCCGGCCTTCTCAACGAATAGTTCAAGCCGACTCCTGCCCACGCACCCTTCGCTCTTTTTATGCCCCCCATATTTATACAGTACTCGTCATTTGTTCAATTTTGTTTTACCCTTTGCCCGCTGACATACTGATGCATAACGATCTCTGCCTTGTGACTTCGTCTGACCGTGTCGTGCTCTCACCTACGGGTTTCCGGCAGTTGCCGTCTGATGTGATGAAGCTTCATAATAATTATACTGGTTTCGCCTTGCCCCCCCGCATATTGATCCGTTGCACTGCCTCGTCTATTTATTTTCATCCCGTCTGCCGAATAAATGGCTTTTGATCAGCACCATTGGCGAGAAGGTTTCGTATAACGGGGACCCTACAGCTTCACTAGCCCTTTAGCTCGTGGCTTTTGCAAACAATTGGCCTAGTTATTTTCGCCGAATGGCTGCCGTGGTACCCACAGGCTTACTTGCACCCTGCTTCTAGCTCTCACTCTCTCCCTCTCTCTCTCACCGGCCTTTCCTCCACCAAAAGAAAAATAAAATCGATGCCCAGATGCTTCTTCTCCCATTTCCTCGCCAACCATTCTCTCCCTATTTTCGATTTTCGATGCTGTTCCCCTTGTCTACATAGCTGCTCTGATTCAAAGGTCATCCCGATTTCGCAACAAACCAGCGCTTAAGCGCCAATCCACTTGACATTCGTATCATGTACCATCGATACGTATCGCAAATTGTGCGTAGATGATGCGAAACCCCTTAAAAATTAAAATGGGGCGCAGATGCGGTTTTTTGCCGTCCAAAACTGCTGTGCATTAATGGTACAAGCTTGGGTGAGGGCCCTTCTAGAAATTATTTAGGCGCACTTTTTTCAATATACCCCAGGGGATTGTTTTTGAAGCTGGGGTTACGGTAACTAATGGCGCCTTTGAGGATCCCAATTCTTTAAATTTGCGGATTAAAGGCACCGGAAAGGGTCGGGTCCGGTAGGTAATCACTTTTCTTTGACTGTCTCCAGCGTTTGCTCCCATTAGTTTTCCTAACCCCCTTTTAAAACGTCATGCCAATTTCTCAAAAAACTTATGAGAATCCCGAGAAAATCTAAAAACTCCTATCTAATGGCCCATTTTCATACCCCTTTAGTCAGACTCTCCGCACCGAATTTTTTTCCGCCCCAGAATCGAACCAGGCCATTCCCACCATATCCCGCTCTCCCTAGCTCTCTCGCTCTCGATAACTCCTTCTCTCTCCATCTCTCGCTCTCTCCCTTTCACTATTTGGGGGGGCACATCTATAGCATAGGGGCTCTCGGTCCCCCCCCTTTGAAAATCGATATTCCCCTACGGTGTGTCTCCCCACACAAACAGGAGAAGGTCCCGCCACGACTCTCCATCTCTAGCCCCTCTCTATCTCTCACCCACCTCCCCTCTCTCTCCATCTCTCGCCCCCTCTCAACCCTTCTCGCTCTCTATCTCTCGCCCTCTCTCCCCTTCGCTCGCCCAGTGAAATCAGCATCGAGGCTCCGCATCAGCTGCCCATTCCCCACCCTACACCCGGCGACCATGGGCTCGTTCCAACCGTCTTTTGCAGCTGAAGCCGTTGGCCGACTTGGTTTTTGGATTTCGCCGAGTTCGGAGAATTTTCGATGATTTTGAATTGGCTTTACGGCTCCTTTAAGGTACTCTTCTGTTGTTCTTTTGGTGTTGGGCGAAAATCAGCTAAACCTGATTTCCTTTGAGCATTCGCTTTGAACCCAATTCGATAGTTTCGTCGATTTATGGCAACAGTCGCAAAGATTGCGTAATGAAATGCGAATTGTTTGTCTCCAGAAAAGTGCAAAACTACCGCCTTGCCATTCCCTTCAATTCGATGCAACCTTCATTTTTGGGCTTTTTGCGAAGCCATTCCCTGCCTTTGTGAATCCTAGGTTCTAAACCTTAAAAACCTATGCTTCACAATTTTTTGAAAATCTAGAAATCGGCACGTTGCCAAGTTTCTTTAATCCAGACCCCCTGTAAAATCGAGAAAAAATATCGCTACCCTCACCGTTTAGCAACATTTTGATTGACTTCCTCCGCACCGAAGTTCCCGCGTTTTTCTACTCTCTCTTTCTCTCCCTCCTTCTCTCTTTCTCTCTTTGCCCCCCCCCCCCTTGGTCGGCCCTGGGTGCTTTTTCCGACGCAAAAATCGATATGACCGACCGATCGAATCACAAACGTTTAGTGATATTTTCTGGGGGGAAGCTTCGGTAGTCAATCAGATTTGTTTTGTTGTTTTTACAAAAAACTCACAGATTCCGAACTTTCTAGTCCTACTGTATGTTCCCGTACTAGAATCCGTTGTTTTAAAGGTGTCAAGGAGCGTGGAAGATACCTATAGGTATTTATTGAACCGGATATTTGATTGAGAATGTAGCAATCTCTGCCAATCAGACTTTGGAAATACTCATAGCAAAAACTGGCGAGCTTACAGCTCTTTCGAGATCCCACTTTTAAAGGGACGGTGCCACCGGAAAGTGATTAGAAGTTTTTAGAACTATGAGAGGTCGAGATCTTGCCCCGATATCAAGAATCGACGGTACCTCTCCCGGGTCACTTTAGTGTGGTAGAGCCTGCTAGCCTACAAACTACAATTATCGACTACGCGCCATTTCTATCGACGGTACACAGAGGCCACGTACTGATTAAATTTTTAATTTCGAAAATTTTCTTTTAATTTTAGTTTTTCTTTTGTTTTGGCGCTTTGGCATAACGCCGGGAAAAGACTTTACCTTTTGTCAGTTTCTTAAAAGCCATAGACAGGGACGTAGCGTAAGGTTGGCCCCCTGGGCCCGGGGCCCCCCCCCCCCGAAATCGGCCGGGGCCCGAAAATTTCATAAGGGGGGACCCTTATGATTTTTATTTTCTCAAAAATTTTGCTGCCTGCGGCGCTATTTTTTTCACGTTTTTACTGCTATTTGTAGAGCTACATAGCCTTTTTCCTAAAAATTTTTGCCTAAAAATTAAAAATTTATTCCTGCGGCGCTGTTTTCTTGTCAATTTTTTGAGTTTTTCGGAAAAAATTTTTCGGGGCCCCCCCCGAAATTTTTTTCTGGCTACGCCCCTGGCCATAGATTTTTGGAATCCAGGCCGATATATTTTAGCTATATTTTTGATCCGCCGATACCGCTGAGAAGGCCAACGATAGATCCCCCAAAACTGGCAATTCTGGCATTCCCTAATCACTAGCTACAAAAATTTCGCCCAACCTTGTCGCGCACGCGTTCCAATTTTTGCCGGCGGCTGGCACTAAATGTGCGCGCTCCCCGGCCTCCCCGCCGCTCCCGGATCCACGTCGTCGTCGGCGTGCGTGGCCTGGATAGGCTCGAGCTTACTGCCTAGGCTTTGGTCGCGCGCGACGTCGCGCCGCGGCCTTCCCGCGACCGGGCTCGAACCTTCCGGCTGTCTACGTTTCTGGACGGGCGGTCATCGGCCGGGCACCCGTCTCGCCGCTCGGACAGAACCCTTTCCCGCCCACTTTGATCGCGCGCGAACGCCGCACACGACGCCGCGCGACGCCGCCCCGCGGCAGAATGTAAATTCTCAAATAAGTCACTTTATTGATTGGCACGTACGGGGTGAAGTGCGGATTCACGGTTCTCGAATTTTCATATTCCGAGCGGCCAAAACCCCGAACCCGAGATACCCGTCGTAATCGACTGTGCGGTAGGGGGATTTTGAAAAATTTTCTTGTTTTCGAGTGCAGAATTCTTGTCGTTTTTGTTTTCCAATTTGTTCTAAACTATGTCACCAAAGCTCAAACGCATTAATTTATTATTTTCCAGATGGTTTCCACGTGCGAAACATCCCCTCAAACCACCAACGGTGAAAGTGAGCCCAAAAAACAGGAGATTCTGGTAGCGTTCTGTTTTCAAATCGAAAATTTTCATTTTCTAGGATCTCGACGACGAAGGGGAGAACGAGGGTCTGCTTATTGACGAAGACGAACCAACCACCTCTAATGACGGTCAGGACATCGTCGAAAAGCCCGAGTTGATTGCAAATGGAAAGCATACAGGTTGCCATTTCTTCTTCTTTTCGATTAGGAGCGCTGTGGTACATAAATTTCAAGTATTACGTCCGAATTTTTAGATTCCCATGACGAAGAAAACGGGAACGATGCTGTAGAAAGTATCGGAGAAGCGCCCACGAACGGTGTCAAGCGGAAATTTTCGGACGATGATGATGTGGTACGGCATCTGACGGTTGTAGATTATTTTTTTTAGTTGGTGTTGTCGGATAGTGAGGAAGCCAGCCAGAAGCCGCCTGCAAAGCAGCCGAAAGTGGGCGAAGATGTGAAGTCTCAAGCTAGCCCGGTGCCCGATGATCCAACAACCGCCGAGGCTGCTTCAGTGAGTGTTTTTCTTTGCATCTATAGACCTTGCAAGCTGGCAAGCGAATGGATAAGTCGTCGCCACATTTAAAGTGTTGTTTTGCAGAAAGACGGTAGCCCAGCGCCCAAGCTCGAAAGTGCCGCCGACGAAAAACCGAAAACGGAGCCGCAATTGACGAGCAGCGAGGCATTATTAAATCGTATCGTCGAATATGTTGATGAGGTATGGATCTTTTGGTTTTCAGTAATCCTTTTTAGGCTCTTGACAAGAACGTCAATACGTCTCGTAAAGTACTCGACGCCCTGCTCGGTGCTATCAACGTGCAAGTACAGCGCGAGCCGCTAAGTGTTCGCAAGCTGATTCTTGACAAGCAGCTGGTGCTACCGAATACTATTTCCGAGCCGCCGAGTCAGGTAGTTCGCGGGTAAATATTTCTATAGAAGTTTTTAGGTGGTCGACTTGGTCATTGAGCATGATCCAGACAACCCGCTCTCCAAGGTGGTGACCAAGATGTTTGGTGAGGAGCGACCCAAGTACAATGACACGGAGAAGAAAGAACGGGCTTTGCTCAAGGTCAGCTCTTGCTCCGGGCCATCAGATGATTCTTTTTTTTTGTTTCTTATACATGGCTTCATTTTCAGCAAAATTTCGCCGCCCCGCACATGACGCGCTTACTCGTCGACATCGGCCACGATTTGATTCAAGAATCTACTTACTTCGACATTGTTCATGCAAGAAATCTGCCCGAGGCGCCCAAAAATATGGAAACTTACAAGCAGGTATGGCTTCTCTCGAGGTACCCTTATTTTCGCAGGTTGCCGCCCAGCTCAAGCCCGTCTGGGAGACATTGAAGAAGAGGAACGAGCCCTACAAGTTGAAGCAGATGACCTGTCAGGTAATAAAAATAAAAATTCTTAGGAATTTTCTTTAGGTTTGCCAGTTCAAGTCGGAGTCGCGGCTGGTGATGCTCAAGCACCGTTCTCAGCTCCACCACGACGGCCGAAAGTTCCAATGCGCGTTTTGCACGGAGGTTGACACCAATGAGAACCGGATGATGAAGCATTATTTGTGAGTTTTCTAGCTGCTTTTTAAAATTTGTATTTTTAGGGAAGCTCACGAAATCGTGGCCGCCAAGCAGGAGCAGCCACTGCGCAATCCGTGCTTCATCTGCGATGAGGACTTCCAGTACAAGGGCCAGCGAGACCAGCACATGCGATCGGTCACTTTTTTAAAGTTTTTAGTCGAATCTTATTTTTGGTTATGTTTTTGGGTAAATTTGTGTATTTTTAGGTGTGCAAGCGTGACTTTGCCAAGGTGCGTTACGTAATGGCCCCGAAGAACAAGGAAGATGTGTCTGCCGTCAGCACTTGGATGTGGGAGAAGCCCCCGGTTGATCCGACCATCCTGGCCCAACAGCAGCAGAATCAACGGGAGCATGTAACCTTTTTTCTCTCAGCTCTCAACGATTAGCTATTAATCACAAGCGAATTTTTATAAAACTTATCTTTTAGCAAGCCAAGCAACGAGCCCAAGCCCAAGCACAGCTGCTTGCCCAACAACAGGCGCAGGCCGCCGCCAGGAAGGCGATGATGGCCCAGCAACAACGCGAGCAATTGGCCGCCGCCCAGCAGCGCCTCCGCATCCAACAGCAGCAACAGCAAAATGCCGCCGCCGCTTCGTCGTTGCGTACTCCGCAGAACGCAAATCTTTTGCAAGGTATACTGATCTACTCGGAATTAATTTTAACTTTTAACTTTTAGCCATGCAACGCCATCTCAGCCAGATGGCCAATCAAGGCTCGAAGGGCCGCGGTTCGATGTCAGCCCACGCTTTCGCCACCCAGCAACAGCAGCTCGCGCAGGCCAAGCTGAATAGCCTCAAAAGCCAAATGCAGTCAACCCAGAAGAAAGATGTGAGTTCTTATGGATTTTTGCGTACCACCGTTGTGACGGAATTTCGGAGAGGGTTGTTTACGATCAGCTTTAGATTGCGGCTGTGTTGAATGCAGCGCTGCGCCAGAATACGCTTGGAACGGGTTCTCCTGCGGCCGGTACATCGGCGGCATCGTCAAGCAGTCAATTCATCTGCGAGATCTGCGATTCGCCGATCCCGGTATGTGCAAATTTCCTTGAATTTTACGATTTCCTAGGATCGTGAGCGCTACCTGACCCATCTCCAAGTATTCCACAAGCAGATGAAGGGCAAGGCTGTCGCTGATATGCAACAGGGTGCCCCGTTGGCTTGCAGTCGTTGTCGGGATCGGTAAGCTAATTTTCTCCTTTTCCTGACCTCCGCCGATTTAGTTTCTGGACCTACGAGGGTCTCGAACGGCATCTCGTCATGGCTCACGGCTTGGTCACGGCCGACCTGTTGCACAAGGCGCAGAATCGTGAGGATGGCGGTCGATGCAAGCTGTGCAGCAAGGTATACAAAGTTTCTTACTTCGCACTAAAGACCTTCTTTCAGCAATACGCCTTCAACATGCTGCAACATCTCGTCACTGACCATCACGTGAAACTGTGCTCGGCCGAGATTATGTACTCGTGCGACGTGTGCTCCTTCAAATGCACCTCCTACAACAAGTTGGAAGAGCATCTCACCAAGATGCACCCAAAGACTGCCGAAAATGGTAAGCGAACGTTTTCAAGGACGCTTCCTCCGGTGTTTGTTCTTTCTTGATATTTTTGAAGAAAAAAACAAATTATTTTCTCGATTCAGATGCCTCCAAACAAACCAACGGTGCTGCTGCTCCGGCTGCCGGTGATGCCGATGTTGTCACGTTGGACTAGAACCCATTTATACTCTAGTCCCAAATCTTCACCTTTACTGGCATCTCATTTCCTCGCCCAAACATGGTCTCTTATGTCTGAATCTTTGTTAGCATTTTGTCCTCAATTCTCCCGGCCAATTATAGATATCCCAGTCACAGACCCACTTCCGGCGCTCGGTTTGTTCACATTGAATGAAGGGGACAGTGACTTCAAATTTGACCAAAGGCTAAAATGATGTCTCAATTCCTTCAATCAGCTGTCCATTCGAGCGTCCCCTCCCCTCGCCTTCTCATCACATAACCGCAATCGATTGTGTCCCCTCCCTGTCGCAACAAAAATTGTTCTTTCGTTTGTTACAATTAAATGTTAAGCAGCAAATTGAACAAGCAGGCAATGGTACGGTGTCTCGTGATTCCATTTAATTTATTAATTCGCAAATAAATTGAGACGTTTTCGCGGAAATGCAATGCATGATGGGGATGGTGGGTCGGTTATTGGGCATCGAGCTCCTTCCGCAACACATCAAAGTCATTCACGAACCAATCAGCTTGGGAACGAACACTTTCGCGGACCTGCGATTTGGTTTATTAGCTGATTCGGAGTGAAATACCTGATTCCCGCCGAACCCGATAAAAGCATTGGCTGGTGGGGCGGCTTCCAAATCCGTCGCACCATCGCCGATCATCACAAGATTGCGGTAGCCATGTTGGCTTTTCAAAAGACCGCAGACACCGGGCTTCCCAACCTGGAATTGCAGGAATAAGTGACAGCGGTTTTCAAACAGCTACCTCTTTACTTCCCGAATCGGAAGTCAGCTCGTTCTCATCAAACCCGGCATAACTGCCGTCAGCGTTGTATAATAGTTGATTGGCGTAAATGTTTATCCTAAACGGTTCATCTCGCCAATCACTCATAGGCTTACTTTGGAATGCCGAGAATAGCTGCAACCGGCTCGATCAGGCTTCGAAAGCCACCCGAAACAAGATACACGCTGACTGAGCGCGCGTGAAGCGCCTTGACTAGTTCGACGATACCCGGTGTCATCTGCATTTTCAGTTGCAAAAAACTTTCAAGCCTTACTTTTGGTGGGTTCTCCTTCTTGAATCCCTCAACCTGATCTCTGGACGGCCGCATCACATCCAGTCGCGCACTCAACGCATCCCTATATTGGATTCTGTCAAAGATATCCGCTGTTTAGAAAATTCTGATCATATTTTACCCACCTAAATCGGGCATTCCCGTTCATTGCTTGCCGGGTAACTTGTGCGACGGCGTCGCCGACTCCAAGGTACCGGGCCAGCTCGTCGATAGCTTCATCCTGAAAAAAATCGGCGTTATGTTTCCGATGGTTGTCTCTTGGCATCTACAAATCTAAAATTAAAGACTCACCCGGCAAACCGTCGAGTCAACGTCAAAACAGACGCAATCGGCCTGCTTCCAGATCTGCTTCACCCGCTGCGCGCACCTCTCGGTGGAGTTGGCGGCGATCGTGGGCCTAAAGGTGATCAGAAATATGCCGAGAAAGCTGAGCGAATACATTGTTGTGTCGGCTGGTCTGGTCACAATCCTCATCATTGCGCGGCTGCCGGGCGATCTGGAACTGTGTCAATAGAAGCGAATTTCTAAAGGTTCTGCCGGGTTGTTCAACAGACAAGTTGATTGAAAGGTCGAAAATCAGGCATCAAAAAGCGCAGGATTCCAAATGGTCAAGAAATCGGCGTTTGCTGTTCAAGCCGTCATATTTCTCCGCTTTTTAGGAAGAGGTTCGCGCGCAGTCGCGCAGAAGGCAGAAAGAATACTGGAAAACTCGAAGGTATACGAAATTCGTAGTATTTCTAGCATTCGGTCTAGCACTTTCTGCCCGGCACAAAAGCACAATCAGCCGGTCGCTGATACGGACCAGGAAGAAGAAACAAAACAAGAGAGAAGCAGTTTCCGGTGCAAAGAGGAGACTGCCGGTTTCGATCTTCAAAGGCGTGCAGCCACGTGAAAAGCGTATGAGCTGCCCGCGGGCGGTGATATTTGCGGAAATGCAGTCAGAGTGGTTGGTATTGGGCGCGCGCCTAGACTAATCAATGTGATTGTGGTGTGAGGGTTATCGCGGGGTGGTGAACATTGCCTCAGGCGGCTGGTGGAACTGATGGCCGGGCGGGGAAGGGGCAAATGAATGGGGTGAGGAACAACTTGTCGCCGAAATCAGGGGGGCGGCCCGGGAATTGAGCGCGTCGGACTGATGCAAATATGGATTCTGCACTTTTGGCACAATGAACCGGCCGACTGCAGTGATCTCTGGAGGAATGTGTCGCCCCGGGGGTGCCCCCAAATTATGCACAGAGGCCGCGCACTTCAAAGATCAAATACGTCAGCTGACCACACGGAGACTAGCGCCAATCATTTGCTGACCCTCCCATCCGTTTGGCCAAAATTTATTCAAACATCAACAAATTTCCAACGACAACAAGAAACATCATCAACAAAAAGCAATAACAAAAGTATGATTGAGCTGTTAGACCTTAAACGATTTCAGCGGGTCCTTCTTGTTGCGCATCGCATGCTTTTTGCCCTGAGAAAATCAACGAATATATCGCGCAGTAGCAAGACGATACCTGGCTAACACGATGCCGGTGACGCTTCTTTTGGTCCGACGTATAATCATTGCCACGCAGCGCTTTCGGGACTGTAAAGAGGGTATAATTCTATGTGCAATCGTTTACCAATGTAATCCGGCACGTCACCCATCGCCGGGCAGGTCAGCTTCAGTGTGTGCAATTTCTTGTCCGATGCCAGCACATCGCGCTCGCGGGGATTCGCAGCAAAGTAGGACTAAAATTAAAGACAGTTATAGGTGCACAATAAAGAAACCATCCCTTTTAAAAGTAGAAGCCTCGAAAAAAATACCTTCAACTTCGCTGATCGCAACGCCTCCTCACGAATCTCGGCCAGTCGTGCTTCTCGAATAACGCCCTTCGTGCACGAGGCTAGCGCTTCCTAAAATTAGAAAATCACGCACAAATTGGGCCACAAACCCTGGCTCTCAATTGAAACGATTCGATTTCGGTGAGGCGGATGTCGTACTGATGCATCACTGGCTTTCCCACTGAAAAACGTATTAAGGCACTAAAGAAACGACTTACTCATTTCGGTCACCTGATCCTTGATCGTGTCCAAATAAGCTCGCTCTCTGGGCGTACAAAATGACAAAGCTGTCCCCTTATTCCATCCGCGGGCCGTTCTAAATTCCAATAAACGAACAGAGCCGATGGCCTACCTTCCGACACGGTGGATGTACCCCTCCAGCGTCTTCGGAAAGTCGAAATTGATCACGTTCGAAACGTGGTGGAAGTCGATACCACGTGCCACACCCGCCTCCTTGTCCAACTTCCGCTTTGGACGCTGAAAACCACGTAAAATAATAAGGAAAAGAAGGTTACCTTGCCCGTCGCCGGCGCCTCATCGGTCTTCTCCTCATCTCCGATCAAATGCGCCGCATCCGATGCCACAATCACCGGAAATAGTCCCTGGTTGAATTGCTGGATGACGAGACATCTCGAATTTGCCGGCATCGCCGAATTCAGAATCCCAGAGTTCAGCTTGAACGCGTTTAGGAAGAGGTTCATCCTGAAAATAAGAAAGATATAGTAAACAAGTAGGAGCGCACTGGTAGCAACGATCCGGGTTCGCGACAAAGATGATCGTCTTGCCGACAATGAGCTTCAGCTTGAACATGGAGAGGAGGATTGCAAAGCGTTCTTCATCATTTTCAACGAATAAATGATATTGGGTGAGCTGGTTTGCATCTGGCAGATCACCTTCCTGTAAAAATAGATTTTGGACTACGCATCTGGACCATTACCCAAAAACAACTAAAAACACACCTTCAATTTAATCGTCAGGACTGGGCCAGTGATGAAAATGGTCTTCAAGCTCGTCATGTCATCGGATAGCGTGGCGGAAGTCATAATTGTCTGATATTTCGATGCGAGGCAAGAGCGGATGAATCTAAACAAAATTAAATAAAAAATGATGATACTTACTTCATCTCCGCCTCATATCCGTACGACAGGAGTAGATCCGCCTCGTCGAGCACCAAGTGACGAACGTTGAGGCAGTAGTCCTTGCGGATGTCAAGCATTGTCTTCAGCTTTCCGGGTGTTGTGACTACCTAAAACACAGTATAAACTTATCATCTCCCCCCCATCACAAACCAATTCAGGCTGGTCATTCTCCCAGACGCCTTTCTCGGTCTCGCTAATCTCGGTCAGATGAATGCATCGCAGATACGGATACGCGCGGATAAACGTCGTCAACAATGTGTAGATTTGAGAGCTTAACTCCTTTGTTGGCGCAATGAAGAGCGCGTATGGGCCTGGTTGCAAGTCGGTGGATCCCTAAATTATTTATCTTTTTATAAACCAATCCTTACTGAGGTGTACGTGATCAATTGCTGGAGGATAGGCAATACAAACGCAGCCGTTTTTCCACTTCCCGTTCGCGCACGTACCATCAAGTTTTTATGCTAGAAAATGAATTTGTACAACCTTTGTCAGCCAATACCTCTAATGCCAGCGGGATGACCGATTCTTGAACTTGCGTAGGCTTCTCCCAACCGAGATCACAAACTATCTAAAGAACTATTAGGGTGTAAATAAAAACTATCTCACCTTGAGCAACAATTCGGATAATTCGAAATCTTCGAAGGACGCCTCGTCATTTGCATCGAACTCGACCTTCTCTGCAATCGGTGCCAAAATCTCCCCTTCTGCGACAGCCGCCTGATTCTTTTTCCTAAAGAACGACTTCCTAAAAATTCCGAAAAATGGTGAACCTCAGCTTTCTCCTCTGTTTCTTCTCTTTCTTCAGTTTCTTGGCAAGCGCTTTCTCTTCGGAGACCGTTTCACCATCGGGCTTTGCTTTTGGCTTCTCCTCATCGCCCTTTTTCTTTTTGTCCACCTTGTCCTTCAGTTTTGCTGTTTTCCTCTCCTTCTTTTCTTTCGGCACGGTCTTCATTTCCTGAAAAAGAATTCTTATTACGTCGTATTTCGTTTCAAAAAATAAAAATATCTGCGAGCAGGGGAAATACGCGAGGGAAAGGCGACTTTGTAGTTTGGATGGGAGGGCGGGGATCCAAATAGTGGGACTCGAGCGAGGGTGCTACGAAAACAAGGGGCACGCGCAGCAAAAGCTCACCAGGAGCCCGCGAGTTTTGCGAAATGTTTCGTTGGGAAGGGGCGCGCGAGATTGATACACATTATACGTTGAAAAAAATTTTCCGGAAACGTTTGCCAAAATCCACTAAAATACTATTGACGAACAAGCAGATCGTCCTGTACAAATCTCTCTCTTGAAAAGGGGTTTTTCGAAGTTTGGGTTTTCTAGGCTTTTGGTTACCATTAGTGCGCATAACACCTTCCCCTTTTCATCCTACTATATATAAAAAAATAGTGTCTGTGTGTGTGTGTGTGTGCCACTTTGCATGCAACTTCCGTCAGCGTGTCCGGAGGATATCTCAAGAGGGGAAGGGATGAAGGGGGCGTATGATACGTCATTAGATGCGTAATGGACTGGAGATGACTGCACACATATCGGATTTTGTAAAATATGTTGTTTTCGACATTAAAATTAAGTTTTTCTTAAAAATTCCGGCACTCACTTTGTTAGGATAAAATTAGCTTACGCCGGAAGTTGCAGTAGCCTATATAAAGGCCCAAAGGGAGGGATTTTCATTTTTTGTCATCAGAATTGGGTACAATTATGCAAAACGAAGAACATCATAAGGTTAGACAGTGACAGGGTTGAAAAGTCGCGAAGCGGCTTTTCAACCCTGGTTTCCGGTTAATTTTGAAAGCAAGCTAGACAGTTGATGTACCCCCCAACCAGCGGGTTTTTCTTTTGCATGTACCCGGCCCCAGACATGTTTCTCGTGCTCCACCTCGTCTAGACGTCTAGACGCCCAGCTGCAGCCTTTTTTTTGCGGCAAGCCGACAGTGCGCGCATCGAAAAGAAATCACATCAAAAGCGGCGGCCGGGGTTTTGTTAGGGTCCTTCTAAATCCCGATGCCTAGCGCTCAGCTTCCTCGTTTCTCCGACCTAGCACTCGGCAATTATTTCAGCGGATTTCGGTTCTTTTGAACCTACAAGTGCAACATGAATTGTATTTATGGCTCTGGGGGCCGGGTGGTGGAATGGGAAATTACACACAAGGGCACACGATAACCCCGCCAGTCGCCAGTTCCAATGGTTCCAACAGCCTACTATCGCGTAGACTTCAGCTTCCACGGCTCGCACGCGTGCCTTCATATTCCCTTTAATCTTCAATTTCGTTCGTTATGCGACCGTTTTTTTTTTGCGAAGCCCCCGCAGCACACACAGCTGCAGCCTTCCATTAGCGCTCGGGGGGAGTTGAGGGGGAAAATGTTGTTGAGATGCAATCTCCGCCCCCGTCTGACCACTTTCAATAGGGACTTTTGGTCCAGAGAAGCCCACATCTTTCATTCCCCTTCGACCCCTAATCCTGGCAGACGAGGGAGGATCTTGAGATCACTGCCATTCTGGAAGCGTTCCCGTAGCAACAGCATTGCGGATTCTGGGCTTATTTCCTGGTCTCGTCTCTTCCATTGACTCGTGGAAATTTTTTATACGACTTCCCTACTTTATAGCTTTTTCCAGATGTCGGCCGAATCTCCCGAACTCGAAGTGGACGGCGAGTCGATCCACGAGCTCTTCAGCGCCCGTCAGGGCATAACCTACAAGTAAAATTTTCGCGAAAATTTCCATGTTTTTAGTGATTTTAATATCCTTCCGGGATACATTGATTTCCAAGTCGGCCAGGTGGAGCTGGAGACGAAACTTACAAAGGGTATAACCCTCAAGGTATATTACTGTTTTGTTTTTAATAAATGCTGTTAGGCACCACTCGTCTCCTCGCCGATGGACACCGTCACCGAAGCCGAAATGGCCATCGCGATGGCGGTAAACTTATTGTTTTACGGCCTATTTTCTAGCTTATTGTTTAGCTTCACGGCGGCATCGGGATAATCCACGGCAATTTCCCGAACCACGAAGCTCAGGCCGCCGAGGTGCTGAAGGTCAAGGTATGACTTCGTCTAATCTTTTTGGAAATTAGAAATTTCCAGCGCTACAAGCAAGGCTTCATTTCCAACCCGAAATGCATCAAGCCCACCGACACTGTCAAGGATTTGATGATCATCAAGGCGAAGCATGGTTTCACCGGAACCCCCGTCACCGACACTGGAAGCCCCGGCGGAAAACTGATCGGTACATTTTTAATTTTCAAAAATTATCGTAAAGAATTGGGAATGCATGAGCCGTTGCTCTTTCCTTTAGCGAATAGTGTCGTTTAGGGAATGAAACAAACCAATATAAATGCTGGGGCACTCCGGTGACAGACACCGGATTCTGTGGGGGCCGTTTGTTGGGTGAGAGGCTGTGGCTTGAGGCTCCCGAATTTGCACTATAACAACAAGATAGCGTCACCAGACGCCTAATGTTTGCCTAATGCCTAATGTGAATTTGCCCCATAATCCCACAGTGCCCGAATCTTTATTTTTAACCTTGTTTGCCAAATACCAATTCACATCAAAGCAACCACTGCTGTTTCGCATGCGTCTTATAGCCTTCGGATTGTAGGTCTCGTCACCTCCCGCGATGTTGATTTCATCCCGGAAAGCCGCTACACCACCACCCTCATTCAAGATGTTAGAAATTTGGTTGTGTATCAAAATCGACATTTTAGGTAATGGTACCCCGCGATCGGCTGATGACTGGCAAAGAGGAAATAGCCTTGAAAGAGGCCTATGAGATCCTGGAAAATGAGAAGAAAGGTTGTTTAGCTTCGTCGCCTTTCAAAGAACCTTTTAGGAAAGTTGCCGATCGTTGACAGCGAGGATCATCTTGTTTCACTGATCGCACGCACGGATTTGAAGAAGGTATTTTCATCGCCTCAGGCTTGAGACTCTCCGATTTTAGGCCCGTGAGTTCCCGCTCTCCACCTACGACGAAAAGCGCCAACTCCGTGTCGGTGCCGCGATCAACACGCGAGAAGCCACCCGTGCGGCTATTCCCATGCTCGCCAAGGCTGGAGTTGATCTACTTGTCATTGTGAGCTTATTTTGCCGTTCAGCACTGTTCTCTAGGACTCTTCCAATGGCTCTTCAATGTGGCAAGTCGACCTGATCAAGCACATCAAGTCCGAATATCCCAACCTGCAAGTCATTGCTGGAAACGGTATTTTTTTTACTAAAAATTTCTTATTTATCTGTTTAGTTGTGACACAAGCCCAGGCAAAGATGCTGATCGATGCCGGGGCTGATGGTCTGCGCATTGGAATGGGATCTGGCTCGATTTGTATCACTCAAGAAATCATGGCCGTTGGAAGGGCCCAAGCTACGGCTGTCTATCAGGTAATTTATGCAAATTTAATGGTTTATTTCCGGTAGGTATAATTTCTTGAGACCATCATTTAAACAGAAAAAGTGACAAATTAAAAACTGGGCTGAAAATTACAAATTACAAATTTCACTGTGGAACCGAAATTTGGCTTTATTGGCCTGTGTAACTTATTTTTCCAGGTCGCCAAATATGCTCGGCAATGCGGAGTGCCGATTATCGCCGATGGTGGCATCCGCGACGTCGGCTACATCACCAAAGCGCTCGCACTTGGTGAGTCGCTACTTGTATGGTAAATGACGTTCTTTTAGGAGCTTCCGCCGTCATGATGGGCGGCCTCCTCGCCGGCACCACTGAAGCCCCCGGTGAGTACTTCTGGGGAGCACAAGGTGTTCGTCTGAAGAAATACCGCGGCATGGGCTCAATCGATGCAATGGAAGCCCACGCCAGCAGCCAGGACCGCTATTTCACCAGGTTAGCCGTTTTCAAAAACACTAAAGCTTTGTCATTTTAGTGAAGCCGATCAAGTCAAGGTGGCGCAGGGAGTCTCTGCTACGATGCGCGATCGTGGGAGCATTCACAAGTGAGAAAATCTTATTTTATTAGAGCACCGTTTAGGTTTGTGCCTTACCTTATCCGCGGCGTGCAGCACGGCTTCCAGGATATCGGAATCCAATCGTTGTCAGAGATGCAGTAAGTTTTTTGTAATCGCTCTACATGCCATTTTAGCGAAAAAGTGTCGGCTGGCCTCATCCGCTTCGAAAGACGCTCCCCGAATGCTCAACTCGAGGGCGGTGTCCACTCCCTGCATTCGTGAGTTTTGCTCCTTTGTAGTTCAAAATTCGCTTGTGCTTTGACATAGCTTGCTAGCCACCAGCTATCGCTCATTTTTCACGCTCAGATATTCTCTTATCGGTACGACGTCTGCGGCGGCCGCCGGTGAGACCGGCTCCGCTTGACCATCCAAGACCTCATTAGGCGCCTAATATGCAAAAAGTAACCGACACACACGACAAGTTCTCTTCTATTCTTCTTATTTCTTTGGTTCTTCTTTGGAAATTTGCAAAGTTTGAGCTAATGATCTATGAATTTCGTTTTTCCTTTTTCGTTATCAGGAAAAGCTCGAGGCCATTCTTTGCAAAAACTCCTTTTTTCTCTATTTTGGCGATGTTGTCTCTTCTATATCGGCGGACCGTAATCACGAACATTTCTTTTTGCAAGATTGTGCAAGCACTTTTTGTAACACCCACCCGACTGCACTTGTAAAAATTCATTTTATACTTCATTTTTCAGGTACGACAAACGTCTCTACTAGCCGGCTAGCGACTACCCTCATTGTTGGAACGACGTCGTCGACCCGTTGTTGAAATCTTCGTGCATATCCGGTCATTATCCTTTCCACAATGTGCATCTCCGTTCGTTAAAATGTGCATCTTCTGTCTCGTGTAATACTTCTGTTTTTAAGCGGGGTCTAATAAATTTTACTTTTGCGGAAAAGCAGAGCACAAAAAGTTCGGGGCCCAAACAGGGAGGCCCTTCGGGTCAGCATCTCCAGACATTTTCAGGTGACGCACGATTGGGCTACCAATCTACGGGGCGTTCAGCGTGGGTATTTGCTCGTTCCGTGGGCGATCGCTACTTTTTTCCGCGTAACTATTTGCACTGCTCTCCGATCTTTCGGGCGGGTAATTCGCGCTTGATCGTCTCATCCGTGATTTTTCGATGGCTTTTGGGTATTTTTTTTGTTGGGTCGTCAAGTGGGTAACCCCGATCCCAGGCCACCCCACAAGGTTCTGGCCGGTTCGACCAGCTTCACTAATCCGCGATTAGCTGCACCAGTCGGTTTTTAAATCGGGTTAACCGGTGCCCCCCACGCCATCTTATCGGCCCTGGAACAATCGGGGTGGCGGCTGATTTTGGCCATTTTCGGCATGTGTCGTCTTTTTGGCGTGCTTCTGACGCGAACTATAGGCTTGGAATTTTCTAGTTGAGTTAGCAGAAAAAACTTTAAATTCGGTAATGATAGAATTTGGCAAAAAAATAGCAATAGATGCTGCGCGGGGTGGTGGTTCACCCGGTTAGCATTGGTCACTGGATAGGTTACATGCCCTCAGATACCCTACTGTAGCCCCTGGCTTTAGCCATTTCAAAAGTGGCTTACTTTTTGTGGTTTTCGAGTTCCTCCACCAAGCTAATTGCCACCGCCAAGTCTAATGGCGAATACACGGTAGGAGCTTTCAACCTTCGAACCACTTCGAACTCGAACTTTCGGAACTACCCGATATTATCGGCGCAAATAACTGATTTTAAGACCTGTTTAACAGCTCAAAATATATTTTTCAAAGTTAGTTATCACTTACTAGAACGCGCATAGCGAGATAATATAGAAAAATTCACTCTGATATTAAAATAGTGGCTGTTTTGTTCAAAAATCTAGATTTCAAGGATCCTGACCCCTTTTTGCTGACGGTCGGCCCATTTCCGGCATTCGATTTCGCTTACCAGCGACCTTTCGACCACCCGCAAGCACCATGACTTTGCTTGGGAACGGGCACAGCTGGCCCCACGTGCCACTTCCATCGGCTTGATCGTCCCCCACCACCAGCTGCCCCCTCTCAATCTGCCCCGCTCCCTAACGGGTCGTCTCCTTGCTGGGAAAGCCGTGTGACCCCTTGTGTGTGTCAGCAGTGGCTGCCCATTGCACCCATCTTTGATAGCAGCCACCCTTGCCTGCCTATTCAACGATAACCCCGATAAGCCGCGCTAGCTGACTGCTCAGGCGACGAACACCTAGCGCACAATGGGTGCCACTGTTTCGAATCTGATTTATGGGTAATATTCTCGAATATTATCTGATTTATGCGTAATTCTGTAACCTTTGGTCCCTGTTTTGAGAAAAGCGGGCGAAAAACGGCCAAAAACGACTGTTTTAATTTTTTCTTCTCACTTTCCGAGGGATTTAGCGCAGCTGAAAGCTTTATCCTCCTCGTTGTGACCTTTGTAAAACGGGAAATCGATTAAATAGCTTTTAGAGGTACATCAGAAACCCAAAAAGCTCTTAAAAACAGCTTTTATCATATTTTTTTTAAAGAACTTTCATTTGAAAGAACATTTTCTTTTTTTTCAGTGAAATGGCACCACCCGAGGGAGCCTCCATCCTCGAAATGAACGATGAGCACACAGAGTAAGCATTTGCATAAATTTTTTTAACACATTTTGAATTCTAAAGCTGTAGATGTCAAAATTCAATTTTGTTTGTATTGTTTTTGATGCGTATCCTGGCGAGCGCCGCCTCCGCAATTTTTCGCCTGCGCTTTGGGTCCTGCGTCGGCAGCCGCGCCGGGTTTTCGAGTTTCGAGGTTATAAACTTTGTTTCTAGCTTGGCCACCGACAAATCGTGCCCCGTCTTCACCGAGGCGATGGCGCGCAAGTTCGACTTCCCGAAGGTGCAGCTGCATTTGCACCTTGATGGCGCCGTGCGGTACACGACACTCTGGGAGATGTGCAGGTTGTCCTTTTCTATAGTTTTAAACGAAGTTTTTTTTTGTTTAGCAAGAAGAACATGCCGGTGGAAGGGTGCACAGATATCGAGTCGTTCAAAAAGGTGATGCGCAAAGAGATTTAGTTATGAAGTTTTAGGCATTAATCTCCACAAAGCCTGGAAACCTGTCCCAAGTGCTTGAAGCCTTCCGAATCATTCTACCGCGCCTGGCGTACGACTTTTCTTAATGGCAAATATTGTGTTTTTAGTGGAGACCTCGAATCGGTGGAGCGACTAGCCTACGAGACTTGCGAGGATCAGCACAACAACGGTGTTATCTATTTCGAGGCTCGGTAAGAATGTTTTTATTACAATACAGTATCCTTTTTAGATATGCCCCACATTTCTTGGCCAACACCGGGCCAGGAATTGACTACGACAAAACGTACCACAAGGATGGGCCGGTTTGTTTGCTTTTTTCGATAGATTAGTACGTATGTTTGAGGTGAAAGCCGACGACGTTATTCGAGCGGTACACCGAGGCTTCGCTCGCGCAAAGGCCGATTTTGGCGTAGAGGCGCGATCGATTCTCTGTTGCATTCGCGCACACGACGAATGGAATCAGGAGATTTTGAAGCTTGGTTAGTACAGTCAGCTTTGTTGATGTTTCAATTTTAGTGGATGAGTTCCGCGATTCGGGTGTCGTCGCCATCGATATTGCTGGCTGCGCTGATGGTGCTGATGAGAAATATGAGCCGTCCGCCATCATGGTCTTCAAGGTATTGTCCTATTTTTTTTTTAAGATTTAAACCCTTTTTATAGAAAGCCTACGAGCTTGGCATCCATCGCACCGTGCACAGCGGTGAGGCCGGGACCGACAAAGAAGTCATAATGGTATGTGTTTCTTGGAGGTTCATAATTTTTCCTGCAGGCAATCGAAGAGATGCACGCCGAACGAATTGGTCACGGCTATCGCATCATGCGCAACCCCGAAGAGTACAAGAAGCGATTTGTTGATGTGAGTTGTTGTTTAGAAATTCGAAGGGCTTATCTTTTTTAGAGTCACGAACACCATCTGGAGGCGTGTCCCTACTCCTCCGTGATGACCGGATCAGTACCGTTGAATTGGCCAGCGCATCCGATCAAAACGTAACACATATTTGACCTCTGTTTAAAATGGGATTTAGTTGGATTGCCGACGGCGTGAACTTTTCATTGTCGTGCGACGACCCCACATGCTTCGACAACACGGTCTGCACCGAGCTCGAACTGGTACACACGCGAATCGGCCTGACGAAGCATCAGCTGTGGCAAACGGTAAAGAGCATGTTATCGCGCTACGAGTGCTCTTGCACTTCCTGGTGTCGGCGGGTTGTTTGTTGATCGGGAAGCGCTAAATTTCTGCGTTGTGCGGGTCCTGATTGGAACTTTACAATTAGTATATATTTATTTTTTGCAGCAACTCAACGGCGCCCGTGCCGCGTTCTGCAACGACGAGCTGAAGCAGCAGATCGTTGACAAGATCCTCAAGGCCGAACCGCCCAAGGAATAATCAGTTGCTCAATGCTGTGTTTTCTAGCTCATTTCCCACGTTTGTTGATCCTTGAATTCAGGTCAATTTCTCACTTACCCAGGATCACTTATATGTCCCGTATAGATGTGAATTAGAGCCGAACGCCATCATTATTATCCCGGATTGGCTGTCCGATGACCGTATTTTCACTTCTAATGCTTGCTCTTACTTGCCGGATGATGATGTGTACTGTTTGACTGTGTGTGAATTTTTGTGTATGTTCTCTATCTGTGCCTCAATAAAGCTTCAGGGTGAATGTGGTTATCAATTTTCCACGAATGAAGTTCTTGACGAGAAAATAGCTTTTACGTATAAAGAGAACCCGTATGTATAGAGAGGAAAGTGATATGAAATTCAATAGCAGAATTGAAGGACAATAGAGCGAAACAGAAAGTTTTAAAACGTAAACTAGCATGCAACCCCTTCGAGTAGATTGAGCACGGTAAAATAGTGCGCCGGATCCTTGGCCTTGCTCATGTGCAAAGCCAATGCCGAATAGGTACCGTTGACGCAAGCGTAGCTCGGCCTCCCGAAGAATGACAGACCCTAGAAAAAGGTACGTATAAACCGTAAGGCTTACCTCAACAGATTTCCGCTTCACGTCGGCGAGCTCGGCGAAGATCCCGCTGAAGAGGACGTCCTGAAATGATATGATACCTCTTTCTTTACGTCAATTTACCTCGGGTAACTTTCTCATATTGGCCGATTGAAAGAAGATACTACTCGCCGCAACCTGAAATCGGCGTACTTACCTCTTTATGAAAATTGAGCACACCTGCGTAATTTTTCGGGCTGTATCACGGCCGGATAGAAAATACGTGCCCGTGGAGCAGTACTGGGGGTACCTAAAATAATTAGAGAGTAAACTTTAGCCTTTCGAAGAGGTTTGAATTTACCTGGGCAGCGGGTAGACGTCAAACGGGACGGCCCACTTGCTTCCGCTCCTGATGACACGCCGCGACACCTCGCATTCCCCAATTATTACCTCGCCGCCTAGAAGGTGTAAGGGTGTATTTACCAGCTTTATTTTCGAAATATGGATTTTAAGGTTATCGACTTTACGCCAACCTGTATCCAAGCAGAGGCGCTCCAAGTTCCGGATGTTCAGCACATTGTCCGAGTCGGCCTTGACCAGACAATCGACGCTCGGACACCTAGAGAAAATAGGTTTTAGTAGTTTTATCAATTTTTTGTTATCTATAGCCAACCCCACCTGAGCTGCTGATACCGCAGAAGGGCAAATGTTTTTATCGACAAGTTGTAGTAGCTCTCGCCGACGTCGCACAACACCATGTCGTTAAAGCGGCGATTTTCCTCGAGGAGCAACGCTTCTGCGGCCGCCGATTCCTAAATCCAAGATTACTCAAAGCGCGAGGAATTGTTCTGGTCTTAGGGAATTAGTTCTCATCAAGTTTAAAACTTCTAGTTTCATCAAATTCATTTGGGTGTTTTGCAGTTAGCGGGGGGGAGGACCAATTTTCCGCAGTAAACCCCGGCCTCATAAACGAAGAATATAGGTTTTTTATATTATAGGTGGCTTTTATTATTTATAAAAGGGAGATTAAAATTACGAAATTTTGAACTCTTGACCAAAATGTATGAAAAATGACGATAAATCGGCATTAAAAATAAAAATGAATTTTCCTCGTTAAAATCCCCCCGTTAACGGTACATTACCTTCATTTTTGTGTTTTCTTTTGATTTAAGCAAAGCTAAAGTTACACCCTACCTCGGTGCCGACCAAAAACAACACCCTCGTCATTTTGGCATCATAATGCCGCGCATCGGCCCAGCTTTCCCGGATTTTGCGGCGTAGCTGAAACCCATTTTCTGAGCACCATAAGCTGCGGATAAACCTGAAATTCGGCGGGTCTGGAGACGACGGTGACGAGCATGCGATGACTCATCTGGCAGACGGCACCCCGCGGTTGCATCGGATAACGAATCTCCGACGAGACGCGACGGCCATCGTCCGCTGAAATGCGTGAGGGTGGGTGCAAAGCATCGCCATGAGATCTTTTCCTGTACTGGATTGTTAGCGGGGGAAGCAAATTTTTTTCAGCCGTTGTTTCTTGCCATTCTCTCCTTTTATCCATCTTTTCTTTCTTTCTCTTGTTTCTTCCATTGGTAAAGATCTTTTCTTTCTTCCTTTTCTTAAATTCCTTCCTCTACGTAATAGAAATTTTCCATTATCAAATTTTACAACGTTTTTGGATATAAAAAGCTGATTCAAAAATTAGACAAATTTCCGAAATTTTACAAGTATTTGGCCAAAAATGCACGCAAATGGCCAAAAAAAAAATCGAAATTTTGAAAATTTTCAAGGTTTTTGAAACAGGATTTACCACTGCCTAGCATTGAAAGTTAACAAAAACGCTGTAAACATAGAATTTATGTTATTAAAAGGAAGGTAAAGTCTAAAAACTGGTACTTAAAACTCACGCTGCGTGAAGGGCAGCTCATAGTTTGCCGTCAGGGATAAGACAAACCGCAGGAGGGGTAGTGATGAGAGGACTCAAATCATAAAATTTTGTATGAATCGATACGGTAGCTTACGAAAGATGAAGATGAACGGCCAGGGGACCACGGGGCGGCAGAAGATGACCTGCGGGCGGCTCGATTGGAAATAGGGACCGCAGGGGGACGGGGACGCTTCTGGAAAGAGTCGTTTCAACCGGAAAAAACGTTCGAAAATCATTCAGTGCAAATCTAACGTTCTAACCAAACGTTTTGCGGTAGGAATAATCAAATAGTTTAGAAAAAGTCTCCTATTTATGTCAGAAAAACTGGATCCTTAGAAAAAGTTGGTCGTCCTCGATCCATAATTCCCCCTCCCCGATAATGCAACAAAACCGGCAATCGGTTACGCTAGGCAAAAACAGGGAGGAGGGTGAGAGAAACCGTCATGAACCCTTAAAAAAATCAACAATTCCGTTGCACACCAGTTTCCGCGACGTGTAAATAGTGGTGGGACGTCGTGTTCAGATCGGAGCTCATCCAGTCATCGCCCCCCTCAGGCAGGTAGGGCGTACGCGTGGCCAGGGATCGACTTCACTGCTCGTGGGTCAAAAATTCGATCGACCGGGGGGTAGAGTCGGAAGGGGCGGATGAGTGCCAGCCTCCACTCTTCGTGCTCCTCCAGATCCAAATCTAGGAAAGGGGGGAGGGATGTCTCCGCTTGCTCATGCTCCTCCTCGCTGTAGCCAGCTAGCCCCGACGCAAAATGGCATCTTATAACGGGCAAAAGGGAAATCAAGCTGGTATGACGAAGGGTGGTCGGGGTACGTGATTTTAAAGGGATAGGAAAGGCGCAAATCTTTCTATTGCTCTCTCTCTCTCTCGCTCCAAATCCCGAAATGCCTAAATCCCGCCACCGAAACTCCCGACAGACATAACCCCGATGCTCCAAAATCCCGACAACCAGACCCCCGAAATCCAGAATCCCGACAATCCGAAATCCCGACAAACAAAATCAAAAACTTTCAGGCTGGCGCTCCTTGAATAGAAGCTGATCCCGTTGTGCAGACCGAAAATTCCCCATAAAATGCCCAAAAAAGGACCGATGAGCAGGTGAATGTCAATATAGGACCATCCTGAAAAGGGTCGCCATTCAAAAAAGGCGATGGCCAACGACGATGCCTTGATAACAGATGATTTTTCCACTCCAGCCAAGTTTACGGCGAACGCTGGAATCTCTGAAATTGTTTGATACCTGGACGCGCTTTCCCCCCCGTTTTTGGGTTCTGTTCTGCTAACGGGGGGGGGGGGGTAGGAGAGGAGAATGCATTTTGCAGGGCCTTGATAGTAGTTTTTCATCTTGCAGAACTTTTAAGCATGCTTACCTTTTGCGGGCATTTTACATACATTTTTGCCCACAAAAATTTTTTAAATTTTAATTATAACATTTTCAGCGCTTTTTCTATTTACAAACGGTACGAATATGGCTTGAATTTAGCTTTAGGTTCGTACGGAACCACGGGAAAACTCTGCCTCTCCGCTATCCCCCCCGCCAACAGTCCAGTTCCGGTTTTTCCATATGGTAACTGGTTGACTTTTTGCCAATTGTAAATCTAGACGGATCGCGCTTATTTCTTCAAAAATAACGTTGCGTTTTCTATCCAGTTTTCGTCGTAAAATATTACGGAACGCAGGGCGATATCGTTGGTCCACGTCGCGTGTCTCGCGGCGCGGAATATGCCTATGGAATCTGCCACGCTGATCCCTTCAAGTTCAGAAATCAACCTCTTTCCCCTGGCTTTTGAACGGCTGAACCTAACGGTTTGCCAAAGTGACCGTTAAGCCGTGGCGGGACCCCGATCGGTCCGAGTGGATTCTTCTTTCCGGAGTTGCTGTGGTGTGTGAGTGGCACTATTTGTCCGGGCACTGAAATGCTCTCTCTCTCTCTCTCTCTCTCTCTCTACCAGGATCTGTTGACCCAATGGCCCCATGTACCTGTGTGTGGCCGGGGAGGAGAGCCGTTGCCCTCGAAAACTGACTGCGCGGCCGAGATGGGCATCATCGATTCTCGACAAGGCGACGACGACGAGCTGCTCCTCGTTACACCCCGGAGCGACGGATACGGTAGCGTCACGAGGAGGCTTCTGACATACTCGTCCTCATTTCGACCTCGTGCCGTCGTCACCACCGATTTTGACCCTTTGGCTTCCGGGGATTACGGTAGGTCATGTGCACTTAGAAGGGGCAAGGACAATCCGTTGAAAAGATAGTCAACTACCATTAGAAAAATGCCAACTGGTTACGCTATGTAAAAGGGGATAGAGAGAGAGAGAGAGAGAGAGAGAGAGAGAGAGAGAGAGAGAGAGCTAGGTAGAGAAAGAGCGAGGGAGAGGGAGAAAGAGAGAGAGAGGGTCACCGGCTGTATGTTAATTGCTACCCGCTGTGCTGATCCCTTCAAAAGTTTGTTGAACCTGGCTGTGTGCCGAATTGTCAGCAGAAATTTACAGGAGCTCTGGGGTTACGGTATTTGATGCCTATTTAAAGGGACGGGTCAGTGCAACCATAGATTTTGCTCGCGTCTTTAAAGGGACCGTACAGGCAGCTAGTCATCTGATTTTCAACAGTTTTCCCTTTTTGGGCTCTGCTGAAAAATTATCTTGATTTTGACCTTCTCGCTAACGCAATCAATTTTAAAGCCAGCCATCAGCAAAATTTCAAAAGGCTGACATTCGACCCCTGACCCTCCGATTAGGAGACTCGATTTATTTTTTCTTTTTTTTTATTTGGATATTTTTCAATCGTAAGTCAGCACTAAAACCGTAGATCAGCCCATAATCGCTAGCCACAAAAATATTTGATCTCTCGCCGGGTCCCACGCGGCTTTTCCCAGCCCCCTACCAACCCACCAACCCGTCTATTCTCGGCTTCTCTATTTTCTTCCCGTCGGCAGCTGCAGACCAAAATATGGTGGGCAGCGCGGCAAGCATTTCTCTCTCTCTCTCTCTCTCTCTCTCTCTCTCTCTCTCCCTCTCTCTCTCTCTCTCTCCGACATTCTGTTCTGCAGCCATTTTATTCTATTTATCGCGCAAACAATGCACCCATACCCCGGGCATCCGTGCGGCCCCGGGTCCAAGAGGCCACTTTTGCACTAAAGGGTGCCCCGGCTACCGTAATCCTCCACAGCGGGCACCGGGTTTTTAGACGCAATGGCCTGGAGTTGGCATCAGAATTGGAGTCATGGTGGGTCGAGCGGTTTTTTGTGGAAATTTATGAATTATTGTGGCTTGAAAATGACCAAAATGTCTTTTTTTTGCAAAAACCTAACTTTTAAATTTTGACGTTTTTCCCCGCTTTAGTCGATGCTCCTCGAGGTAAAGTATGTCAAAAATCATCGCAATATTTGATTTTCGAAAAATGGCTTTTCCTCTAGTCGTTGGTATCAGGAATCGGGATGCTTTTCTTTGTCGAAAACGAAGTGGTCAAAATTTGACTTTACGTCACGTTCTTTAAATTCTCTGATTCTCGAATGTCATCACTTTTCTAGCGCCAGCAGACATTTCCCATTTTTTTGTTCTTCTGCTTTTTCTGCGGACATCTATACCCGGTCTCTGCGTTGTATGCCACTTCCCGTAGGTCAAACGGATCCCCTTTCGCATTTATTATTATTTCATGGTTTGGAGTCGGCGGTAGAGGGGTGAGAAGGCCAGGAAACGCGCAAAAAACTCGACTTTGGCTTCTTTTCTAGGTTTTTCGAAAATTTAGAATCTAACGTAGAAGGACATTGTCCAGCGAGACATCCCTCTCTCTATTTCTTTTCTCTTTCTCTCTCAAACTAGCTCTCTCTTTTTATCTGTCTCTCTCGCTCGCTCACTTTCTCTCTCTATCTGTTCCCGGTCTCTCGCGCACTTTCTCTCATCTGAATTGGTCGCCTTTCCTGAAGGACCACCGCTAGCTTCCCTCTTCTCTATCGTATCGCTAGTTGATGCCGCTGAGGATCCAAGGGCTCCTGATTCCTCAAGGATCTCTGCTAGCTAGCCCACTCTAGTATCCCTCCCAATGTTCTGTAGGTTTGCTCGCCGTTCCTAAAAGCCTCTGTTGGCTTACGACACTACGCGACGCCACGATACGGCCATACCTAAAAGCCGACTGCTCGTGTCATCCATTTCCTGGTTTGTTAAAAGAATCTCGGCTAGCTTCCTTGCTAGCTGCCGTTAACACGTTGCCAAGATGTCACAGCTTGCAAAATCCCCGCGTAAAGTCACGTAGCCCTCCGATTCTCACCTATGGCCAAACATCCAACTTCGCGCATCCATTGGCCGGCGATTTCGGGGGACCCCCGAGGCAGCTCCAAAAAACCCACGGGAGAGCCAGGGCTAAAATTTCGTTGCCGACCACGGCCGACGAATATTCTAACCTGGCCATGTAACCTGAGATGTTGTGCGCACACACAGGTAAACAGATCGGCGAGAGAGACGGAGCGAGAGAGAGAAAGAGAGAGAGAGAGACCTACAGACAGACAGACAGAGAAACAGAATTGATTATGACGGGTGGTGGCAAGGCTCGGGGCCTCAGTTTTCCTGGGGTTCTTTCTAATCAGGCTGCATATTCTATTCCGGTGTTGGTTGCTTCGATGGCTGCTGCGATTATCATAGACGACACCGGATCCGCCGAGATTTGGCAGAAGACAGGTGGGAGAGAGAGAGAGGGACAGAGACAGGGAGAGAGAGACGCGCAGAGATACCAAGACAACCCCGGATTTTCGCCATAACCTCCCATGGCCGCTCGGGTTACCGACCCCGAATCACAGCTACCTGATCTGATGTCTTTTTGGGGGTGTTTTCTATAGCGCGCTCGCCCCCTGGGATTTTCGTATCTTTTACTTGTTCTTTTTTAGAAAATTTTAGCCGCAGTTAGCCAAGTTCTGGATCTCCTCCCCCTTCCCCCTCTCTCTCTATCTCTCTCGCTCTCTCGCTCTCTCTCTATCTCTCTCTCTCTCTCTCTCTCTCTCTCTCGTTATCTGACGCTATATCCTTAAAACATCTACGCTCACTATGCTACGACGCGCTGCTACGCGCGAAGCTACGCGATGTTGCTCAAACTACCGGATGCTACACGAGCAACGCAAGCTACGTGATGCTACGCTTTGCCACGCCATGCTACGTTATTCCACGCGATGCTACCCGACGCTACGTTATCTCGATACTACGCTACGTTACGCTACTAACACTACTCGGCGCTACACCGATACGCCATTACGAGTTAAAATCGCATGCCATTTTATTTGCCAATTAAACTACAAAACCTAGGCGTTTTAAGCTAGTTGATTCTAGTACTTCCAAATACCCTCAAAGGCCTTAATAGAGAGCCCGATTCGAGTAGTTTCTTGAGATACTACTTCAACATTTAAACCAAATTGGGTGACGTAATTCATCCAGGTCGAAGTTTTACGAAATTCCATCCCTCAATTGTTTTCAAATTTTTTTTTCTGATGGGTTCACTCGGGTTTTATCCGTCTAAAACGTCCTGTTGCATCAAACTTGACCCATCCTGTCAGATTCCTTCACTCATTTCGTCACCCCTCGGGCCCCAACGGGGCCCCAAGTTTGGCCCGAGTTGCGTGGCACTTTCGAGCAGCGGCTGACTCCTTCGGGTAGACAAACATTGCTCTCTCTCTCGCTCTCTCTCTCTCTCTCTCTCTCTCTCTCTCTAGCTCTCTCTTTCTCACCCCGACTTTTGAATGCCCTTCATGGAGTCTGTGCTTTTCGTGGATTTGTGTCGGGTGGTTGGGCGACGAACTTTGAAGCCGATTGCCCTAGGTGGCGCAAAAGTCGGGAAGGGCTTTTAGCTCGTGTTTAAAAAGGTCCAAGCAGTCATTCGAGAGCTTCATACGCTTGACTATTTCGTCATCTTAACTAGTTTAAGTATAATTTGATCGTATTTAATTCTGAGGGTCAAAATCCGGTTCCAGAAATGCTTGACGACACGACCGACGGCTGGAACGACGCCTCCTCCAACAACACGCACAAGATGCCCGCCGGCGCGCTCACTGGTGCGTTTTTAAATGGATTTTTTCGGGTTCAGACTACAAATTTTATTCCTTTGCAAAATCCCCGAAACTCCTACATGATTTTCCAAAATCTGCCCTCTTTAGAGAATTTTACAACCGTTCTTACAACAACGAAAACGCGAAAGTGAAACGCGAAAATTTTTTGCAATGCATAACGATTAATTTCATGATTTTGGTATTAATTTTAATATCTTACTATTGCTATGTAATGTGGTTAAGCTGAAGGTTCACATTACGACATTTAAACAAGCATTTTTCAACGCAAAATTAGTTTTTGAGCCCGTGAGTAATTTTTGTCTCTAATCAGCCGTTCAAAATTCATATTTTAAAAAAGCTAATTTTTTTATTTGCTGTTAAAGTCACCTTGATTTTTTAATATAGCTATCTTTTGGTAGATTCATCGAACCTTAGAAAGGCAGGCTTTTGCTAAAAAACCTATTTTTAGTGCTTGTGATCGCGGCGGTGGCCATCACCTCCGTAATCGTCACCCTCGTTTGTATGCTGGCGAACAGTCGACGGACGCGACGCTCCCAAACACGGTTACAGGTAGGAATGACATTTATTGATTGTTTAGCGGTGCTTTCACGTTTTAAGATTTGTTAAATTTAAGCCATTTTAAGATCAGCCCCGCTTAAACTCAAGTTATTTTAAAATTTGGCCGAAAAATAGATATTTTTGCATTTTGTAATAAAAATTTGAATATTTTTCAAGATTAGGAGTAGTAAACGGAGCCTAAAAAGTGACACCGTTTTGATTAGGAAAACAAAAACAGGAATTCGATGAAAATTTCAGGCCTCCTCCGCAAGCCGTACGGGCCCAACGATGGTGGTCGTCGATCGAGCTCCCTCCACATTGCCAAACTTGCCGCCAACCTTGCCGCCAATCTACACAACCGATGTGGGTTTGGTTCCCCCCCGCTAATGACACAGAACCCAGAACCTAACGTTACGGTTTAAAAAATTAGCGTTATTTTCAGACGCAAGGCCCCAAGTACTTTGACGCGCCGCCGTCGTACGACGAGGCCGTCAACACGCCCGTACATTCGCCCGTCAGCCCGATACCACCTGCCGCACTGGTGGTAAGTCCCCAAAAACATGCCCCACGTCATACTCCTATTTACGGAAAGGCTTTCATGGTCCCGTTCACGCCCAGGTCAAAAATATCTGCTTTGTGCGCTGCTGGGGGACCAAGGGGATGATGATTTCCTATTTGTTGGTCACAAGAACCACCGGGAGCACCGCCGCGCCCCGGTCCGTTGGCAAACAGAAAAACCTACAAATTTTGGCGCGGCGCACCGCTATCGAGCGCAGCGGCACCACCTGTAAGCGGCCGGTAAACAATGGGTTTGATGATCGGGGGGAGAGAGAGAGAGGGCGAGAGAGAGAGAGAGCAAGTTAATTCAGAGGCTAATCCCCCTTCCGATAGGTCGGTTGGCAGAACAGATTCTAGTAGTGTCTCGTAAAAGCAGAATTTTTGACTGGAAAAAGGTATGGGGTTTTTATGGGGGAGACAATGCGGCGTTCTATTACCGACTCTCTCTCTCGCTCTTTCTCTAGCTCTCTCGGTTCCTCTCTCTCTCTCGCTCGCTCTCTCTCACTCTCACTCTCTCTCTCTCTCTCTCTCTCTCTCTCGATTTCTCTCTCTCGCTCTCGCTCTATCTCAATCTCTCTCGATTTCTCTCTCTCTATCTATCTCACCCGATCTCCCTCTCTCGCTCTTTCTCTCTCCCCTCTCTCCCTCTCTCTCTCTCTCACGCTCGAGCTCATCTCTATCTCTCGAGTTCTTTTTCACTATCTATCTCTCCCGCTCTCTCTCTGTCTCGCTCTCTCTCTCTCGCTCTCGCTCTCTCGCCCTATCGATCTCTCGCACTCTCTCTCGCTTTCTCGCTCAAAAAATTAATGTAACCAGTTTTTTTAGGAAAATTAAACTAAAAAATCAATTCCAGGCTCCCCAAGTAGCTGCTGCTCAAGTCGGCCAACCACGACGGCCAGACAGCCAGGAACGACGCGGCTCCCAGATGACCGAAATCGAGTTGACATGATGCTAACTAGGAGCATGACATTGACAGTGTTCTCAAACCTCGTTAGATGTACCTAATTGTACCACCCAAGCCTAAGCCCAAGCTTAAGCCTATCCTTAAGCTTAAGCCTGAGCCCAAGCCTAAGCTCCCTCTCCCCGGTTGTCTTCGATGCTGCTGCTGATGCTTTCACTTACGGGTCCACCAATAAATATGCGATATGCGCAAAATATGAATAAAAATACAAAAATACAGTAACCACAGCACATCAAGAATTTAATAAATTTATTGGAATTTAATTGAAATTCGAAGCGGAGGGTGAGACGGCGATCATTTCTTCTCCTCCCTGTCCGACGTCCTCGTGCCGCGCTTCTCGCCCGTCTGAAAAATCGATAAATTTGCGCTTGGTGGCCAGCTCGCCGACCTTGAGCATCTTCTTGAGATCCTGCTTGGTCTTCTCCTCGTGCTCGCGGATGCTCTCCAGCGACTTGTCCCACCACTCGTCCGCCTTGCAGTAGACGTCGCTGGAATTTTTGGGTGGGTTTTGGTCATTTTTCATACATTCTTGACTCAAAATTAAAATTTTTGGAAGGTTTTTTATATTTTTTATGAGATTTTTCACCCCCCCCCGGTAAGAGTCCAGTACCGCTTACTCCAGCCCCCACCCACCGATGGAACTTGGTGAAGATGCTGGGGTAATGCTTGTGGAAGAGGCGCTCGATCCGCCCGCCCAAGCCGCGCCAGTTGAACGTCACGGAGACGAGCTTGTAGGCGCACATCACCGACACCTAGACGTTCCATCATCTTCGAGCAGTCGGCTCCAACCGACCCCCTCAGCATCCATCCAGTCCTCCTCCAACGGCCCGATCTCCATCTTCTCGCTGCGCACCTGCCGGGGGTCGTTCTTCTCGTTGATCTCCTGAAGTGAACATCTACATCAAGGCTCTGCAGCTCTTTCCCACCGACGCCTTGAGGTGCTGGTCATCGTAGATGTTCAGCTCGATCACCTCGCGCTTCTTGTGCTTGGTATTGAGGGCCTGAAAATGGCGAGGTTCTGAAGACGGAAGACGGCCCCACATTGTTCGTGTCGCCGGCGTCCTGGAGGTGCATCGACTCGATCTCCAGCCGGAAGCTCTTCTTCATGTAGCCGGGGTTCTTGAAGGCGTACAGCGCGTCAACAACCAAGAAATACCGTAATGACCGTCTTGAAGTAGGGGTATGCGTTCCACGACTCTTCGTGCAGCTCGAACGCGGCCTCGGGCAACATCTGGAAAGTGTTTTAAGTAGCTGAACTCGCCGCAAACCTTCTGCACCAACCACGGCACCTTGCTCCTGACGCGGTAGATCTTGTGGGTGTAGATGCCCTCGAGCTCGCGGCCCGGGCACACCGCCTCGTCGGTGCCGAACTCGCGCTGGACGACTACCTGGAAGGTGTTGTAGATGAACTTGCTGAAGTTTATGGCATTAAAAATGGTTTTGGAAAAGAGGTAAAAAATGAATGGAAAAGGACCAAAAGGGACTGGATCGTTAGCGAGGGGGGAATCAATTTTTTTTCAATTGATTGCATACCGTAATGAGGTAGAAACCATTTTCACCGTTTTTTATAAGGTTTTTAGCTTTAAAAAACAACTTTTTTCGTCAGAAATTTATGAAAAATGACAAAAAGTAAAAATTTCCGAATTTTCGAAATTTTAAAAGCAACTTTTCAGCAATCAAAACTAGTAAAAAAGTTCCTAATATTATGAGGTAGGTCTAGGCGGAAAACAAGGATTTATGTCCCTCTGGTCCCCCCCCCCGCTAACAGGGCAGTACCCCAAAACTGCCATTTTTCAATTTCGCAAAATTTTGAAATTGGTCAGGCCCTTCAAAAGCTCCTGTCCACACCTCAACCCCCTCTCCGCCGCCCGTCTCGGCCTTGCTCGCCTCGGCGGTGTTGTACAGGTGGCCGCGCTGGAAGTCGTCCACCTCGAACGGCATCAGGATTCGATATTCCTGCAGGTTATTTTAGGGTATAGACCACGCGAGGCTACTCCACATACCTTCACAAGCATGTTGTGGATAAATGAATTTGGGGGGAGAAGGATGAGTAGTAAATGGGAGGCAGGCTAGCAGTGAGGCTTTAAAAACGGGAAATTCAGGAAAATTTGGGCACATCCGGTGGGATTCAAATCTGGATTTTTTGCTAAATTTAATCAATTCTTCACGATTCCATGTAGAGAAAAATTACGGTAACCCGGTACTGTGCTGTTAGCGGGGGGAGTGCAAATTTTATCCGCATGGCCTTAAAGCGAAAGATAAACAATTTTTATAGCATTTTTTGGAATTTTTAGATCATAAAAGCACATTAAAAATTATCGAACTTATTGCAAATTTGAATTTTTGGCCAAAAATGTAAGAAAAATGACTAAAAAACGGCCAAGCTTTGCAATTTTTCAAAATGGTTTATAATTTCCTAGCAAACAGAACTATCAAAAACGCCATAAAAATACGGTATTTTTTAATGGCTATTTAAAGGCGTCCGAATAAAATTAGCCTTCCCGCCAACCCCCCCGCTAACAGTCCAGTACCCCCGTAATGGTAATCTTATGCATTTTAGTATAAAAAATTAGCTTAATAAATTCATTTTATTCAATCGCAGACACAAATATACACGTTTCACGGGTTGAGGGATGAATGGAAGATTTCTTTGGAGAGAGGCACTGTTGGCGGCTAAAAATAAATTCGTTTGGCCCGTAAAACGCGCACAGCCTACCGTAGTTCTAGAACACGAAGCTGAACACGATCACCAGGGCGTAGATGAGGAACGCGGCGAAGAAGATCACCTGGAAAAGGTGTTTTTCGGGTTCCTTCTAGGTGTCTGGATCTTACCTGATTCATAGCATGAGCCGGGGCTGCATACTTGAGCGCGGCGTCCTCATGCTTTGTCGACTAGAAACATGATATCGAGCTTTAAAATTTAGATACCTTTGGCATGGGGAGGGCGAGGCTGACGATCGAGACAAGCCGATCCACCCAATGTGGGGGCGGGATTTCTCAAATTAACGAAATTATACTTTTTAGTAAATTTCATACCAGCTGGGCTGGACGCCAGCTTCTCGAGGATCATGGAGGCGACGAAGAGGAGGCCGGTCATTACAAGGTTGAAGCCCGCGAATTTTACTGGAAAGATATCTCTTTCTCTCTCCGTTGCTCCCTCTCTCTCCCTCTCACTCTCTCGCGCTCTCTCACTCTCACTCTCTCTCTCTCTCGCTTTCTCTATATCTCTCCCTTTCTCTATATCCCTCCCTTTCTCTGTACCTCTCCCTTTCCCTTTCTCCCGCTCCCGCTCTCACTCGCTCTCTCTCTCTCGCTCTCTCTTTCTCTCTCTCCCTTCTCTCTCTCCCTCTCTCTCTCCATCTCTCTCTCGCTCTCTCTCCCCCCTATTTACATATCGTCGGCGTATGCGTGGTGAACGACGGCAATCGCTGCGAAACGAGCAGCAACGACAGCAACTGCGACACGATCGAGAAGGCCAGCAGCATGATTTGCCGCGAGGACAGCTACAGCGAAAAATTCTCTAAAACCCGAAAAACTGGCCTGGAAGAACACAGCGGAAATGGTGAACAACGAGGTGAGGAGGGCGGGGAGCAACATCTCGGAGACGAAGTAGACGGCGTTTCGGCTCAATGTGACGCACATCTATAACGAGGTCTTCAAGCCGTTCAGGGGCTTACCTCAGCATTGGCCGCCTGGATGTCGAAGGGGTTTTTGTGCCAGTCGGAGAGGGTTGTGATGGTGTAGGGGGATTCCTAAAGGGAAGCTAAAAATTGAGGAGCTGCACATCCCTTTAAAGGGATTAGTAAGTCTCAGGATTAACCCCAGTGATCCACTAGATGTTGACAATAGGTGAAACCCCAGCTAAAGAGGAGCATGAAATCTAGACAGCAAGATTTGGCTGATATTTAGACTTCCCAGTCCCTTTAACGTAGCCCAGAAAGCTCACGTTCATCTCCAGTCCCTCGATCTGCCATCCAGTGACCCGGGTGTCGGTGAACTCCTCCCTGTCCTTGTCCCGCACCTCCTCTGCAACCGAGAACTTGGCCGCCAACAGGCGCTTGTCGTCGAATTTGTAGCACACCTGAGAGAGGGCGAGGTTTAAACTTTCAAAGGGACCCACAAGGCAAAGTTATGGATTGCGAAGCCTAATTTTAAGATAAGCGTAAGCCAATTTTTAAGATAAACCAAAGCCGAAGCCTAAGTAAGTCACGCCTAAACCAAGCAGGCCAAGCCTAAGCCAAACCTGAGCCAAGCCTAAGTCCAAACCTAATCCAAGACCTAAGCCTAAGCCAAAGGCCTAAACTAAATCCAAACCTAAGCCGAAGCCAGGCCTTAGTCTAATCCTAAGCCTCACCGAAGCCTAACCCCAAGCTTGAGCCGAAGTCTAATTCTAAGCATAAGCCCAAGCCTAAGTCCCAAGGGGTTTAGCCGCCGCGCGATACGCGACGCGCACGCGCATTTTTCCAGTAGCTTTCTAGCTTGGGGAGCGTCGCGGTTGCGACATATGCGTAGCGCACTGGTTCTTGCCGGTCCCTTTAAGTTGCTGCTATGGGCCAATGGTCTCTACTAGCTTGCCCCAGAGCAACCCAGAAGCCAAAAAAGTACTTACCCTCTGAATATCCGTCGGGAACTCCTCGTAGACGAACGAGTAGGGCGAGCTACAATGCGACTTTCAGAGAGAAACATATAGAAATAACACCCTCAATTTTTTAGCACTTACGTAAAGATAAAATCCGTCCAGAGATAAATTTGTCCGGTGTAGTTTGCGGCCAACACCTTGCTGGTGACGCTCCCGGCACTGGTAGACGAGCTCCCACCCCTAAAATTGCGGAGATTAGCATAATACGCTTCAGGCTTTAAGGTAAGTGAGCGTGAGCAGCAGCTTGAGTTATCGCACCAACTAATAACGCCTTTCTAAAGCCGGGAATTCCGTAAATTACATTAATTCCGGGCCGATCGGGAGCGCTTCGCCCTTGTCTTCACTGAAAAAAGGTACAAAAATTTTGAAAATTTTGCGGTGCTTTCGCATTATCGGGGGGAACCAAGTTTTTATGGACCCAGGGCGTAATAATACGTATTTTAATAGCATTTTAACAAAAATTGTCCAGATTTTGAATAGAGAAACTATCCGAACGAACTTTTAGAACATTTTAAAATTCGAGTTTTATAGAAAATCGATATTTTTTGTATATATTTGCAAAAAGGGAAAAGTTTCGTTCTTATAAATCGTCGAAAACGATTAGAAAAACACACGCTATTTATATTTGAAAACCAGATACTAAAGAAAAAATTTGGGGCCCTGAAACCCCCCTCCCCCGATAGTGCAAAAGCATCTGCTTTCTATACCATTTTAATGCGTTTAAAAGCGGTAACTTAGACAGGAAAAGCGAACCCGTTGATCTGCACAATTTGCGGGGTCCAAATCTGGATCCAGTAGAAGTTCAGCCACGACAGCCCCCACTTCTCCTTTGGCCAGGCGATTTTCGTGTCGTTCCAGCTCTGAAATAGTTTATTACGCTCTATCGATCTTTGGTCTTATGGCAAAAACATTTGTCTGTACTTTAAAACCACTTTGAGCCCGACTCACCAGCACCATTCTGCCGTAGACGCGCACGCTCTGCTTCTTCTCGTCAATTTCGAGGTTGTTGATGCGCACGCTTTCGACGCGCACTTCTCGGGTCACGTTTTCGGTATCGTTTTTGTAGTTTTCCTGAATGTTCTCGTATGCACAAAAAATGTCCTAAAATTTGCATACCTGGATGTGCTGTCGGAGTTTCCAGGCTTTCTCGCCTCCTTGGCACGAGCGGCAAGATTTTCGGCAGTTGGCCATCATCCTAGAAAAATTTGTCTGCCTCTCTCGTTGGTCTGTCTCTCTTTCTCCCACACGCTCTTCCTCTCTTTCTCTCTCTCTCTCTCTCTCTCTCTCTCTCTCTCACTCTCCGTTGCGTGGTCGTTCACTCTGTACTTTTTGCTAGACTGCATTTAAAAAATAACAAATCAATATATCTGCTCTCGCGCGCTAACTCTCTCTATCTCTCGCTCTCTCCCTCGCCTTCGCTCTCGCTCTCTCGCCCTCGCTCTCTCTCTCTAGCTCTCACCCTCTCTCTCCCTCTCTCTCTCTCTCTCTCTCTCTCTCACCCTCCCTCGCTCTCTGGTCCTTACCAAACGGCATTAGAAGAGCATTCTCCCTGTGCTGCCCACTCCGTACACTTCGGATCAGCGTCCGTACATCCTGGCGCCTCCCCAAGAGCTAAAATTCAAAAGGCTTTAAATTTTCATTTTCTTTCCCACATAGCCAAGGTAATAGTGTGAGCAGCACCAGCAACCGCATCCCTGAAATTTTTTTGGTGCATAGTGTTGTTAAACGATCGGGAAAGCATAGAAAACAAAAATTAGCTTTCACAATATATTTTTCCCGATTTCTTTTTTCACTAATATTTCTTTCGATTTTTCTGACCTGGTTCGGAATGTTTCCAGAAGAATTAGACATGCAAAACTGCCAAAAGTTGTGGGTGCAGTTTGAAAGCTGCGGAATTAAATATGGGCAATCGCTAGGCGACGGGTGGTTTTGAAGAGGGAATGGGGCGTTCTTGGAGGGGCCCTGTCAGTTCCGGAACAATTTTGCAAAAATGATTTTGAATTTGCTTTATTTGCAATTTTTTTTGCAATACATATCCCAGTTTTTTATTTTTTTTTATTTACGATTTTTTAGTGGTATCTATTCTCTTTAGCACTCCTCCTTGAACTAGTTCCTTGAGGTACCCAGGGGGAAAATGAGAAAATCCCGATAACAACAAAAAATCGCGGCAACTGAAAACCCGACAGCCGTAATACCGACAGCCAAAATCCCGACATCCATAATACCGACAGGCAAAGGCCGACGGAAGCGACATTCAAACCAGCGCCAAGAATGTGTCGAGATTTTGACGTGTCGGGCGTTTGGCTGTTGGCATTTTGGCCTGTCGGGGGTTTAGATTGGTTGTCAAGATTTGTAGCAAATGCACTTGTGGAATTTAATTTCGAGGTAAGCTAGCCGAGATTGTTGAGGACATGTCCACGCCTAGGGCTAGCAATGTTTATTAGAGAAATTGGGGCCTTGGGGGAAGCTGGCAAAGATGCCTAGGGCAGCAAAGGATAATGGGGTTGGTTAGCGAAGATTTTTGAGGAAATCATACGGATTGCGGAAAGCATGCATGGGCAAGCTAGCAGGGATTCTTGACGAAATTCGGTGCGCAAAAATTGGCTAGCAGTGATTCTTTAGGAAATCCCATGTTTGAAGGCAGGTCAGCGGAGGTTTTTGAGGAAGTTTAGTCTCGGAAATAAGATCATTTTTCGAAGGTTCCGGAAATTTCGAGTGGATGATGTACTAGCAGATCTTTTGGAGATCAGGCCGGGCAAGTTAGCAGCGAGCCTTTTGGAAATTCCTGCTAAAAATGCAGGAAAATCCGGATTAATAGCTATATGGCTATGAATCGGGGAGCATGAGCGGCAGCGGAGCACGAGATTGCCCAAAAAAGGGCTTCTACCCTAATCTTCACCTCGTCCACCCGGCCGGCCTAAAGCTCGGGCTGCCACCGGCCGGAACCGGCTGAGAGGCGAGAGAGAGAGAGAGAGAGCGAGAGAGAGAGAGAGAGAGAGAGAGAGAGAGAGAGAGAGAGAAACATTTGGGGGGGTTTGGAAGGAGGTGGATGTCTCAATCATGGCATCTCCCACCCAGTCAGTCACTGGTTGTTGGCTGGAAAACAAGCCCCTGCTCGGCTGCCAAAAGCCTCCTCCTGCTCCTTTTCCCTCTGATCCGAGCCTGATTCCGATCCGCATGCCCCCCGGATCCTCACCATCAAACCCGAAATCCAACCGCAGGAGGGGAAGCACCCATTTTCAGGCTCAAGGCAACCCGGCGAGACTAATGGCGAAAAAATAGGACGGAGATAAGGAAATGACGGTTTTAAAGGAACCGCGAAGTGGCAGTTAGGCAGCGAGGGAGCTAAAGAAAAGAGAGAAGGGAAGAGAGAAAGAGAAAGCGAGTGAGAGAAAGGGGAAGAACGAGGGATAGAGAGGGAAATAGAGAGCGTGAGAGAGATAGAATTATCAAGACAGATGGAGAGCGAGCGAAATATAGGGAGCGAGACAAAGAGACAGTGGGGGCGAAAGAAAAAACCGATAGTAGGTGGGAGAGGACGAGAGTTTGAGAGAGAGAGAGACACACCAGGAAATAGATGAAGAGATAGACCGAGAGAGAGAGAAATCGTCAGATATGGAAAGAAAGAATAATAAGAGCGCAAGCAAGAGGATGGGGAGAGAGAGTGGGAGAGAGTGAGAGAGAGAGCAAGTGCGAGAGAAAGAGATGGAAAAGAGAGAGATCCCTACAGGCTAGATAACAATGACGTTACTGGAGGAATACTTGGGGAATGCGCCCTGAAGTAAAATTGGCACCTTGTGAATCTGGGGCTATGGGTTTCTCGATGACACAAAAAAAGCATCTGTCAAAAGTTGTGAACGCTGAAGAGTTTCCAGCTAATAATATCGAAGAACTATAATTCTTGCTGACTCAAAACAAATTATCCAGAATTCAATCCCATTTTTAGGGCTTAAGATGGGCTGCAACGTCTCGTCCAACGGGCAGTTCGAACCGGAGAAGTACGTTTTTTTGACAAAAGAGAACTGTCAGAGCATCGCAAAGTTGTCAAAATAAGAATCGGTTCAGGTACGACTCTATATGGAACGAGATGCCGGAGCAGGTGCCGGAGCGGAGCAGATCGAAGAAGGGGGCCAAGGTAAGCAAGCGATAAAAACATGTTGTTGCGTTGCTTGTCGTGTTGTGTATTGCGTTGTGTGTCGCGTACCGTTTCGCGTAGCGTTGCGTGTCGCGTCGCATGTCGCTTGGCGTATTACATAGCGTATCGAGTTGGGAGTAGCATTGCGTTGCGTGCTGCGTGGCGCGTTGCGTGTCGCGTGGCATGGGGCGTTGCTTGGCGCGCTGCGTGTCGCGCTGCGTGTCGTGTTGCGCGTTGCGTGGTCCGTTGCGTGGCGCGTTGCTTGTCGCGTTGCATGACGGATTGCGTGTCGCGTGACGCAGTAAAAGTATTATATACGCCACGAAAACCAGAAAAACACTAAAAATTTACAAATTCTCCGACTCTAAACTCTTGGAGTTCCGTAGTAGAACAACTTTCTGGTCATAGGTGTGAATTGACAGTAGCGAAGGGGATGATGCCTGAAAGGCGGATCCGTAGGATCCCTCCCCTAATATTCCTTGGGGTGGTTGAGGTGTGGTCGAGTGGGTTTCTTCACAAAAACTCTGCGAGGATCATAGCCCCGCGGCGACGGCTCATTTCCTCTTCTACAGCTAGGGACCGGGGGGGCACATAAAAGGAAACTGTATGCCCACCCAAGCGAAAATCCATCCCCCCGCCCCCTTCCCCAAAACGTCTTTTTCTCGAATCCGCCCCGGAAAACCGGAATGGCAGCGGGGATATGGTTGTTAAAGGGGCCGGCAAGGCAGGAGTGTTATGGATTTTGGTAGTGCCGGTGAGATCCAAAACATAAGATTACGAGGCAAAACACGCGATTTGCGCGCGTGTACGCTGCGTGTCGCGGTCTTGACAAGAAGCTTTCTCTATGGGGGTTCTTTCGCATTATCGGGGGGGGGGGGCGGGGGGAGGGGGATAATTTTTCTTAGTGCGCAATTTTTCCTGATAGATATAGGGAATTCTTTCATAGATTAATCGCAAAATTTTTATTATGCGGAAGCACAAAAGTAGTATACAAATTTTTATGAAAAAATTTGGATCCCTATTTTTCTTATTCTTGTCTAACAAATTTGTAAAGAAAACGATAAAAAATACGATTTTTTGTGTGACAAAAACGCCAATTTCGACAAAAATTTCGAATTTTGAAATCTGAGCAATTTTTAAGGTAATTTTTCCACTTAAATGGTAGCTAAATTTTATTGAAAACACTATTAAAATACTTTCTATAACGTTACTAGGTTTATCCGAAATTAAATAAAAACCGAAGGAGTAACACATCGAGGGAGCGCGCCGCGCCCGCAACGCGTCTACGAGAACGCGCTGAGGGACGCAAATATCAAATTTTTCCGCAGATACGCCAAAGCTTTAGCTTTTTTGGGCTACCCGTAAATACGCTAAAAATACTATGGAATACTCTGGTTTTTAGATAATGCGCATCAACCTCATCACGACATTCAAGGACTTCAAAAACGAACGGCTAGCCATACACGACTTGGTGGGGGGATAAAAATTTTGCCTAGAGTCTACCAATTTTAGCTCGAAGACCCAGAAATCCTGCTAGCAGCCAGAGGAAAAGATGTGACGATACAGCTCGAAGATTTTAATGCCGGCCAAAAGGTAAAAAATGACTTCTAAGGGCTTTTAAACGACTTTAGCCGTCTTTCGAGGACGCGCACTCGCCGTTTTTGTTGACCCATTGCCTGGAGGAGAGTAAGATGGAGAACGGGAATCCATATTATATACATTTATTTGGGTGGGTTTTAAGAATTTGATTGCTTTTAAATGCATGACTATGGATTTTTGGAGTGGGCCTATCGATTTTGTCGCGCCGCAACGCGTCACGCGTGCGCTTCATTTTTATTGGGTAATTACACGCAAAAAATGTGGGTAATAATCCATGGGGATCCAGGCTCCAGTTCAAACCATAACTGTGTCTTGCCCGCACATTTAAAGGTGTTAGAAACTTGGAAAATCTACCGAGTTTTGCCTAGGTCTCTGGTGTCGGACTTTGACATTGATGCACACAAGATGTTTCCAAACGCAAGTTAAAGGCGCTCAAAAATCGCGACTCAGCGCCATTTCGTGCGCCAAGTAGCTGTCGAGACCTAGTGGAAGGATGGGGCGATTATGGCATTTGATGCTCTTTTAATACATACGGTCTGCTTGCGATTAGCTGTAAATTTCAGTGAAGTGCTCGGCTACACGCTGCCCATCGACTTCTGGAATACAGAGTTCCTGGAGCGATTCGGGTTGCGCCCCGGGTTGTCGCTCTCGGAAATGGCGGTGGCTATCGCGAAAATTGGCAATCCGAATGGTGGGCGTGGAACGGCCTTTTAAAGGGATTAGTAAGGCAAGAAATCTTAGTCATTTTTTGTGGGGAAATAAAATCGAAATTATTTGGTGTTTTTGGGCCTGTAAAAATATTCTTCGAAGTTTTCGATTTACCGCAAGAGGATGAAAAATTTTAGTGTTTTAAAATAACAGATCTAAATTCTATTGACCGCTATTTTCTAGCAATCTACTTCCAACGCGATGCCTCCTTTTTGCGCGAGATCCCATTCCACGAGCCTGTATTTATCGACGAGCCCCTAGGCCGGCAGAGGGCCAACTATCTGGCGGAAAGTGTCCAGAGGAAGGCGAAGGTATCGATTTTTTGTTAAAGTGGCACTAACGACTTACTTTCTATCAGGAGTTGAAAGGATATAAAGTATTCTTTTGGAATGCGTAGAAAGGCAGCTTTTGTACAACCAGAATTGAGATTAAGCCGATACAAAAGATTTAAAAAGCAATAAGAAAGAAATAGAAAAAGCAATAAATCGCAAAGGAGCATAAGATGGATATCGAATAAAAAACTGCAATTGATCGCATAGAATAATACAGCGAAAATGGCCTTGCCGCCCAGTGAACCACCATAAGCTGTCCGTTTGCCTGTTTCTCTTTCCAGCTCTCTCTCTCTCGCTCTCTCTCTCTCCCTGCTCTGTATAGCCGGGGTGTGGATGAGCGAGGCAAAAACTGGTTGTTGGTGCAACAGGTTGCATCCCTGTTTTTGCCCATTCTCGGGATCTGGGGATGGTAGATGTGGATTTGGGGGGAGAGAGAGAGAGAGAGAGAGAGAGAGAGAGGGGGAGAGAGAGAGAAAATAACGGGAGAACGGATTTGTCAAAACTGTCAAAACATTGCCACTTTCTCTCAAATCCAAAGATTTTTCTAAATATGGAAGGAAACGGGGGGTCTAACCGGTTTGGTCCAAAACGCAAAAAATCCATAAAAATAGCCTAAAAACAGTTATCCCTGAGATTGAGAGGACTAGCAAGCGCGCGACTCTCGACGTTTCAAAGGGCCGAAAAGCCAAAAAAGATTACAAAACCGTTCTTCATTCCAGAATTTCCATATCTACACTTGCCACACCGAGGGCATCAACAACACCTACAATAAGGACGTCGTATTGAAAGGGTACGATATAACTTTCGTTTAATGGGACTTGAAAGCGTAAAAATCGACCTTTACCAGGACTAGGTGTCGCCACAGTGAGAAACGGCGGCAAAATACGAGTTGAAGTCGGTATGAGAAATTCGAAATGATACGGTTAAAGGTGCAGCATGAGAACATTGATCTCCAAAATCTAGAGCTTAACTTTTGGCACGTTTGCAAGCAGTGCAAAACACTACGATTCCAGCCTTGAGCCCCTGCAGCAGCACATCAAGCAGTTTATCCTGCGCCATCTGGCCTCCGATTTTCGGGCTGGAGGCGAAGAAGGGCCCAGAAAAATCAGCCAGAAACCGGAAGTCACAAAACAACAACAAGAGACCGTCGAAAAGGTATTTTTAAAGAAGAGCGTTACTCACTGTGGATTTTTCAAAGTGAACTTTCAAACTGAATTTTCTATCAAAGTCCAGCAATTCCCAGCAATGTATAAGTAGCTATTTTAATATTTTAACTTTGAGGCCATCGCTCTTGCCACCGAGCATCAACTCGTCGTGTTGCTGGGAGATTTTGGCACCGGAAAAAGCCGAGTGCTGCAAGAAGTATGGGAAATTTAGCTTCTGGAATTTCTGGCTTAGATTTCCCATCAAAAATCCATCCCGCTAATCACCAGCGACAGCGTATCCACGCTGAACTTGGCCGAAAAGTCGTTGTGCATAGATGATCTGGATGCGGTAAGCTAAAAAGTGGATTTTCTACCGTAACTTCTGTGATTTTCAGTTATCAAAAGAGCAGATGACGCTTTTGGCCACGGAGCTCGGGGATGGACGTCGCTTTTTCGGCACGGCACGGAAAGTGCCGAAATTTTTGATGAAGGTAAGGTGGAAATAGAATTTTTACATTTTTCAGTTATGCGCATATTAATGGTAGGTAAGGTGGAGCGTAGCGTACTCAAAAATCTATCAAACCAAGCCTAAAATAGCGTAATTCTCAGAGCAACGCCCAGTTCCGCGTGGCTACTCTGGCGTTGGGAGGAGAGGAAGACCACGACAAAATCAAGGTATCGGGACTGAACACCGGTTTTTTTACAAAAAATTCAGAGAGCCCTTTGCCAATTTATGAGCTATCAATCGCCAAACGAAGAGCTTGAAATTACAAACAGGAAATTCTCGGACGCTACTATGCAAATAGCTGAACTTGTCGCAGATCCGGCGGGGCCTGGTGATGAGAACGAAGCGGAAAACGGTGGGTTTGAGGAGCCTGGAAAGACAGGATCATAGATTTTCTGGCCCGATTTCTTAGCCTCAAAAAAGGAATATTTATACTGTCCAAACCATCGTATCAACTTCAGGCGCCACCTCAAAAAAGTGGACAGTCGAAAAAGCAAAAATCGCCGGCGCTATGACCTGCTTCGGGGCCAAGCCGCATGCAGTTCGTGATTTGGCCAGACACGGAACCATGCGGTAGGTTTTTTTTTTGAGAAAAATCCATGAGATTCTAGTATGTGCGAGGCGGACCTGCTGCTGATGGAGTCGGACTCGGTGGGGCATCTACTCATCGGGGCCCTTTGTCTGCTGACGCTCTCACAGAACGGGATTGAGGAACGGTTTTTACGGTAGGCTTTTACGCTTCTTCAGCCGAGGACGTAACTAGCGTCTGGCCTGTCGCGATTTTGGATTGCGGGCTGTAGCGAATTTTTTTGTCGGCATTCTGAAGGAAGGGTTTTGTCTGTCGGGATCATCGCTCTGAGGATTTTCGTCTGTCGGGATTTTTGCTGTCGTTTGGGGCTGCGAATTATAGCTGTCGGTATTTTGGCTACCGGATCTTAACTATCGAGATTTTGGTCTCTTCCCACCCTGGTATTATTTTCAGACGTTTGATGGCCCCTGAAGACCATCTGATGCCGATGTCATTCAAGCGACGGGGCAAAAACCTGACTTACGGTGATTGCTTCTTTACGCCTATAAACGTCTATTTTATCCAGATTACTGTCTCGACCGATATGGGCATCGTGAAGAGGTGCTGGCACTTAGATGGAGGTACCTTTTGCTCAACAAGGGGAGCACTAGTGGCAGAGGGAACGCATCGCAACCTGCAACTTTAGATACGTCCGAATGCGCATCGCCCACTACCTCCAGTTTCCGGACGCTAGTCGCAAGCTTCTTGCTGTGTCCGCCGTTTGCAGAAAGGTCATTTGGAAAAGGTGGAGTTTCAAATTTTTCCAGAAAGAGTTAGTTAGATACCTGGCACACAGTGAGACGCTGGACCACTTTCAAAAGAAGATGCGAGGGAAATAACATTAATAAAAAATTCTATCAACAAATTTGTTTCCACATTTTATTTAGCCAGTTTTTTCGAAAAAACTTGTCGAAATTCCATTTCTTCGACATATTTAGACTAATTCAAAATCCGAGCAAACGAAATTTGGAAAAAATGAAATATCGACGATTAAATTTTTGCGAATTCGAATAACGACAAGGTTATCTTCGACATCGAATTTTCCGCGTTCCGATAGAAAGTTAGATCATGATCCAGATCAGATCATGAGAAAAGCGTTTCGCTTTCGGTCCCCTTAAAACATCCATCCCGGAACGACATGATTGGTTGTGTTGTTGGGCGACGTGTCCATTCGTTCTCTCTCTCTCTCTCTCTCTCTCTCTCTCTCTCTCTTCCAAAGCAAAACCTGAAGCAACTGATAAGCCGCGGTCCCATCATTATTCCAGCCCGCGGCGAGGAGTCCCCCCTCTTCAGCTAGCGAATGGCCCCGCCACGAACGTTTGCCATTCTAGCTATTGGTAGGTCGTCGGATTTTCGATTTTATGTTTATTAAATTATTGATAATTTTAGTTTAAAATTTTCAAAACAAAAAATTATATTTGCCGGATCGTTTGCGCAAAAAAAACGGAAAAAGCAAGCCCTGATTTTCACATTAATGACCCACCTAAACGGCGTTGAATTTGCTAGCGTAACGGGTTGAAAGCAGCTTAAAAATAAATGGTTGTATCGATAAGTTTACCGCTATACTTCTAGCGCTGGGATTGGCATGCTGCCATGGGCCAAATGTGAAGGAGCTGCTCCAAAACCAGGATCGACCCCGGCCGAAAGCGTCTGGAGGTGGAAGTTGGGACAAAACAAGGTCGGCATTAACTTTAAATAGTTCAATAAAATTATTTTCGTTATCTTAATGAATTAAAATATTAACAAGACTTTTTTAGACTCGTGATCCTCGACTACACTTTCCGTGGCGAGTCCGTCATCTACGATTTGCTGGAGAACAAGGAAACCGCCCCGTCGCACAGTAGGGCCTAAAAAGAATAATACCTAGTTACAGCTAAAATTAATTCTTAATTATTAATTAAATTCTACTCATTATAATTTAACGCACTAAATTTCAGTCATCGAAGCGAAATACACGTGGGAGACGCTACATCATGACGCCGATGCCACGATTTTCAGTCGATTGAAGGTGGGTAACAAATATTTAGATATTGTTTTAATTTACTCAAATCAAAAAATATAATAAGTGTATTGACATACTATAGGCATTTAATAATATATAATGCTATATGTGTAATAATCGATTTGTAGTTTGTCCGCTGCGTATCCGGGCCGTGCGGGGATGATATTCCGGATGTGTACGTCCATTTCCAGCAGGGTGGCAACAATCTCATCGGGATTTATATGGATTTGAGGTATGTAATTTCAGATGAAATAGTGCAAAAGACTACATACTACAGACCACAAAATCCAGCCTAAAACTACAAACTTTACACCCACAAACACTCGTTTCCAGGGACAAACCCGAAGGCTACCAACCCCAGTGGAACTTCTTGCTCTCCGTGGCCAACATCGTCTGGACGCCGGCCATCGGCGGAGAGGGAGACTCGCAATTTGTCGTCAGTTTTTGCTTTTAAAGGGACCGGCAAGCCAAACGGAATTTTTGCGATTTCCGGAATTTTAGGATTCTCCATATGGCCACTGCCAGTACGACTTCTCACGCCCACAGGACAAGCATTTCAAGCGGAATATTGGCGGTTGCGAGTTGACAGGGGATTTGTGAGTTTAGAAATTGGAAAAATTGGATTAAAGGTGTCTCAAGTCCAAAAAGCGACCCCCTTCCATTGACTAGATCTCGACAGCCAGCTAGATTTTCCTCCAAAGGGTCCAAAATCCTGCTGAATCTTGCGTTAAATAACTCGTTACAGGCTTTAAAAATTACTTTACACGACTCTTGGCTTCTTTTTAACTTGTCGACACCTAGTAAATGCAAGGGGTCGATTCTGGCGTTTCCTAGTGCCTTTAAAGCCATCAAAACTTCAATTTTTTTGGCCAAATGTCACTTTTTCAGCAACTACACCCGCGCCGACGGCCTGCAGACTACGAAATATACGCAGGAGGTGCTGTACGTGTAAGTGGTTTCCGCATCCGTGAAAATGTTGGTCATCTACAGCCAAAACGTCAAGACCGACGCGGACATTGTGATTATTGAGGCTGTGGAGGAGTTGAAGATGCGTTCGATGATCAACCCGAAATGGGGGATGACGATTGAGAGTCGGTAGGGGAATATCTCTCTCTCCCTCTCTCTCTCTCTCCCTCCCTCCCTCCTACTCTCTCTCTCTGTCTCTTTCTCTGTCCCGCTTCTCTCATGTTCATCTACAGCGTCAACATCGAGATGGAAAACCGTACCCGAATGTACGTCCTACGCCACTGCGATATGGACAGCCTGGCGGACGACTGCGCCCGGAACGTCTTTAACCTCACCAAGGTGAGCCGATGCTGCCTTACGAGTCCCTTTAAACAGCTTGAAAGCATCAAACCTTCAAATGTTCAGATCAGCGACAAAAAGTACGAAGGGATCCTCCTTGCTCCACGTCGCCCCAATCGATTCGGTGTAGCTGTGGCCGAGTACCGCAACCACCTCTATGAGATGGGCCCCAGCCATACGTGTGAGGAGCACGCGCGGCTTTATTCAGGTAATTCCATCGTAACTAGCCTAGACTAGTACCTAAAGTTTAGTTAAAGACCTAGTTAAACTAGTTATGCAGGGCCATTAATGTGGTGCTGATTAAACTCCTGAGAGGGTGGACTAGCGGTGATCTTTTGGGAAAATTTTTGTTACTGGTGTTAAAATTAAAAAAAAGACAATTTGAAAACTATTAGAAGCCACAACGAATGCTAGCGATCTCAAATCCATGCCACAGTTTTACTAAGTTTTTTTCACCCAGAAATCCTCCGCGAAGCCCTCGCAGCCAACGCCCACGACTTCGCCGAGGCCATCCGACACCCCGAAAACGAGCCCGTACTGTGGGTTTTGAGTTGAGATCGTGTAATACGATTTTAGAAAAGCCATAGCCAATGCCCTCGGGTCGGTCGGAGACTCCGAAAGTATGAAGGTGTACAGGGAAGTACTGTTTACGGATGCCCCGGAGACGTTGGAGGATTATCTTTTTGGGGCGGCGGTTGCGGTGTCGAACGACGAGAAGTGGCATAAGAATTTGATGGTGAGAGAAAGGGACAGAGAGAGCGCGAAAGAGAGAGAGACAGAGAGAGAGAGAGAGAGAGCGAGAGAACGATAGACTTTCAGTACTGGCTGGTGGAAGCCAAGGCCGCATCCGACCCATCCGTCTACCACTCCCTATCCAACGCCCTGGCTACCGTACTCTGGCGTCGCTGTGAGTCGACCACGATCAAGCAGAAGGCGTGTGCCAGAAGTCAGGATAAGGTAGGGACGCAAAAACGTATCCTCCGGGGACAAACCCTCATTCAAAAAAAGTATAGTAAGACAAAAATCGTAATTTTAGTTTTTGAAGCAAGAATGCTGACTTTTCCAGGACTTCGATTATCGATATGATATTATTTTAAGGTAATCACCAAATTTGTCTCGGTCCTCACGGAATGCACTAATAACGACTGCATCGAGAATGCTCTCCTCGCCTTCATCAACCTCCCGGTTCCAGAGTACGCGATTTATTAAAGCCGGATACAAAAACTACATAGGGCCCTCACCTACGCCCGACAATACATTTGCCGTGGCCGCGCGGAAAATATCGAACACGCTGCCCTGGGGGTTATCCAGAACACGGACGTCAAGTTTTACGACTCGCAGGTGGGGTTGAGTTTTTGGTTTGTGGTTTGGTTAACGAAAAAAAAAATTCCAAAATCCCGACAACAAAAATTCCGACAGTCATAATACCGACAACCAAAAGTACCGACAACCTAATCCGCGCCTGAGCAAAATGGCTGTTTAAAAGGGCATTTCAGCTAGCATCAAAAATTATCGGTATTGTCTGTCGGTATTATGGCTGGAACTTGGGCAAAACCCTAGTTAATTCAAGAACAGAATTTTTCTAGCTAATTCGAGCCCTGGTGAGCGTCTTCCGGAATACGTGCCCAACGGAGACATCGCTGCAAAGCTCCCAGTTGGCCGTCGATGCATTGCTCGAGTGGGTTTAGCTGTCGAAAACGATAGAGAGATACAGAGAGAGAGAGAGAGAGAGAGAGAGAGAGAGAGAGAGAAAGACAGGGCAGAGATACTCCAAAAAGTAATGCGAAGCAAGCCAGTTGAAGTTCTATATTTCAGCTCAGTCCTGGATCACCCGAACGCGGCCACCCTCCTGCTCCGCGGCGAAAATGATCAATTCCGTGATGAGGAGCGCTGGAATTACTTCTACAAGGCTGTAACCGCTAGCCGACATCAAGATGAAAATGTGAGAATTAGCGGATCACACCTAGAGCCTCAATTTCGATTTTAGAAAGACGAAGTGTGGCGCCGGATGCGCGCTTTTAAGGTGTTCCGCCCGAACTGGAACCAAAGAGCGCTCCGGGCTCGCTCGAACCGATTTTACGGGGCTATGAAGGGTGGGCTTTTCAGTTCTTTAGTTTAGGAACTTTCGAAATCTCAAGGAAACCCGCTAAATCTTTAAAATATACTCGAAAGTGATTTGTAGCAAAAAAACGGAAAAAGTGCCCATAAGGCCAAGGATCGGCAGAAGCTCGTAATAGACTCCTTGCAGAAGTCGTGGATCATCAGCTCGAACTGGACATGAACAGCAACTACTTCGAGGAGTATCTACAGGGCATCCGGGTCGCACTCAGTTTCCGGAAAAAGAAGCACGTCCAGCCGTTCTTCGAGGTAGATTTGAGGCTTGATTTATCTTTCGCGCCCTCTCTCCCTCTCTCTCTCTCCCTCTCTCTCTCTCTCGCTCTCTCTCTCTCTCTCTCTCGATCTCATCTATGTCTTCAAATCCAGAGTTTAGTTTAACCTCAATGGCTACAATCACGATTCGTTCTTCCGCGGTGCCAGCGCTGCCGCCGTACTTTCCTCGACTCCAGAGATTTATGGCCGAATCGGGATCCTGGGCCATCAATTGCCTCGGTAATTTGAATTGTTTAAACATGATAAATTCGATTAAATTAAGCAAAATTAACGCTTAGGGCATTGAACCCAAAAATAATACTTTGATCTTCAAGGCAAACGATCGTTGATGGTGATGGCGATCTGGTGGCGCTGGGATGGGGAGGCGATGGGCATACTGTGCACATTTTTGAGGTGCTTTTAAGGTACTCACCAAAATTGGCAATTCTCCAGGGTAACGCCCCGCTTCGCGCCTATCAATCAGCGCTGCCTCTTCTCTCCGGGTTGACGACAAGGATCTCAAGCCAGGGTAGGCTCGAGTGGTTTTTTTAAAAGGCCGGGAAGCGCAAAAATCGACCTTTTTGATTATATTTTTGATTATTTTTGTGGATATATGGGTTCCTCATGGTTTCTCACGCAACGCCCATGCTTCTCAAACGAACCGGAAACCCAGCCAGTCAACATTGTTTACATGTTCCAGGTTCGATCAACCTCAAAACCCTTGGCGGCCTGGATGTATCGATCTGGAACCGTGAAGCCATGCTAGTGACTACCATGAAGTAAAAATTCTCGATCATTCTTGATGAATAATTTTAAGCATATCCGCATCACTCGATCTCGAAGCTAGTCTTTTGTCGAATTTGGAGCCGGCCGAGACTGTTGCTTCGAAGGTGGGGGATTTAGCTAGGAGTTGAGCACGAGCTGATCTAGTTCTCCATCGTCACGAGCATCACGGTTGAGACGGAGATCGACTTTGCCTCGTTGCCACCGCGGAGTTGTGGGCAGTCTTCAAGCAGTTATACGCCGATAAGGTTCGTTGGTAGTTTTGGGTATCTCGTGCTCGATAGCTCTTGCTCTCTCAAATTCTTGATGCTCTTAATCTCTATGTGCTGCTCAATATGTTTATCCCTCTCTCTCTCTCTCCCTCGTTTTCGTGTTACTACCACTTTAAAGGAGTTGACAACCTCTTTAGCCTCTCTACCACCACCACTGATCACGCGACCGGTAAAAACCGAACCTGGAAACAACCACGTCGTCTCTTCCCCACCACCTACCGCCTCGCCGCCGACAACACCAAGCAGTGCAATTTGCATCACAATCGGATAGCCGGAGATTCCGCGGCGAACGTCCACCCGGAACTGTAGATCCTCATACTGTAGCTGGTCGATTTTGTCGAATTTTTTGTTGAGTTGTTTTGGTGCATAAATGATGAGAGATTGTGGGAATTGTGGGAAGTTATAGCGAGTTTTACTGGGAAATCCCGAAATGCCAACAAATACTCTTTTGAGGGCTACCTACAAAAGATAAAAACAGGCAACATAGCAGAGATTCGTTAGGATTTATTAGGGCCCCGGGCGAGAATGAGAGCGAGTGAAAAAGAGGGTGATCACGAGCCGAGGAGCGAGAGAGCGAGAAAGACAGTGGGTGATCGGGTAAGAAAGAGAGAAATCCATAGAGATGGAACAAGAGGCGGCAGAGCATGAGCAAGAAAGAGAGCCAGGAAACTCGAGATAGGGTGAGACAAACCGAGCGAGAGATAGATAGAGCGTGATTCAGAAAGAGTAATAGAGCCAGAGTGAGCATGAGCGAAAGCAAGAGAAAGAGAGCAAGAAAGATAAGACGACCGAGAAAAAAGGAGAGAGAGAAAGAGATAGAGGGAGAGACAGAAAGAGAGACAGAGAGAGAGAGAGGGAGAGAGGGAGAGAGAGTGAGAGAGAGAAAGAAAGAGAGGGAGAGAGGGAGAGAGAGCGAGAGAAAGAGGGAGAGAGAGAAAAATACAGAGGTAGCCCTGTTTTAGCTGGTTTCTGCAGAGCGGTAGTTTGTAGCCCAAACGTCCGTTCCGTACCTCCCCAAAAGTGACAAATTCTTGTACGTGACCATCGAACTAGCTACGCATTTTTCCCGTCCGGAATGACGTCTCATTTTTCGTGGAAAAGCCACTGTAGCCGAGTAGAATGATATCATCCTAGAAATCGAGTCTCCCCTCCTCCTCGAAAGCTGTACCAACATCCCTGGCCCGACCATAATTTGTGTGCTTCGATGGAAAAACCGTTGCTGCAGCTCCGCATGGCTTTGTTTGCACAACGAATCGTTGTGCGGCCTCCTCGATGGCTCGTGGGAACAATTTTTGGTCGAATTTTACATGAACGCTGGTTTCTTTTGAAGGTTGGGCCCAGGGACGTACCAGCAAGCGTTTTTTTCATTCACGATGTCGAATTTTATAATGCTGAAATGCCGAACTGGCGAAATGACGAAAATTGAAATTAGATTTCTCCCTTTTCTATAGCTGCCAGAAAACGAGCTAGGTCAATTTATAATGTGATTTTAAATGTTTTACAATAGAGAATGCCAAAATTTAGAACCCAAATTTCACGGAAAATCTCTTAAATAGAAGGAAAAAATTCCAGATTAGTAAATTTCGACAATTCTGAAAATTCTGATACAAAAATTACGACGCTATGGATCAAATTACGACGAAATACCCTCCGGTGTCCAGGCGAATCTTCCGGTCGCCTTCAAATCCAGATCGAACACTTTTTTAAAAAGACGGACAAGGCTTGAAAAATCGATCTTCGTGGATAGATTATTATGGATTTGGCGACGCCACGCATCAAGTCATGCCTTGTCCGTCTTTTTAAGGGCATTAAGACGTGCAATAACCTACCGTACCGCCGAATTCGTATCGACAGCTCCGCGTAGCGCGAAAAACACGTGTTTGTATGCAATCGCACAGCCGATGGTACACTACGGAGGTTAGATCTCGTCCCCTAGAGAGTTGATCCATCTTCCTAGTCCCTTTAAAACGACAGTTTTCGGTGCAAGACCAGACTGTGCTGACAAAAAGGCCGGATTGAACAAAGACATTTTTCGGGCTACAGTACCCCCCTTGCACCACAATCGCTACAAGCCACTCCTCTGTACGGTCTATGCAAATTGTGCAGCCCATTATCCGGCCCACTTGTCGTCAATTCCGGGACAATCCGTTGTCCACGGCGGGGCGGAACATGATAAATTGTGGTCGTGATGCGGGGGGTATTTGTTTAGCCGGTTGCTGTATATTATTCCTAGTCCATCCAATTCATCCATCCATCCAACCATCCGCAACTCCACCAGAGCCACCCCCTTCCTCCTATAAATGACGGCCCGGATCTTTGTGCCCCGATCGGTCCTGATTTTTTGTAGTCTTTTCTTAATTTTATATTTTTATACTTTCTTTCAATTACGGAATTTTCGACGATGGAGTACCGTATTGAAAATTTTGCAAGAAACCTTCTATTTGCTGGTTTAGCATGATTCAAGACTTTTTAAGGACAGAACGCCTGCACTCGCCATTTCTTGTGATTTCTTCAAACCATCTTGTAGGAAGAGGAAAGGGCTTATTAGGATCTCTCTCTGACTCTCGCTCACCTGCGCTTTCTCTCGCTCTAACCCTCATGCGCTCTCACGCTCCCTCTGACTCGATACTTCTTTCGCAGCTCTCTTCTACATCTAACATCTAATAGGAATTCCCGATCAACAGTTTCCACTATCTATAAGGTTCATTCTCACTTTTCTATCCCTACCTCGCTCTCGCTCGCTCCCTCTCCTCTCTATCTCTCTCTATCCATCTCACTCTCTCTCTCTCTCTCCCTCTCTCACTCGTGGCTCTCATGGCTGGGTTCTTTAAAAGTTTGAGCTGAGTTGGGTTTGTTTCTAAACGTGGATTTTAAGCCATTGTGTAAGTCTACGTCCATTTAAAGATTCGAGAAACCCATGATTCGACACCTTTCGTGGCTAGGTCTCGGCAACTACGCGAGGCGTCAAATGACGGATGAGTTTTTCAAATTTTTCGAATAGGCCATACACGCGACGATCTAGGGCATCGTGGACCTGGGCTTACATTCTCTTGTCTTTAGCTGTCGACACCCAGCCGAGGCTAGGGGTCGATTCTTTGGCTTCATAGTACCGTTAAAGTTCTTTCAAAAATTCGGAAGACTTGTCAAACATCGAATAATGTTTCAACATTTTGACCCATGCCCCCATCAACATCAATTTGACACACTCCCCTCGTGGGCCCCAGAACTTCCGGGGAAACCCCCAGAATTCCTTTAGCCCCAACTCGCCAACATGCCGGGCGTGTTCAGTGATGTTCCGCACTTTTGCCCTAGCCTCAGCCCGATATTTTCCTGGTTCGCCTCAGCAAAATAGGCTGCCTCGCGCATATCGCGGCACAAGTGCACAAAAAGTAGGCACAGCCAGCCCTCCAAGCGGCGGCTCGGCACGTTGGGGTCGCCTATTTACCGCCCAAGTCCTACCGTAACCCAGCGGCCTAGAGAGAGCCCTTTTAGCATGAGGAAATAGCTGGGGGGGGTCTTCCTGGTGCCCCGGCTGTGTACGGAGTACAGATGTACTAATGTTTATCCTTACACAACATCACTGACCACCCCGCCAGAATCATTCGAATCTTTGGTCTGCGCTATTGGAAAAGAGGCACTACGCGCCGTGACTGTTTACGCCTAGCGGCCCGAGCCGCTCGCGCTAAAAGCCAAGACGATGTGTGCGATTTTGGTGGTCGCACTTTGGGTTGTCTCTCTCTCTCTCTCTCTCTCTCTCTCTCTCTCGCTAGCTCTCCATCTCACTAACTTTCACTGTCTCGAACCTCTATTCCTCTTCCTCTCTCGTTCTTGCTCCTACCTTCTAACTGCTTCTCTCTACGTCTTTCTCTCTCTCTGTGCCTCTCTCTTTCTCTCGCATCTGTTCTGTCTTCCTCGTTCTCTCTCTACCAGCTTGGTTTTTTGCTCAAGAAAGATGAAAACAAGAAAAAGTGTAGCAAAAAGAGCAAACGGCTGAAAAATAAGGCGCTAGCAGGAAAAAGCGAAAGTGCGAGCAAGTTCTGGTTCGCTGGAATGTTATCTCTGAACGCCGTTTTAAAGCGGAAAATGGCGTTGCTGCACGTGCGTGTCTGTGTTTAACAATAAGAAAACAATCTTTTTAAGCCATATGTATACGCCACGCTGCCGCCGTGCGAATGAAATTTCCGAAGAGGAATTTTACGCTCCAGCTTTCAGGACCGTAGCAGTTAGCTTATCGCCAAGCCAAGCCAAAGCTTAAGACGAAGCCCAACTTAAACTCGGTTCTGCGGCTACTGTACCGCTCCTTTCAAACAGTGCATTCGGCAATGGAAATATGCAATGCCAAAGTTTTGTCAAGATCCCTTTACGGGGTAAAATGTGTAGGATACGGCATATTTTCAGCCTCAGATTCTAAGCATCAAGAGTTTGACTTTTTAGGGTCCCTTACCTTTAAAACTCCACCCCTGCCCCATGGCCAGGATTATTTTCAAACTCGAGGCTCCGGCTTAATCACCAAAACGAATAATTGGGTCTACGTATATTTTTTAGTTTTGCCCCCTCCATACATCACTGACCACTGGGGCGCTACAGAGTCCGAGCGATTCATCCAATTCTTTGGTCTGTGTCACAGAATTTTCCCCGAACTACTCAGCGGCGAGAGAGGGACAGAGGAACAGCGAGAGAGAGAGAGAGAGAGAGAGAGAGAGGGAGGGAGAGAGAAAGGGAGAGAGAGAAGCCGATAAACCGAAGAGAGGGTTATTTTCGTGGTGTGCCACAATCGAGTCTCCTTTCTGCCTCTCCCTCTCTCTCCTCTCTCTCTCTCTCTCTCTCTCCTCTCTCTCTCTCTCTCTCTCTTCAGGGAATAGTGTCCCGGCGGGAACAAAATTCATTCCGGGGAACCCCCCTCCAACAAAGTATCACCACATTTTGCGAGTACACTAGACGCCAATGGACACTTTCCGAGAGGTACGGTATTTGCATGCCCTTTCCGGTGTGCCCGCCCGGGACAACAAAACCACAAAGTAGAGGATGAGAGGATGAGGGTGCAGAGGGATATCCAAGGCGCGGTGGTGGAAGATGAGGTGGAAGTGGTGCCACCATTCCAAAGACTCGACATGGGCAAAAAATCAGGAATTTAATGCGCAAAACGGCAGGAAATTTCGGGTATTTTTGGGGGAATGAACAAATGGTGGATCTGGCTCGGATTCAGACTTCAGTGGCTTAGATTTTGGCTTATGCATCTGCTTAGGCTTAAGCTGGGACTTGACCAAGTCGGGCAGAATCTACAGTAAGCGGTGGCTTCACCCTGC